TACACAGAGAAACCCTGCCTCAGAAAAAATAAAATAAAAAGCCAACAACAACAACAAAAGTTACTGGGAAGGCAGAAATGTATATTGTTAAACTACTATGTTAAGTGACTGCTTAATGAGCAATGCCATCCAGGGTAGGACAAATTGAAAACTCCACTTGTCTTATGAATAGATGTGGGGACAAATTTGTTCATTTAGGATATTCGCTGGGATCCTGTCTAACTTAGGCAGTGAGCTCTGGATGGCTAATTTACACGAGGCAAGAGTGCCCTGAAATTGAATATGAATGACAAGAAGGGATGGTTGGCATCGCTGCCAATCTCCCAGAAGTCTGCTCTGCTTAGAGCCTGAAGGGTTGTGGTATGGTGAGAGCAAACAACAAACTGGTGGCCTCATGTTCTTCTCTAACTGGCATTGATTGATTTGAGTGTGGAGCCCTCATGGCCTAAACCTTTCTTTGGGCCTCATTTCTCAATACTGTCAATTTGGGGTGGAGTTCCTTGGTCCTCTGCAAGAACAACAAGTACTTCTAACTGATGGCCCAACTCATGCTTTCTGGGGGAGTTTTATCCAGTGGGATCTAGCTCTGATTCCTTAATTCCAATAGGCATAGACTCTTAATAATGGCTCTATGCCTTCTACAACGTTCTGTCTGGATTCCCAGGCCAGTACATTCTTTGAAGTCAAGGTGAAGGTCACTGTGATCTCACAGCCCTTGCATTCTGTGTGGCTGCAAAATTAACATCACCTGGACATGGCCAGGCTTACCGTTTGTATGTGTTGTGTGGCAAGACTTCCTGGAGAGATACAACACAAATGTACTCACCCCAGACAGGGAGCCCACAACAGACCAGAGTACAGATCCCATCCAAGTCCATTCTGATGAAACATGAGTTTTATTAATTGCACTTGGAGGATGAGTGAGAGGTCAAGTCCAATTTGGCGAGATATGAGTTTTATTGATTGTGCTTAAGGAGTATGCATGAGGGTTACTTACAATAGATGACTCAAACACAGCCACACCACCAACATCCACTCCAGTGTGGGTGACAGCTCCCCAAGACTGGAACACAGTGCACAGCCTGTAAAAGGTTCCTTAGTCCCTCAAAAGGGTCACAACCCACAGGTTGAGAACCCCCGATCTTAGAATTTGTGAGTTGAGCTACATCTGGGTCTGTATGATCTAAAAAGGAGGCTGAACCAGAGTTCAGGTAGAATCTTAAGGTAGCAGATACTGATGGCCTCTGAGTGCCTGTCTGGAAACCATGCTCTCAAGGTCCTGCCCCACGCTTCTGATGGCAAGAGCAGCCTTGAATTGAAGTCCTCTGAAAGGCTCCCAGGACCATTCTCCCATGGTCTTAATAATGAGCATCCTCTGACACCTTTAGCCGAACTTCCTTGGCCACCGTGGTTTTATTCTAGAGATAGGTTTCCATACTTCACACGTTCGAGGATGTGAATTTGTAAAACCTCTCAACTGTGTTGTCCTTTCTCTTCTCGCACATCTTGTATGTGGTTAAAAGTAGCCATACTCATCCTTCAGTAGTTCACTTAGAAACATCTTCTCTTAAATACCTTAGTCCATAGCTCTTAGACACCTTCCATAAAGCCCTTGGACATAGGCAAAATATGCCAGATTCTTGCCTCTATGTGACAGGGTTTCTAATATTGCCCTACATTTCCTTTTGAGACATCATTGGTGTTGTCTTTACTGTCTTCATTTCTAACATCCTATTTCATAACAAATGAAGTCACACTTAGGAAATTTAGGCTTTCTCTGAAGCTCTTAACCAGCCTCTGAGTTCCCCTCACAGGGTCTGCTTGGTCCATTCACAGCAGTCTAAATGTTTTCTAGTCTCTTCCTTCTAATTCTACCTTGTTGCCCAGTTCCAAAACATCCTCCCTATTTTCAGGTACTTGGTTCAGCTACAACCAGCTTTCTGTCCACCCATTATGTGATTCTGTAGGACAGTACCACAGGCTGATTTATCATGAACAATAATGTATTTGGTTTACAAGTTTGGAAGGCTGGGAAGGAACAAAGGAACCAGTGTCCACGGTAGTCCTTCCTGCTCCATTGTATGGTGGAAGGCATCACATGGGCAAGAGAACACACAAAATTTCAAACTTCCAGATGTATGGCCTTTGAATATAATGTCAATCTATGCATGAGTCTGGAGCCTTTATGACATAACACCCTCAATAGGCCCCTCCTCTCAATATGTTGCTTTGTGGGAAACACCACCAAACCACCACAGTTTATCAAGGATTATATCCTCAGACTCTGGTTTTCATGGCCTTAACGTTTTTCAGAATTATAAATTATCTTAACACTGTAATTGGCATCTGTCAGGACATTACTAGGCACTTAAGCATTAGACTTGACTATTTCAGGCAATCTTCAAAACAACTCCAGTCTGCAGATATCAGGAATTAGGTCAGGAACTCTGTTTGGCTAGCAGTGTTCTTATTGCTTAAAGTAGTGACCCATTGCAATAATGTTGGGAGCTTTGCTTGGCGATACCTTCTCTCTTTACCTTTGACCAGTGGGTTGGGTGGAATGTGGTGTTCCTGTAGAATCACTTTGTTTACCTGGGAGTTGCTTTGGTGTGAGCTAGGTGGATCTGAGTTTGTTGGGATGAGAAGCATTGTCCTTCTCTAAAGCAAATGGCTGTTTTATCCTACGTCTGAGAGAATCTGAAATGTTGAAGCCATCAAGTTACCCTCAATGCCTTTTCAGTCCAGTTGATTTGTACCCAGATGACTCATGTGGAAACTCAAGATGAAGAGAGGTAAGAATTGGTGTGAAAGCACCCGCAGAAGACCTTTTACCCTGGGACAGGCCATTTGATTTAGGGTTTTATATTTCAGACAAGTGTGAGAGCTCTGTCCTGGGGTCACTGCCAGCCGTGTTTTTCTGCAACGAAAACATGACTGGGTTTTTAATGTGGGCTTTGGGGACTTGAATTCAGTTCCTCATGCCTGGTAGAGCAAAGGTTGTGCTCATTGAACCATTATCTCCTTAGTCTGGTCTGGGTCTGTGGAGATGAAGAGATGTGCTATAGACCTGTTGAGCAGAGCACCATGAGCTGTGTGGAGGATGGAGGGAGGCTTCCCGAAATGGGAAGTGAGATGTTGGCAGAGAATGACAGCTGCTCATTTTCTCCTGTGCCTTCCTGCCTTCCCCCAGAGCACTGTAGTAAATGCTCAGGTAACAACTAGTTTTCGAGGGTAGAGGAACCTGCCTTGCCACTGAAGAGCCAAGAGTTTGGGACTGTTTTATTGTCTGTGTCTGTGGTAGTTGGCTTTGAGAGTCTGGGATAGGGTGACTGCTGGAACTGACAGCTCCCCACTACTCCGTGCCTGTCTGTCTGCAGAAACAGTCAACAGTTCTCTGCTTGCTCAGTTTTGATCTGAGCAAAACTCTGAGTGCCAAACTGAAGGAAGTTCTGGTTGAGACCAGGTGGAAATGCCCTTTGCCCTTTGTCCTGTTTCATGCTCCCCCATCCTTGTTCCCATTAGCACCCAAGGGATGCAGTTTGCCCTATAGATCACAACTAAGACTGAACCTCCCAACTGGGCCCTTAGTCCTGACCCTCCTCCCGCCTTTTTTCCTTGTGCTTCTCAGCAATACCTTGTTTCCACTTCTTTCCTATGGCACAGCATTTTTAAGTAACCTACTTGAGAGCTGTAAGAATGTGTCTATTTTGTTCAGTTACTTTTCCCAGTGTTGGTGCACAGTATAGGTACTCTGCAAATATTAACAGCTTCGTTAAAGAAACTGTAGAGCCATTCCAAGTCATTATGTGTTGTAATAATGGTTCCTCTTTCTTCTGGCATCCCTTACTGAAGTGCCCTCAGGGTTGGAAGTGCCTTCTCCCTTGGGCAAAATTTCCCTTTTGGTGTCAGCCATACTACATGCATATCAAGGCCAATTTCCCCATGGCCCTGGCTGGTGTTCTTGGGCCCAGGCCTGGCATTCATATGCCATAATCTTTCTAGATTGTGCTAGGCCTGACTCCTTCCTTAGAATGCTACGTGATATCCCAGAGAAAGCACTTGATTTAGAGTCTAGGTTCCATGGTGGAGTGAACTTCTGGTCCCTCTGAGTCTGCATCAAAACCCTATGTTCCTAGGTATTTAGTCCGTTGTGCGAGGTGCTTTGTAAATTGGTAAGTACAAATCAAATAGCAGGTCTTGGTCTGCAGTTCATATGAAAATGGAGGAGAACCCTGGAAACCCAGAAAGTCTCCTCGGTCTTTCCTTCCTTTGAGAGGCTCACAGAGGGGCCAAGAGGTTGTTTGAGCACCCCCCCCTTTTTTAATTGAATGCTTTGAATTTTCCCTGTATATGTGTACAGGTATGTGCATTCTACTTGAGGAAGTCAAAGGGACAGCTTGTGGATATTGGTTCTCTCCTTCTGTCGCGTGGATTGCAGGGATTGCACTCAGCTCACTGGGCTTGGCAGCAAGTGCACCAAGCCATCGCACCAACTAAACTTATTTTATTTAAAACAAAGCACTAGAAACAGTACTTGAGTGCTGTGTGAAGAAAGCCCTGGGATGCAATTAATCCTCCAGTCTCCTCAAAGCCCTGGAAGTTCAGTCTTAGACCCCAGCTTTCCTCATGGACTCAGGTCTGACCAGGAGCCTCACAGAGCCTTACCACACCAGCCCAGGAGAGAGCATCTGCTCTGTGTACATGTTCAAAGGGGCTGTCATCACCTGAGGCTTCTCCACATTTGCACTGTGTATGACCCAGAAACCCATTTGTGGGAGGGAATCTTGGTCAGGGTGCTAGGGAAGGGGAAGTAATTTCTTGGGGACTTTTTTTCTTTTTTCATAGACTATCACACTTGTGGGTGTTATATTTATTGCCCATTTTGTTAAAAGGATGTCAGAAACCATGTTGATTCAGGGTCTCTCTCTGTCTATGCAGGTTCTCTCCCTCTCTGTCTCTCATTCTCCCCATCTCTCTCTCTCTCTCTCTCTCTCTCTCTCTCTCTCTCTCTCTCTCTCTTTCCCTTTCCCTCTCTCTCTCCACACCCAAGGTGATACAAGATGCCTTTGAATGGTGAGAAGCAGTGTGTGAACGAGGACCAGCAGAGTGATTCAGAGTCTTCTCGGTTCTCCGAAAGCATGGCTTCGCTCAGTGACTATGAGTGTTCCAGGCAGAGCTTCACCAGCGATTTCTCCAGCAAATCCAGCTCTCCTGCCTGTGAGCAACAGGGAGAAAGGAGGGGGCGGTGGGGTGCCATTGCATGATGGCTTTGGAAATTCACAAGTGTTGTGAGCAAATCACACACTTTGCCCTCCTTTCTGGATGCACCAGACTAGTATGCCAGAGGCACTGTGTGTGCAGTTCCTGTGTTCTCAGGAGTAAGTTTGTAACGTGCTCATTTTGTTTTGAGCCTTGTCTCTAACCTGTGTTGTTTGAGCATGGATCTAAAGCCCCCACCCCTAGCCCTGTCTGTTTTGTCTCTGAATGGTGGGAACACCCTTCTTGAGATTATCTTGTGTAGATTATGATGAAGTCAGATTAGTCTTTTCTGTTTCACACTGAAGGAAGTTTGCCTTTCTGGAAGGGTGGACAGGAAGTGAAATAATCTAAAGAGAGTTTCCCTACTGAGTTCATACAGTGTTGGGCAAATCCCCCCAGATCAACCCACAGAGAGGATTGCTACACTGGGTTGTGAGAGAGCCAGAAGAATGGTTGTCACCAGGGAAACAGCCTCTGCCCCCACCCTTTCTTTCTGTGGACACAGGACATGTGTCAAGCAGGCATTTTTTTTTTTTCCTTCTTTTTCTTCACAAGATTTCACTCATTGGCTCAGGCTGGCTTTGACTCTGTGGCAGTTTCTTCCTCAGCCCCCTGAGGGCCATACTTGGCTTAGCCTTTGCTTTTTTTAAAGTTTTGAATTAGCATTTTGTCTACAAAGTATGTAACATCTTAAACTAGCAAAGCTAAGGTAGGAAGAAGCAACTGATGTTTAATAAGATCAGATGCTACTCGCAAACAATTCGTTTTATTAAAATTTTTATGTTTCCAGTTTTTAAACTTGTAAATTTTATAGCAAAGAGAAAAGAAGGGATTGCCTACAGTCTCACCCAGACATGACAGAAAGCGAACAGTACTTTGCCAAACTATCATCCTTCACACTGATGTAGACTCTTGCCCTTAGCATTGTAACCAAAACATGTATCCTCATGATAGAGTATTTCCTAAACACTGTCCTTATGATCACCTACTATGTCATAAAGGAAACATATTTATACATATTTATTGATTTGTCACTGGACAGTTATTTTCCATCTTGTTTTGCTCTTTTACAATCGTGGTCTTATGAGGATCCCAATGCACTTAGACTTTGGATATCATTGATCATTGGACCAAAGACTTCAGTTGTTTTTAAGGAGAATTTTGAGGTGGAGAATCCACAGCAGCCATGCGCTATGCCTGTTTTCTCATTCCTGACGCCATGTCTAGAGTCTCTGTGCCTGGAACCATGGCACTAAGCAATCTCATGTCCCAGCATCATCTTTCTTTGGCATCCTCCTCCCCGTAAGCATCTTCTCTGCCTCCTGTAAACAAGCAGTAACAACAAAAGAAAAAGTATTGCCTGTCTGTGCCTTTTATTAGATAGAGGTCATGAGTTTTAATTAACTGAAGCTGAGATTTTCCAACAGTGATTTTATAAACTTGATTTATTAGAACAATTCCTTAGTATAATATCTTCATTCTTTACTGTTTTCCTACTGAGTAGGTAATCCATCCTCTCAAATATATTTTGTAATGCTTTAATTATGTATTGAGTTCCTCCTGCTTTTTTACTTAAATTGCTCAATGGTGGCGGTGCACACCTTAAATCCCAGCACTTGGGAGACAGAGGCAGGTAGATCTGAGTTCAAGCCAGCCTGGTTTACAGAATGAGTTACAGGACATCCAAGGCTACACAGAGAAACCCTGTGTTGAAAAAACTAAAAGGAAAAAAATTAAATTGTCTTAATTAATCACCTCAGAGAGAACCTGTTAAGGGGCTAATATATGTATCAGTGAAGTCAAATGAACTAACAAATGGCAAAAATTGGAATTTAACTTCAACCTTACACTAAACTGCCTAGACAGATAGGAAGTATACAACCTTATCTATCAATCTACTGCCTAATACATGTAAACACATATATCAATAAAACACAGAAAAAAACCAATTTAAGTTTTTAAGAATTATAATAAGCCTATATTAAGGAGTTTGTCATAGGGACATTTGGAAATTCATTATAAATATGGAAACTGAAGCTACAGAAGGAGTACTTAACTATTTGAAGCCTTTACCAAGCCCACCTTTCTTTAGTGCATGTTCTCAGACTTTAAAACCATGATATTGACCTACGAACGAGCCTTGACCCTGGGGGACGTTAGATGTCAGCTTCTCTCCTACTGCATTAGCTGACTTCCTGTTTCTTTCAGCTACAAGCCCTCCCAGGGGTGTGATGTTTGATGACGTGATGGCTGCAGCAAAGAACTTAGCAGACATGACTCTTGCTCATGAAATAGCTGTAAATGAGAACTTCCAGTTGAAGCAAAATGCCCTCCCAGAGAACAGGTAACCTTGAAGCCTGTGTGTATGTAAATGATGCTAAAGATTCTATCTCTGTGTGTGACTGTCTCTCTGTCCCTGTGTGTGTATGTGCGTGCATGTGTGTATAATTAAATGTAGTGAAGAGTCCTGTGGAAATGCATTGACTTAAGAGATTGAACAAGGTAGCCTCCCTTGTGTGCTCTTCCTGGGATGTCTCCTATTTCAGCAGTTTACTCCTGGCTCACTTTAAATGGGACATCTGAGTAGAAGATGGCAGCCATTCAAAGGCATGTCTCCTTGGGACCAACTTGTCTGTTTCACGGAGGTTCAGCTATTGAAGAAAAAGCAATGCTGTTAGCTTATCCATAAAATACAGAGTTGGGTAGAAGACTATCTACTAAGTCATAATATGCCTTCTTAGGACACAATTTTTTTAAGTTACTGAAATATATGCTATGGAAACATTTTAAAGTTTAGAGGGAAACAACATGAATCTCTAAATGAAAAAAATGCATTATATTGTGCATATTGGATATTTTTTAAATATTTATTTTTATTTGTGTGTGTGTGTCTGACTGTCTGAGTTATGTATACATGGAGGCTACAAGAGGATATTTGATTCCTCCGAAAACTTAGATGTTTGTGAGATAGCTGGCTTGTTAAGAGGGGTCTGACTTCCTGTCCTTGGGATTACACGTGTCTTATCCCACTAAGACATTGCTCCAGCCCAGTGTTTGTTATTGTGTGAGAACAATACCCATACTTGGAACATGGAAAGTATGCTAAAGGGTTAATCATGGGCTTATGAGTAAGATATGTATGTCCTGGGCTTTTTTAAATGCATTTTCTAAGAAATCTATAGTGGACACATATCTTTAAGTGCTCATTTTAAATCTAGAGTGAACAGATATCTTTCAGTGCTCATTTTAAATAGTCCATTTTGTGCTACAGCCTTGCTGGTCAAGTGAAACGTGTTGTTCACCAGGCCTTCTGGGATGTCTTGGAAGCAGATCTCAATGCTGAGCCTCCTCAGTATGAATATGCCATCAGACTGTTTGAAGAAATCAGAGAGGCAAGTGGATGTTTGTTCCATTAATGCCTTAACACTGGGGTCAGTGTGATGGATACCATAGATGGATAGCTTATAAACAGTAGAAATTCCTTACAATCTTAGAGACTGGGAAATCTGAGACCAAGGTATCAGCAGATCTGCTGCCTGGTGAAGGTCTATTCTGTAGGAGAATTCTTCTTTATCCTCATATGGCATAAGTGGGTAAAGGAGCCCTTTGGGGTCCCATCCATAAAGACATTAATTACATTTATGATGACTGTACTCTCATGACCTTATTACCTGTCAGCATTGTGGTTCAGCCTATGACTAGGGACAGGGGTGCAAATATACTGTAGCAGTTGGTTTCCTCTCCCAAAGACTGTTTGGTATCATCACTGACTTCAGAAGACTGAGCAGTCAGGTACCAGTAGATTCTCTTATGAACTTCCTACAGTGGGAGGGATCTAGGGGCACAGAAGCAGATAGACCTCAGGACAGAGCTCTGAGCACAAAAGAAGACTTCAGAATTAGACCTGGCTTCGTAATGGGCTCACCCTCTAAAATGTCAGTTTGAGTGTTTACAGTGTCTTTCCTATGACATTTACAAGATGCTTGCTCTTTACCATGCACTGTGGTATGATTTTACATACATGCTTCCCTAACTCACCCAGGGTCACAAAGCTCTGAGGGCAGTGGGGAGCTCCTGTTCCCCAGCCATTACAATGTCTTTGAGCTTATTGTCCACCACGTCCTGGGTACTCAGTTATCCATTAGCTTGAATGGTCTTTGTGTGCAAAGTATTTGTCATAGACTTCATGGAGGGGCAGGGGAGGGGGGCCTTTCATCTACTCGGGTACCTTTGGAGCCATTATGTGCAACCTGTTCCTTCTTCCCCTCATTGAAGGCTTTTGGAAGTGTTCAGGTTCTGCTTCTTCATCAGTCATCATTCTGAACTGTCAGTCATCCACCACAGTGGTGGCCTTGATTCAGCTTTCTTCTCAAGGTTGAGACACTGGGTGTCTCCAATGTACTTCCTAGGCAACATGGGGACGTTGTGATGTGAATGGGGAGGGTTCCCACCTCATTTGTAACAGTGCTGCTGACTCTTCCTTCCCTGTGCAGATTCTCCTCTCTTTTCTTACTCCTGGTGGGAACAGGCTTCACAATCAGATCTGTGAGGTTTTGGACATTGACCTCATTAGACAGCAGGCTGAGCACGGTGCTGTTGACATTCAAGGTCTGGCCAACTATGTCATCAACACCATGGGGAAGATGTGTGCTCCTGTGAGAGATGAAGACATCAGAGAGTTGAAGGCTACTACCAACATCGTGGAGATGCTGAGGTTAGCTCTTTTGCTGTATGCATTTTCTTACAGTATCTTCACATTCATTCAAAAGAGACCTGGAAGCATGGGAAACATAGACAGTTGGCCTTCCAAAAGAGTTTGTGACTCCAGGGGAAAAACAGAACGAAAAACACAAGAAGCCAGTCAGTCCTTGACAGAATGTGTAGAATTTTCTAGCAAGGTTGTTAGTCTGCCTTCTGTGGGCCCTGAGGATATAGGAAGCAGAATTCCTGGCCCCAGGGGTTTAGGGTGAAGAAGAGAGACAGACCTTAAAGAATGTACTGTGCGAATTGAACAGTTGTTCTTGAGCTATTGAAGGAGGCTTAGAGAACTTCCAGCAAGGGTATTTTAATGTCCTTGAGGTTAGAGGAAGCCATCTGCATTGTGAAGAGTCATTAGCTGCTCTTGTTCTCAGGAATTTTGTCAATGAGCAGTTGTTTTGTACTGGTGCCTGACTGGGATTATTTTTGGTCGTGCCGCTCTCCACTTCCTTTTTGGGGACCAAAGCTCTTCTCTCCTTGGTTGTCGCTCACCTAGCTTGTGATATGTTCTCCATTCAACTACGAGTTGAAAGGGACTGTGGAACATCTCTAGGTAAACTCAGTGCCAAAGGGGCAAATACCCTTGACTTTTGACTAGCCACACAGGCTCACCCAGATTGAAATGGGGCTGGGGAAGGTAGTTCCTGTCTGGAGATACTTGCCATAACCTCAGATCTGCCAGAGATTGCTAGTCAGCCGTCCAGCTCTGCTAGACTTTCTCCAAGGATGTGATGTTCACATTGATGTGTGAGCATCTTGTTGATCTCTTTAGACAATAACTTACTCATAATCCCTAGGACGTACTGTGAACCACTTAGTGCCATTGAAGGGGACATTTTTTATGTTATAAGTCATATTGAGAACTGAGTTTTATGTTACAGTTTTAGAAAACAAGGAGATGGAAACTGGCCTATGTATAGAAAATAATTTTGTTTATAGCCTGTAGCAAGTAGACATTTTTTCCAAGGTGACACTTCACCTGTCTGTAAAATGAGCTGTATATCTTTAGAATTGTCTTGAGTTCCAGAAGACTGTAGAAGCTCTTCTTCCAGTTACCAGTATTTCTGGCGTAAGATGTCAAATCTCAAATCTCTAGTGTTGATGTTGGTCATGGGTACCTACTGATTTATTTATTTATTTATTTATTTATTTATTTATTTATTTATTTGTGATCCACTGAGTTTAGGTAGAGTTGCTTGCATAAGCATGGGTGGAGGCTGTTTGCTGGAGCATGGGTAGTTCATGAGTGGCAATAGCCCCTGAAGAAAATGCCACTCCCTTTCCCAGCATTAACTGCTAGTAGCTCCTAGACAGGGGTGGGGGGTGAGGGGTTGGGAGGGTGGTGGAACTTCATAGTTATTTTCTCTGTCCATGATGGAATATTGAAGGGCCCAAGCTTGTGCCTTTCACGCGCTGTAAAAGGGTATATCTCTGTCTGAGGTCGAGAGCATCACTAATTTATGAGTATAAATATAAGGCAGCTTGACAATGTGTATTGAGCCAAACAACGATAGTAGGTTCAATCTGTGGCCTATGGCCTTCTAAGCTATAGGATTTGATTTAGCCTACACTATCAAGTGTATGTTCTTCCTGTGAAATAGGCCTTAAATCCAATCAGAATGTAGTTGGTTACCCCACAAATAGCCATGCTGCTATTGCTCAGAAAGTCTGTATTATAGACTACAGCATTCACAACTAGGTAAAACCATTGCTGAATTTTCTTCCCCAGCAGGCTGGACAGCACCTGTCACTTCATACTGTAGCAGCCAGGTTGATCTCTCTGACAATCAAAGTGTGTAGAATCTTCAGCAGTAGATCTTGTCTTACTGTCTTGGTAGGCAACAAAGAACAGTGGCAATAGATTGTTGTTATGGAGAAAATGTTGGGACCTTTCTGGGCAACAATTCAGAGAGAGAGATAGAGAGAGATGTCCCTTTTCTGACAACAGGATTTTTGTTTAAAGATCCATGACTTCTGGGAGCAGCATTAACCACTCATGTAGTGTTTCTTTTAAAAAAAAAAAAAAAAAATCGGGGAATTTAGTTAGCTTATAAAGAATCGGTTTTCAAATGATTCTTTCCATATATCTTCTGTTTTTGTTATATACCCATGCCCCATCCTCCTGCTCCATCCCTGTTTAAACCTTTTCACAGATCATATCTCCCCCTCCTCAACTTCCACATCTCATTTGTTTTACTATCTCACCCACTTAGACCCTCTGCAGCCTCCTGGCTGTGTTCTTGTTTCTTGACCTTTACAGACACTTTTACAACACAGACAAATAACTCAAAAGTCTAAGCTGGGATCCCCACATGAGAGAAAACATGTCTTCCTAGGTCTTAGTCACTTCACTCAGTAGAATGTTTTTCAGTTCCATGCATTTTCTTGTACATTTTATAATTCTATCTTTTAATATTTGGATAACAGTCCAAGGTATAGATTTGTGTTTCTCAACCTGTGGAGTCACACCTTCTTTGGGGAGGGGTCGAATAACCCTTCCACAGATCACCTAAGACCATCAGAAAACACAGATGTTTACATTATGATTTTTGGATTTTTGTTTGTTTGTTTGTTTGTTTGTTTGTTTGTTTTTAACAGGCTTTCTTTGAGTAGCCCTGTACATCCTGGAACTCACTCTGTAGACCAGGCTCGCCTCAAACTCAGAGATCTGCCTGCCTCTGCTTCCTAAGTACTGGGATTAAAGGTGTCACTATCACCTGCCTACATTATGCTTCTTAACAGTAGCAAAATTAACAGTTATGAAGTAGTAAAGAAAATACTTTTATGGCTGGGGTCACTACCAGTTGGGGAACTGTATTAAAGGGTCACCACATTAGAAAGGGTAAGAACCATTGGTATAAGTGGACCACATTTTCATCCACCCATCAGTTGACAGAAAACTAGGCTGGTTCCATTTCCCGGCTAATATACAAAGAGCATCAACAAACACAATTGCTTCCTAGATTTCTGTTTTCATTACCTTACTACTGTTCATAACACACTTCCAAGGAGGATGTCCTTTTCTCTTGGTCATGGAAAACTGAGGCACGAAGACCGAAGACACAGAGAAGTATGCATGACCATAGGTCTGGTCAGTTGAAAATCTGGGTTTGAGCAGGACTGCTCAGCCTAAAACACAGATTTCCCCCTCAATCCTCACTGCCCTGTCCTTTTATTTACTTAGATGTTTTCCTTCTTTCCTTAGTAGTAGAATCCATATGCACTGTGTTCGGCTCCTTACAGTCACAGCAGGCTGTGGTGGATGAGCGGGTGGAGTGACAGGATGCCACGGAGGATGGTTTTGCAATGTGTGGGGAAGACATGTGGGATAGACGTGCATAGCCTTCCTTAAAAAGTGACCCTGGTAATGACCAATGGCACCTCAACACCATTCTCAAGAGGCTTATCTTACCCAGCCTGTGACAGATAGGTCACAGTTTCAATTTAACTTCGTGTCTGCTTCTCATTTCAATTTTGTAATTTTTAGACAAATATTCCGTGTCTTGGACCTCATGAGAATGGACATGACGAATTTTGTCATTAAGAATATTAGACCTCACATTCAACATCATTTGGTGGAATATGAGAGAAACAAATTCCAGGAAATTTTAGAAGAAACTCCAAGTATGTATAATAATACAATGTATGCTTATGTCAAAATTAAGTCAAATTATGATGCTGTAACGTTTGCCTGTTTGTGTTGTGTTAATGTTAAAACATGTGTTAAGCCACTTAAAAGTTGGTGTCACATACTTCCAGTTTTCTGTTTGTTTGTTTTGTTTTTGTCCTGGGAGATGCGCTGAACACTCTTACTTTTCCATTTATGTATTCATAAAGGTTTATTGAGCACCTGTTGTATCCCTTTGGAAAGGTGCTATGGTGTGGCAATAGACAAAACAGAATAAAGTTGCAGTTTGACATTCTGGTAGGCGTAACGAGCAAGCATAGACTGTCACGTGTCATTAGTGTCAGATAGTGTCAGGACAGGAGTGAGGGCAGAGGGTGTTTGTAGAAGGGGCGAGGCAAGGCTTCTTCAGTAAGTAACATTTAGGCAGATTTTGCTAAGTACTATGGGAGGGGCATGCACAGGTCTAGGGAAACGCAGGGAGCTGCAAGGACAGGCCCTGCGATGTTTGAGACTGAGGGAAGATGGGCGAGAGAAGGTGGGATGGGATGGGCTGAGAGGGGAACAAGGCAGATTCAGATTGAATGGTAAGATTCCAGGCGCCCCTGTTTTCATGGGGCGTCATTGAGAGTCTCAGCAGGGAAGCAGTATGTGATTTACTTTTAGGGCATGGTTCCTGCATGAGAGCAGAGAGGGCAACAGAGCTGTCAGTTGCGTGGCCTAGTGCTTCTCAGACTAGAGCGGTGGTGGCTTGTTCCACACAGCAGCGACAGAGGAGGTGAGGCCGGGTTCTGAGTGTGCTTTGACACTGGAGAATACCTGGAGGCACTGAGGATGACTCAGTAAAGATATTTGGACCAAGCACTGGGTTAGTAATGGGAAGGGGGAAACTTGGGGAAGAAAGGTGGGAGTTTTAGATACATAAACTTGAAGATATAGTTTGACATTATCATAGAGAGGCCAGTTAGACATTTAAGGGTGAGGGTACAGTGTTGGGAGCCATGGATACACACTGGTATTCACTAGCATATTTATGCTATATAAAGCTATAGAAATGATAGTTGGCACTTAGTGCTTAGCAGGTTCTAGCCAATTTGCTTACATTAACTAATTTAATATTACAAGTATACAAAGTTGCTTCCCACTATAAATGGGGAAACTGAGGCATGAAGAGGTTATGTCATTTGCTTCTATATCACAGTTTATAAAATATGGAGCTGTACTCACACAGGCAGACTCATGTAGTCCATGCACTTAACATCTTTACCACATGGGATAAGATGGCCTTCGGGAGTTAAGTAGAGCTGCCTAGGGGACTGGCCTGGGACAGATTAGCATCTAGAGGAGACATGATGAGAATCAACAGTGGAGACTATGCGAATAGCCAGGGAAGGAGTATTCAAGCTAGGAGGAGGGCATCCTACATTGCAGTTATGGGGGCCATGAGTGGATGTGACAGGACCCTTTACTTTCCAGTGGAGGGCTCGAGGTGCCATGCAGCTAGCAGGTGGTTGTGTTGATCTGGATCTTATTAGCTGTGATCTAAGGCTACTTGGTAGCCTACCTTCCTTATGGCCTACCTTTAACAGACTGAGCTCTTCCATTACAGTGATAACATAGTAGCATTATATAAACAGGGCTTATGGATGCTGATTTTAAATGGACCCTACAAAGTGGAGGAATGGTCATAAATTTAGGCATGCTCTGCTTGGTAAGAAGCTTGTGATACCACTTTCCCCTTTGATAGTAATTTAGAGACCTTTCTTAAGCACTGCAGGGCAAATTAAAACCTTTGCAAGGAAAGAGTAGATAGATGGTTAGATCTTCCTGGTGATTGGAGCTGTTTGAATTTGGAGATAGGCCTCTCTCTATTGCTGGTGGTGAGGCTATGACCTTGTTTAAACTCTTTTCATTGATGAGTCATTCAAGCCTCACTGAAATCTGGAGAGCTTGGCAATGACATCACTGTATTTACATATGAGGAAACAGAGGTTAAGTTATAAGACCTAAAAGACATCAGTGTCAAGCCTGGATGACCGGGCTCTGCCTTACAGCATGTGCTGGCTTTTGTTGTTGTTCTTCTTCCTTGGGTTTTTTTTTTTTTTTTTTTTTTTTTTTTTGTGACAGGGTTTCTCTGCACAGCCCTGGCTGTCCTGGAACTTGCTCTGTAGACCAGGCTGGCCTCAGACTCAGACATCCCCCCCGGCCCCTGCCTCCAGAGTGTTGGGGTTAGAGATGTGCCACAATGCTATTTGAGCATGTGCCATTTAACATTTGGAACCCTGACTCTCAGTGGGGCGCATTGCAGATGGTTCTGTGGCATCAGTTGGTAAATGGGACTAGATGATCACTAAAGACTCTTTAGTAATAAAAGATCTGAGACTTCAAGGACTCTATTTTAGCTCCAGTGGGAAAAGGGTTGTGGAAAAAAATCCTTCAATCTAAAGCCTGAATGAACTTGACTGTGGTGTCAGCATCAGCTTTCTGAGACTCCGTGATGAGATCATGTGTTCCTGTATGGTGAACATATGTATTCAGTCCAGATGCTGCAAAGCTTGGGCAAACTCCTTAATACTTAGTGGAGTCTAGCTTTGTTTATCTCAAATTATTTGCTTCTCCTTAAAACTTAGGTGACCTTATTTTTCACCTCATGTTGACTTGACTCCTTCCCACAGATTTAAGAATACAGCAAAGCCAGCTGTGCTTAGAGTTCATTTTTACTCAGCTAGAGAAATCAAGAATACAGGAAGCAGAGTATATGTCTGTTAATTATATCCCAAGTCACTCTTCCAACAATCGGTCCCTGCCCTAGTATCAAAATAAGAGTCTCATAAACAAAACAGAAACAAACCATTAGTACGTGGGTGTTATCATGGTTTAATAAGGAGCAGGGTAAACAAATAGGCCGAATAGATGTTTATTTAGGGAGAAATAACTTACAACTTTGACAAATGAACACCAGCAGGTTCCACTGAATGCTCTCCTCTCCATGTTCAGCCAGACAGAGAGCGTTCCCGGGCTCCTCCTCAGACCTAGTTCCACAGGTCACTTCTGCCCCTGGCTCCACCCCATGGTCAGTGCTGCCACAGATGCAGACAAAGTGAATATCTTACTACAATTACCCTTTTAGTGTAAAAAGATTTAGGCTTAATACAAAACTATTTGCAAAATGGTGAATAACAAGTGTGCTCTAAGAAAAGGAAAATAAAAAACAACTTAAGACCTACATATCTAGTCCTAGGGTGAAGGCATAACTGAGTTTACAGCAGAGTTGTTCTAAGCTGGAAAGCTTAAGTCTAGTACCTAATATATCTAACTAGGAAGAGAGAATAATAGTTGTGATAGTTTAATCTCTAACCTCATCAAGACCTGCGAAGCAAAGGAAAATAACAATACTAGGGTAGACAGGAAGTACAGGTGGGAACTTCCAAAAGGTGCAGCAAGGACAGAGACAGCAGGCTACCTGGTCACTCATTGTCATCTAAATCATCAGGGCTAGTCTTTGCCTGGCTACCATTGGACCATGTCTAGGACTTTTGAATGTCCTATTCTGGTGATGGGGTGGGTCATGGTATTCTTCTGGCATCTAGCAGGCAGAGAGGTCAGAAGTACCACTAAACAGATTGGTCAGGACAGCCCTGTTATGAGCAGGTTTTTCCCTCAGCCTTGGCCCACCTCCGCATCAGCCCCAAATAACACACAGACTCTGTATTTGATATAATGCTGTTGGCCAGTTACTAGTTTCTTATCTGCTGGCTCTGTCTTAAATATTATCCCATTTTTATTAATCTATGTGTTTCCATTATGAGAGACAAAACTAACCCTGAAGTCAGGAGTTCAGAGCAGCTGAGTACGGTGCCTGAGAGGGACATGAGAGGACTTCTCCGTGTGATGGAAACTGTTTACGTCTGGTTTGGGATCATACGTGGTCAAAATGACCAAAGTGGGCACTTTGCTTTATGAAACTGTGTGTCAGTATGTACGTACATGCATTTCTATGTATGGGAGGTGAATGATCTTAACAGCAATGGGAAGTAAGTACTGGGCCCTGTTACTTCCAAGTGTCTTAGCATTGTCTGTATCTGGGACGGCCCTTGCCCCTGTGTCCTAACAGCGGGACACATGGACCCTGCCACACTGCCTTTCCATCCCTCCCACCTCCCTCCCCTCATTCCCCGGAGGAAATGAAAGGCAGGGGCGGATGAGGCTCAGATAGAGAGGTCTGGGGTGCAGGCGGAAGTGGAGAAGAACATGAGGAAGGTGTCCAGGGAGACTGCAGAGTAACAAATGCAGGTAGGCCGGTTGTCCTCGGAAGTGTATTTATGGAACAGGAAGCGAAACCCAGGTGCGAAACATGGCATTATTGAGGGGAACCAGGGGGTGAGAAATCACAGCGAAATCGCCAAGAAAAGAGGGGTTCCCTCAGATGACATGCTGTTAGAGAATGGCTAAAAAGAGCATGAAGTAAAGGTGTGTGGATTTCACAACTAGACCATAGCTCGTGGCTTTCAAAAGCACTATGGGAAGACTGTATGTTGTTAGTTCTCTAATCTATGCTCTGTATCTCAGGATACAGCACAGCCATTCATTCCGCAGCCTTAGAGAGGGATGTGGGAGTAACCCTACAAGCCTTTCATACTCTGCATTTAAAGTGGTCCTCAAGACCCATGGACACTATGCCTAAATAATAATATTTCTCCTTTCCTGTGATTTCTCTCTGTTTTCCATGCCCTTGGCCATTCACTCTTGACTGGAGGACAGCAACCTGCTACCCTCTCGTTTACTCAGTCCCCCCCCCCAGTGAGTTTTCCAACAGCTATGTCTGATTATATCAGTCCCATGTTTAGGGAGTATGTATTTCCCATAGCTGATGTTTGTAATCTAATAAAAGAATGAAAATGATCCATCAATATGGGAACATAAGCTTGCATGTAGTTCTTGGCAAAAATATAGCTGTAAGCAGACACTCAGATAAATTTAGGACCACACAGTTTAGTGTGCTGAGTCCAAACTCAGGGTTATTTATGAGCAAGTCTGTGATCAGCTGGTTCCTGACTGCCAAGCCAATGCCATCAGGGGCTGGTCTCTCTTCTCTAGCCCCTTAGGACCAGCAATACAGATATGATGGGAAACTTCCAGAACATGCCATGCGCTGCCATTTGAAAGTATTATTTGGGTATTCTCCTTGCTAGCGTGCCAGGCAGCCCTTTCTTCTCTCTGCCTTCAGGTGTCACTTGGAAGCTCTTCCTCATGAGCACTCTTGAGTAGCTCCGCCCCTCTCCTGCTCCTCTAGCATTTACTGAACCCTGTTAGAAGCAGTAGTTATCTGTCTGTCCATATGGACTGACTGTGTCTTTTCCTTCATGCCTGGGAATCTATCTACAATCTGTCATGTAGAATGCTAGAAAAAAAAGGACTGGCCTGCGAAAGAATAACTGGATGTTGTTTTTGCCCTTAGATGCCCTCAGCCAGACTATGGAATGGCTAAAAGAGTCTGTAGATGAAGAACGCCTTTCTGAGACTGCTGTGTCTCCTGGAACTGAACAGAGTCCCACACCAAGCCTAAGCCCTCTGTTGGTGCTAAATAACTGTTACTTGAAACTACTTCAGTGGGATTATCAGACAAAGGTCTTACCAGAGGTGAGTGGCTTTTCCCTCCACCAAGGTGTCCAGCATTTGAATTCTTGAGTCTTAACTCTGAATCAGACAGCCTGTCTGTGTTGCGTATGGTGTGGTAACTAAAATCAGATATAAATGAGAGTGTGGATATGACATTGCTTATTTTACATGCTCATGGCATTGTGCTTCCCTTTCTATTTTTACATTTTAAATAAATATGCTAGACACTCGTGACAGATGGAACACGGCTCCAGGAGTTGACAGAAAAGCTGAATCAATTGAAAATGATCGCCTGCTTGTCCCTCATTACCAACAACATGGTGGGTGCTATTACAGAGGGCCTTCCTGAGCTTGCAAGCAGGTTAAAAAGGATTCCAGCTGTTCTACTCGAAGGCATGAATAAAGAGTGAGTTCTCTCTGTGTGTATCTGCTCCCTCACATAGGAAGAAGGTTCTACATGTGTTTCCCAAAGCAGTCAGCAACCTTGGCCACTACAGGCTTTAGACTTTCTCACACCTTTCTACAGTGTCTTTTAGCATCTCAAAAGTTCTAGCTGTCCTCTCATGGGAAAGCAGAGGTGTGTTCCATGACACGTGCCAGCATAAGTGTTGTGTTTCCCCTTTCAGTGGTGTGCACAAAAGCTTTTCTGTGACAGTGTGGTGGGAAACGTAAAACTAGAAATCCAGAAAGCTATGTGCAGAACTATGTTGTCTGGGAGGCTTTTCCAGATTTGTGGGTCTGCTCTGTCCTTTTTCTTTCTTTAGATAATTATTGCCTTTAATGGAGCCAACCTGTGAAGGTTTTAACATAGAGATACTGCCTAATGAACGTTTTGCTTTTAAGAAAAAGGTCTGTCCCACCGAGACTCTATCACGGTCAGAAGACAGGTCTTGTCACTGCCCCTGTGGCTCTCATACGGCTCAGCTCCCCCTGCTGCTTTGCCTTGCGGTGTTTTCTAGGCCTAAGTCCTCTATTCTTGCCACTGAAGGGACATGTATTTGTCATCCCATCTGTTAGAAAGAACATGAACCATGTGATAAAACCCAGAGAAGGCTTCTTAAGTGGTTTGGGATCCATACTTCTCATTTTGGGCTGAAACTCAAAGAATGGGGTTTGTCTTGGGCTGTGTAGAAATGGGCAAACTGAGCCTTGGATTGTCTCATTGTCCAAGGCCCTACCCTTTTACTGACTCTGAAACTGCCTGCCACGCACCTGAGTTCATATTTCAGGACCCAAGACCCACATAGGAACAGCACCTTCCTCTGTCCTTGTAGTTGCTCTGTCCCTAAATCTCTTCACACTGGGAACCGTTGCTTTCCAGAGATGTTTTCTTCATTAGGGTTTGCAGAGCATCCAGTGCTGCCAAGGGTTAATATGAAGCTATAGGAATGGCAATCAGGTGACCAGGTGAGACTCAGCTCTGTGACCCCCTTGTTACGTGTGATCGAGAGGTCCCTGAGCCCCTCTGAGCATTATTTTCTCATGTGGAAAGAATAATCGGGGCTGGGGAGATGGCTCAGTGGCTAAAGAGCTTGGTTTGCTAGCTTGAGGACCTGAGTTTGCATGCTGCAGCACCGGTGTAAAAGTCAAGCATGTCTGGAGCCCTGGGACTGTACAGCTGAACAGAGAGAAATGGGACCTGGGTGCTTGCTGGCCTGCAAGTCTATCCAAACTAGCAAGCTCCAGGTTCAGTGAGAGAGCCTAGCTCCAGAAGGAAGGTGGAGAGGAAGACACTTGAAGTTTATCTCAGGCCTTGACGTGAACACCAGGGAGCATATTCCCCCAGCCCACACACACAGAGAAGAGTAGTCATTTCCCTACTTCAGGACTGTGAGAAAGAAAGATGATCTCTGGGAGACTGCATATGTGTCTGGCACACCGCATGTACTCAGTGAATGTTTGCTATTAACAGCTGTTTAGGTGTTCAGTCACCCTCCGTATAGCCCTATTTCGTTGTTTCATATAATGTAGAAATATTCCTGCCAAGCACCTCAAGTCACCACAGACCCACATGTCATTTGTATGTGATTTGATGATCTGTTACAGAGACAGGCAAGGTTTTGCTTTTATTTTGAAGCCTTGGCTCATATTAAAATTTAATTTTTTCCCTTTATCTTAAGAACTTAGTGACTAAAAGGCAGAGAAAGCTAGAGCACTACTCGTTAGTAGTTGAGACATCAGGAGGAAGAGATGCTATCAAAACAGTCCACCCTTGGTGACAGAGCCACAGAGATAGGTCCAGAGCGAGGGTACAGCAGGTTCCGGTTAAGGCAGAGCCGCAGCCATGCTCCACCACTTTCTTCTTTTCCCACTAAGCACTTACTGATCGCTTGGCACCCTGCTAGGAGCTCACTCAGGCAGCAGCAAGTCCAGAGGTAGAGCCTGGATTTGACCCAGGGTCTTCACCACATCAGACTTAAGCCCCAATTTCTCCATTGTGCTACCTCCTATCACTAGGTCATCTATTATTCTTTAGTTCACATTTCTCACAGTGATACAAAAGAACCCTTTCTATATAATGACATCGTTTCCCATTCTTTAATAATGCAGACTAAAATACTCTCGCTAATAACTTCTTTATTGATGAAGTGGCCTGCTCCTCAGTTGCTGTTATAATGTCTAGACTGTATTTGTTTATTTGTTAGTTACTGGAAAGTAGTCATGCGAGTTAACTGCTTTTGGTCATGAGTAGTCTAGAATTTCAGGTAATGTGACTTCTCAGTAGCTCTGTTATTTTTGACTAGTGTTACAGTTTTACTGCTGTAGGCACAGAAAAATTAATTTTTTTCTACTCAACTTTATAAGATCATTAAAAAGTATCTATGAGATGGTTAAAAGCACGTGGCTGCTCATTCAGAAGGCTTGGGTTTAGTTTCCACTACATACATGGCAGTTCACAACTATCGATAATTCTAGTTCCAGAGGACCTGATGACCTCTCCAGGCCTCCAAAGCGCTAGGCATGCATATGGTACACATGTGTGCACGCCTGTGAAACACTCAAACTCTTTCAAATCAGGGATTTAAGAAGTAAGTGGATATTTTCTGTCTTTGCTAGACCTATGAAAATGGGGTTTTACATGCACCCCTTTGCATGGTCTTCAGCACTTAAAAAATCTATTCTGTGAGAGCATTGGTATTTAGGAGAGGAACTATTTTCTGTCCATTCTAATAAAAGCAATTACTGCTGCTGTACAAGAAAATTGCCAAGTGTCTGCAGTAAGTATATTTTAAAATAAAACGGTGCCTGAAGACCCAGATTTGGCCTGATGCAGTTTGCTCTGTTTTCTAGGACCTTTAACTTGAAGGAAGCCCTGAATTCCATTGGTATTCAGACTTGTGCTGAAGTTAATAAGGCCCTGAAAGAGAGAGGTTTGCCCACTTTAAATGCTGAGGTTCAAGCTAATCTCATCGGTCAGTTTTCAAGCCTCGGAGAGAAGGACAATCCTGTCTGTACCTTGATGGGTGAGTCCTCTTTAGTTTTTTATTTTGTTTTGTTTTTTCTTATTTTAAATATAGATCACAGTTCCCCCTCCCTTCTTTCCTCCCTCCCTCTCCCGCCCTCTGATGCCCCACCTCTTTAGTTTTAAACCAGTTTCTGCTCGAGTTTCAGTTTTCTTTAACTTGCTGTATCTGACAATGTCTAAGTGTTGTCATATTTTAGTGTTAAACTCAGAAATAAAAGCAATTCAGATTTTGGATTTTCAGATAAGGGATAAGTAATCCATGAAATCCACTCCGGTACTCTATAACCAACCAAACAAAAAGCCCAAACATCTATGTGATAGATCTTGAATTTTTGGCAAAAGATACTGCCTTACTATTGCTGTGAGGAAACACCATGACAAAAAGCAGCTTGGGGAGGAAAGGGTTTATTTCACTCACAGTTCATCACTGAAAGCAGTGAGGGCAGGAATTTACACAAGGCAGGGACTCAGAGTCAGGGACTGATGGAGAGACCATGGAGGAGAACCCTGACTGGCTTACCTCCATGGCTTGCTTAGCCTGTTTTCTTATAGACCCAGGGGCATCAGCACAGGTGTGACCCAGCCCATGATGGTCCAGGCCCTCACGTTGAGAAAGTGCTCAGCAGGTTTGTCCACAGCCTGATTTTATGGAAGATCCTCCTCTTTGATAACTGTAGCTGTACTAAGTTGACGTGATCTAGTCAACACAGATACTGGGCTTTTACTTTTGGAGGACAAATCTGAAAAGTATAAAGAAAAGCAGATGTTTTCCTAATCCTCACTTCTCTGTTCAGAGCCCATCATAGCTATCCAGGCAGTGGGCTTTATGAAGACAGTGTGGTGATGTGGAAATCCTGGGTGAGTGTGCAGGTTCAAACCCACTCTCTGCACACTCACCGAATGAGGCTAATGGTTCTGCCATGAGCTTACCTGAGAGAACTCCTTGGTCAGAGTTAGAGAGGCAGAGAGCGAAGGCTGGGACTGGGAGGTGTGGGTGGCTGCCATTGTGCTTGCTGGTCAGGTAAAGAACCTCCTGTGTTTACCTGGACAGGTTGGGTGGGACAATTGGCAGTGTGGAGCGTGCACCAGGCCTCTTGCAGTTTCCTGTGACTACTTATAAAAAGGACAGTTGTTTTCTCCTCAAGCTGAGAGGGCCAGGGCTGGGGCTGGCTGCTGACAGTGTGGCTTCCCACTCCATCTCTTAGCATTGTGTCCCTCTGGGCTGCGCACCTGCACACTGAGGTGGCTTGCTCTGCCATCACCCTTCCATGTTGAAGTCATACAGGCACCAGAAGTCTTCCCCTCTGTTGGCTAACAGTGGCCCAGCATGGAGCCCTGTTGGTGTAAGTGGCCTGACTGTGGCCTGACTGTAGCTCAGTCCTTGAATTGGTCTTGGTGATAAGAGGCAAAGAACTTAATCTTGAAATGTGTGCTCACTTCCAGACCAGTCTGCTGAACCCGAGCATCATTGAGTGTGGGGAGACACTGCTCCCTTACACAAAGCAGGGTGTGGCTACCATTAAAGAGGACAAAGGCAGGTGTTTGTAAAATGTGTTCAGTTACTGCAGCAGCTGGAAAATAAAGCCTGGGAGGAAGAGGGTATACTCTGGGATTAATCTGTAATAGGAGGAAGAGGGTATACTCTGGGATTAATCTGTAATAGGAGGAAGAGGGTATACTCTGGGATTAATCTGTAATAGGAGGAAGAGGGTATACTCTGGGATTAATCTGTAAGCTTTCCATGCACAGTGTCAGTGCCCTGACAGTATAGTGCATTTTATTATGGATTCAGGGGCTCTGCAATGATTTTTCTTATTCCTGGGAACACAGGATACCAGAAGGTATAAGGGTTTTTCCGCACGCCACTGGTCTTGTCCCCCTGCCGCTCCAGCCCCAATTAACACACCAAGACTCTGTATTTGATTTAATGCTGTTGGCCAGGTACTAGTTTCTTATAGGCTAGCTCTGTCTTAATTATTAACCCATTTCTATGTATTTCCACGTGGTCTTACCAGCGAGAGGTGAGAGGCGGCTGGCGGTTCTGCCTTCTCCAGACTCTCCATCTTGACTCCTCCTTACTACTTCCTCTTTCCTCCTTGTCTCCTAGTCCCTTCTCTCTTCCTTTCCTATTGGCCAGCAGTGCTTTATTCATTAACTGGTATGAGAAACATATATACATAATGGCATCTCCCATCAAGAAGGTCAGGCTACAATAGGCTACTTAGGTGCCCCAAGGCTTCAACTTGACCCCAGAAAGGAACAGTGCCAGATTACAGCACTGTGGGTGGTAGTAGAGGCTGCTCCAAAGGGGATGGTTGACAATGGTAATTGACACAGCCACTTAACACACCCCTTACCTCTATCCCTCACATGCTGACCTGCGACTGCCTTTAGTCTCCAGAGGAGCAGTTGCAATCTGTGAGACTGTGCTCCTGGGAGAAGAAAGGAGCACATGAGCTGGCTTCCCACTGGTATGCAGACCTCATGAGCACAGGGGTGTGTGTTGTCTGCTGTTTCTCTACATGGTACCGAGTCTACAGATGGCATTTGTATATACTATGAAGGCCCATGCTTAAATACCTAACAGGGTGCCATTGAGAGTCTTACCTTGACTATCTGGTTCCAGGGTTCCTGTTCCTAATTGTGCTTCAGGCAGGACTGGAGCTGTGAACTCACAGTGCCTCTGTGCCTCTGTCTGTGCCCTGGATTTCAAATGGGAAGGGGGAGGGGCAAGAGATGCCTTTAAAATCTGCTAAAGCAGCTTTTGTCTCCCAGCTCTCCCTAAGGCAGCTTTGCCTGTTGTTCTGCACACTGAAAGTATTTCTTAATCTTATTCAAAGTATCGCTTCCCTGGCTACTCAAGTGACTGTCCTGAGTGTCTCTTGACTCTGGAAGACAAGGACAGGCCTTTGGCAGGGACTCCATTTGACTGCTTCAAACTGAGCAAATGTTTCTGTAGTCTTGGCCCAAAAACTTGACTTGTTCAAAGAGGAGACAGAAGCACTTGTTGATATAAGGATTTCATTTTTAAGCTTTCTTGTGACAAAGCGTTTAGATTGTATCTGTGATAAAGTTAGGCTCAGGTCTGCAAAAGTCAGCCAGTCCCAAGGGAAAGTTCACTGCTCTTTTGCATGATGAGACACTAGCATAAAGCAAGCACTTAGATCTTGGCGTACAGGCTAGGTACTCTCAGTGCTGGCCACAGCTCTCCCTGTGAATGGCACCCGTGTGCCGTGTGCTGGCCACAGGCTCTCCCTGTGCATGGCGCCCGTGTGCTGTGTGCTGGCCACAGGTTCTCCATGTGAATGGCACCCGTGTCCTGTGTGCTGGCCACAGGTTCTCCATGTGAATGGCACCCGTGTGCCGTGTGCTGGCCACAGGCTCTCCCTGTGCATGGCGCCCGTGTGCCATGTGCTGGCAGGTTAGGGAGCAGCCCTTGCTCAGTGGGCTGGATAATTACTTACCAAAACAGGGTGTTGGCACAGTACTGCTTTTAACTACACCAGAGCAATAGGCATGAACTTCACCATCTCTGGGAAACCCAGATGTGGGGCCAGTCATCCTCTGTATTATGTTGAAACCCCAAGTGTGCTAGGTTTCTAGATTTATTTCTCATAGAACCAAAAATTTGGATTTCGGTATGAAATCCCTGATTTTAAAATGCTATAAAACAAAACAAAACCCCAAAGAACAGTGTCAGCTTCAGTAATGATTGTTTGACGTTGGTCATTGACTTTTGTTAAAATACTACTACTACTACTACTACTACTACTACTAATAATAATAATAATAATAATAATAATAAAGTCTACCTCACAAAAGCACTGTTTTTTTTTTTTCTAATCAACCATCTCTTATATATACAAATCACTCCAAAACTCTCTAGCCTGAGTTTTATGTGCTCATTTCTTTCTCACAAGTCGGCTAAGTAGTTCTTTGGCCTTGTCCAGCTCATTTATGTTTCTGTGGCTGGGGCTGGTAGCCCTTATGGCCCTGATTGGACTTTCTCAGGAGCTTGGGAGGGGGCTGCCATAGATCTGGGGAGTCAGGTTTCTCGTCCCAGCAGTATCAGCCTTATTCACGCAGTTGACAGTAGGCAGAGGAGTCAGCCATGCATCTTGACACTTAGGCATGCAGCTGGCATCCTGCACTTCTTTTACATTGTGCATTGGCAAAACATGGTGACAAAGCCAGTTCAAGCTTGTGTCCTTAATTGGAGGAATTGTAATGCCACTTGAGGACAAGCAGCAGTAAATGGGAGCCTTACTGCTTATTATTAGATTATGGACTTTAGTAATGGGACAGGTAACGATACCATTGTTTTTCCTTTAGATAAACGGATCCAGTTGTACATGAAAAGCCTACTCTGTCTTCCAAGCACTCAGAAAAGCATGCCTCCCATGCCAGGGGGCCTTGGCGTCATTCATCAAGAGCTGGAGGTGCTTGGCTGTCAATACGCAAACATCGTGAATCTCAACAAACAGGTGTATGGACCATTTTATGCAAATATATTCCGAAAGCTGCTTTTCCAGGATGAAGCTGTGGGGAAGATAGATGCTTCACTTCCAACTAACTAAAGAGAAGCTGGCACTTGGGAAGAGATGGAGATTGGCACTTGGTACGAGATGGAGATCGGCACTTGGTACACGGTCCATTTCTACCAATGGCATTTTAGATGGGGCACAGTCTCAGTACTGTCCCTAGCGCAGTGTTAGACTGAATTTGTGTAACCTGGTAATGTTAGCATCACAGAGGGGCCACATATGCTATAGATTCTTTGTGTATCATTTCTGAGTTCAAGGCAGACATTTTAATGAAGAAAAATAATTTTTAATGAATTATATCACCAGAATAATATATATCACTGGTGTTTTCTTAAAAGCATTTTTATTGAGTATTTATATGTGGCTTGTTATTCAACCTGAAAGGAGTTGTTTTGTTTATATACTTGATTATACTGCAGTTGTCTGCAGGAATACAATGTGCAAACATTTAAAAAATACCTTGAAAATGAAGGGCATTCTGCTTTTTTTTTTTTTTTTTTTTTTTTTGTGGAAAAGTAAATTTGTGTCTGGAGTCGAGATAGCCAAGTACATTTATTAGGGTTTTTGATCTTAGTTCTTGGCATGTTTATTTAGTTTCTACTTAAAGATTCACTTATACTTTTGAAACTTTCCTAACATGGTTGTTTTGTAATAAAAAACTTTATTAAACAGCAGACATGGTAATCTGTTTATTCTTTTATTGCTAAAACATGTGTTTTCTTAAAATGCTAAAATTTATTTCAGAACAATTAATGTCTTGGTTTTCTAACTTCCCCTGGGTGCTCAGAATGGAATATTTAGCATTTTTTTTTGTTTTGTTTTGTTTTTTTCCCTCACTATAGCCCTGGCTGGGTTGGAATTCGCTGTGTATACCAGACTTACTTTGGATTCACAGAGATGTGCCTGTCCCTGCTTCCTTAGTGCTGGGATTAAAGATCCTTTTTATTAGTTATTCTTGGTTGTGCTGTTCCTCAGAGCAGCTTACAGACATGCCATCATTTTTGGTCATTCGGTTAACAAGCACCAGGGGGCATCCACCAGGTATCAAGAAGCTAGTACTCACTTCAGCAGTAGAAATACTAAAATCAAAGCATAAAGGTGAGAATAGCCCCTACACAAGGAAGATGTGAAAATGACTGAGGTGACCCATAGTTTTAAAGCAAGGTAAGCAAGGTTTTCCCCTCTCACGCAGAATCTGTTGAAGACATCAAAGAATGACCATTTCATGAAATTAAAGAAGAAGGGAAGAGTAGGAGGTGGATGTGGAGAATGACAGAGTAATGGGAGCATCGGTATTATCAAAGTTATAATGAGCCAGGTTTGGTGGTACAGCCTACATAATACCAGCATTCAGCAGGCTGAGGCAGAGGGATCCCAATTTAAGGATAGCCTAAGCTACAGAAATAATATCTTAAAAACAAACAAACAACTGTTATTTAGTATTACTAGTATATGTTTAAAAAAAAAAAAACTTTTTTTAGCCTTGGCTGTCCTGCAACTCCCTCTGTAGACTAGGATGACATCAAACTCAAGAGATCCACCTGCTTCTGCTTCCTGAGTGCTGAGATCAAACGTGTGTGCCACTACTGCCCAGCTAAATAATGCATTTTTAAACACTCAAATAAAATTATGAAAATTTAATAAGGGCTATAAAATGTGATTCATGCTAGGAAAGATCACTGAACTCTCCCATGGGGAGGATAATTCTTGGACAGAAGCATGAAGGACATATAGCAACGGGCCAGGAAGCAACAGGGTTGGAGTGGGCACAGCAGACTCTGGCTGAGCAGGGAGTACAGTAATTAGGAGAAGCAATGAATCCAGAGAGCAGCAGACAAGAATGCAGCAAAGCAAAGGTAAAGGCTCCCTGGTGCCAAAATTGAGCTTTCCTTTTTTTTTTTTTTTTTCTCTCCTGAAGGGTGAAGATGGAGTTTTCTGCCTCTCCTGGTCCCGCAGCCATTTAGTCCTAAATAAATACACAGAGGCTTATATTAATTCTATACTGTTTGGCCGATGGCTAAGGCTTCCATTTGACTATATCTCTCTTAATTTATTAACTCATTTCTATTAAACTGTGTATTGCCATGAGGCTGTGGCTTACCCGTAATGCTCCGGCATGTCACTCCTTTGGCAGCTGCATGGTGTCTCTGGGGCACTCGCTCTGTGTGTTCCTCTTCCCAGCATTCTTAGTCTCGTAGGCCCACCCATACTGGCTATATTGGCGGCTGGCCAATCAGCATTTATTCGCCAACCAATAAGAGAAACATTCTCATCATACAGAAGGACATCCCCCAGCAGAAGGGGATAAAAATAACCATTGACTACTTGCAATAGGACAAGATCACAAACAATACTGCTACTGCAACAAAAATTTCTGTAGGTGGTGACATCATAATCTTGTGTGTGTGTGTGTCTGTGTGTGTGTGTACATGCTCACAGAAACACATGGTGTAAGCAATAAAAACATCTGTGATGTGGGATGCCCCTCTGTATGCTGTGAATATGTTTTATTGCCATTGGTTAGTAAAGAAGCTGATTGGCCAATGGCCAGACAGAATATAGCTAGGCAGGAAATCCAAACAGATACAGAGAGAAAGAAGGCAGAGTCAGGAAGACGGCGTGCAGCCACAGGAGGAGTAGAATGCCAGAACATTACTGGTAAGCTACAGCCACATAGCGATACACAGATTAGTAGACATGGGTTAGTTTAATTGTGAGAACTAGTTAGTAATATGCCTGAGCCATTGGCCAAACAATTGTAATTAACAGTAAGTCTCAGTTATTGGGAAACTGGTGGGCTGGAGAGAAACCTCATTAAATCTGGGAACAAGTAGTGAGGGGGTGGAGTGGACACTGAGCACCTCACAGACCAGCTTAATTTGAAGCATCGGTCTTGGAAAATAGATGGCAGCTAGGAAGTGTGTGTGTTGAAAGACGTCTACAGCCACACTGATGAAATTCTGCTTGTTGCTTTGCCCCACTGAAGTAAAACCTCAAGTCCCTGATACCAACATCAAGTGAGTCCAGATCAAGTGCCCGACCTTACATGGTAGAGGTGAAACAAGGGAGTCGTTGACTCCTATTCCTGGGGCCCCACCAAAGTCCTGCCCAGGTTCTAACATTCTCCACTTGCTGTTCAGAAAAAGTAGAATTGGACTGAGTCACTAAATCCAAATTTGAACCCGCCCCAGCGCTCCATAGCTATGTGAGTTCAAGCCTTACTCTGCCTTTCCACCGGACTGCTTGTCTGCTTCACAGGATGAGGCTGAACTCTCTGCCAACTGTAGCATAATGTAACCAGCATACATTACTGTAACTGTAATCGATGAGTCCTAAAGCTCTTTCAAGCTTCAAAGGGTTTTAGTGTTTTTAGAAATGTTGGCTAAGTGCTTAACTACGTAAGAACAACATTTGTCATTTCTCATCAGAACCATGGCTCATTAGGCCCCAAATTGTCATTGGCAGAAAAACTCAAGGGTATAGGGAAGGCTGTAGAGGTTGTCCTTGATGTCAATTTCAAAGGCTGGTGACAAAGCACAACATGCTCTTAATTCATTTAATAGTCATTAAATTTATCCTGTGAGTTTTAACCTTGCAAGAAACGTTTTAATGATAAGCTTCATGCTGTCTCCTTTGCTCATCGGCAATGAAGCCTTGTTTTCATTTTCAAGCTTACAATGTGAGCCTCTTTAATACTTAAGGGACAGGAACAAAGGAGCTTTATGAAGAAAGACTACCTGGGAATGTCTCAGCAGGCACTCTTGCAGGTGTGTTGGGGCAGTGGGATCGTTTTTTTGGTCTTTCAAACCATGATAAAATAGTAACCGCGAGGCCGCACTCACCATTGGCAAGGCCTCTACCATTTTCATGTGCAACAGCTGATGAACTTACCGAGTAAATCTGAACTCACAGAGTCTCAGTGTATGCTGTTAGCTCCAGGCCATATTAGCTCCTTGATCATCCAACAAAAAGCATTTCCCGCTGTTGTGATGTTACCAAATGCTGTCTTGGTTACCAAATAAATGACTGGCCTTCATGTCCTGAGAGAATGGGACTGAATTTGTTCCCCCCTAGACTGGACATACTTCCTGCACGGGGTAAGCTAGTTTCAACCTCTCCCTCATGTGCAGTAGATGGCTATTTTTTGTGGGGAACCTGGCCTTTTGGGTGGGGATAATGATGTCCTAGGACACAAACAGGAACCTTTCAGAGGAGGGACTGTGGGCATGGAGGGAAGTGAAGACTTCTGAACTGCTCAGACTTACCCTCAGTATGCTGCAGTACCTTCTGCCCATGCTCTTCCCCGCCCACTGGTGAAATGACAGACAAGGAATATCCTAGCCCTCTGCCTTGTCAGACAGAGTCCTTTCTCCAGCACTGCTCCCAGCCTCCTCTGCTTCTTTGAGAATGTATCCTGCACCAAAACAGCACTGGAGATATTTTTTGCAGCTGGTAGGATTCTGCTAAAGTCTCGGAAAATGGACCTAAGTTCTTTAACGTAATGTAAAGGCTGGGAAATGGCCCAGCTCTGCTGGCTTTCTAGTATCACCAAACAGTGTCCTTTGGCAAGCCCTTTGTGAGCACCACCTTCAATTGTTAGGATACAGAAAAAATAGACTTACTGTGCCCTAGCTGTTGGCTGCATTAGAATGTGTTCTGCCTCCCTATACCTTTGCTGGGATGTTATGATTGATTAAAAGCATTAGGTGTCAAAGAAAAGCGAGTTTGAGACCTAACAAAAAGCATGGGTCCTGGAGTAAGGTAATTATGGATTTAAGTTCCAACTCCATTTGGGCAAAATTCCCAACTAATCCCTGTCTTAGCTTCTCAAGTGGAGATAGAATACTTACCAACAAGGGTGAATCATTAGAGAATCTACCTAAAGAGGGTAATCAAATGAATGGATGTTCTCCCTGGTATCCCAGGATGCCAAACACCTCTCCCATACTAATGTCCCTTAATCAGCCATTCCTGCCCTATGGCATTGGCCAACTGCGCATCTGGCTACCACATACTTCATTCACCTTACATAATGGATGGGGCATTACTACAAGATGCAAAGCACTGATCCTCTAGGACTTCCCAGACCTCTGTGCAAATCATCAGGCTGTTATACTAATACCTCAGTAAAAGGTACTGCAGTATACACCCGAGGAAGCACAAAACTAATCCCGAATTTTTTTTCCCATTGTTTCAAAAGTCTAACCTAGAACTCTGAAAGAAGTCATGGGTTTGACCTAGGGTGCAGAGGTAATGTAAAAAGGTATACAAGGGATTGCCATCTAATAGCCAATACCGTCACTGCTAACCAATTTTAGGGAGACTACTTTGGACAATTTCCTGTATTTAAAGAGAAACTTTTTAAAAATCATATGGCAGTTCACAATGTTTGCAACTCCAGTTCCAGAGTATTTGGCATCCTCACACAGACATATATGCAGTCAAAAACCCAATGTACATAAAAAAATAAATCTTTAAAAATCAGGGTGAAAATTAGGACTATAATGTTAAACTTATTACCTGTTGTGGCTTTATTTTCAAATTAAGTATTCACAAATTTATTAAGGAACAAACTGCACTAGAACCTGGAAAGCAAGACAATTCTCATTCTGGTATTCACAGCCTGAGAAGATAGACAAGTAAAGAGGTTATGATACTAGGTTACAGTAGCAGAGAGCCTGACAGATGCAAGGTTACAGCTCCAGTCTGTTAATCAGAAAGCTGAGATTTTTAGTCTCCAGGCGACTGCAATCTGTGATACAATGGGACAATCATTGTAGTGGAACTTGCCATTTATAAATCACATTCATAGTCCCTTCCAGACTATACTCTGAATAGGGTGCTCTCTGGTAATTAATTCACAAGGACCATTCAACTATATCTTGTTCCTCTGTGAACATTTTAAGATTTAAGGGCAGGGGTTGATTGTATTTTTAAATGATTTACCTTTCATATGAATAAGATCAGAGGCCACATCTCTAGAGTTGGTTCTCTCCTACAATGTGGGTCCTGAGAATTGCAATCAGGTTGTCAAGTTTTGTGACAATCACCTTAAACTACTGAACCATCATGTGGCATGCTTTTTTTTTCTTTCTTTACACACTTACAGAAGACTGTCACCAGAACATTTAGAAAATAGAAGCATTGAAATTTAAGTAAGTAGACCATCTTGGGGCCAGGCTGAAAAACAAATCAGAAGCTCATACTTAGAAATTTTAAGGACTTCCTTCCAATGGTGTAGACTGTTAAATGGTGTACATAGACCAGCAGCAGTGAGCACATCATCTATCTCCACAGCTTTTGTATTTCCCCCAAACTGGAACTCTATCCATTAAATTGTTGTTGTCTTTCACATTTTCTTCCTGTGGGATTTTTCTTCCCATTGGATTTGCATGAACTTATTTTCAAATTACAGAGGCAAATCCCTTTGCCTTTCTTCTACCAACTGTCTCTGTATATGTGTTTACTGAGAAATTTTTAATCAGTGTCTTCTGAAATTTAAATTTTTTCACAGAATGATAAAAATTTAAAGTCCTATTAGCAAATCTTATGCTCTTTGTTTTCATCCTTGAAACCCTTCACCAAATCAACATTATTAATACATTCCCTTTTCTTTGGAGACAGGGTTTCATGTAGCCCAGGCTGGCCTCAGACTTGGAAGGTAGCCCATGATGCCCTTGAGTTGCTTCTGATCCTCCTGCCTCCTCCTGCTAAATGCTGGGATTTTGCCACCATGTGAGGTTTATATGCAGCCCCAGGTTTATTCGTGGACAACAAACCCATGACTTGGTTCCAACTATCAAGCACTCCACAAACTCCCCATCTCTTACATTTCCTTCTATGTTTTTTTAACATATATTAAATATTTATATTGGTTATTTATATAGGTTATATAGGTACTGTTAATTAGCTATTCTAATATCAATTATTGGGCTTTCCCTACTGTTAGGTTGCAAATCCTGGGAGAAATAGGCATATTTAACATATCAAAGCAGACCTGGCCATCAGGTTCTCCCAGTCTCCTCCACCACACCTAGACACAGTCATGCACATATTTATTTTATTTATTTATCATTCACCTACCCATTTAAACGAGTAAATCTATCCATGCTAAACTTTCGTGCGGTCAGTTTATCCGAGATCGTCATCCCCGAGTTTTAGTAACACTGTCGTGTTAGGACTCGCTCTCATTTTGTGGGCGGTAGATGGCTGTCCATCACACGCAGCTACCATTGATTATTTAACCAACCACTTCTACCAGACAAGGGTAAGAGTTCTTGCTCTTTTGTACAACGCCAACACACACAGTTTTAGACTGAGTTAAACAATTCTCTGCTCCAGGGTGTCGCGTTGTGGCCACTGCCTGTTATCCAGTAAGTCTTCGGATTAGCTATACACACAGAACTACTGCATTCATTCAATCCTTCTGGGGAACTGGCAACAACCCTGTCTGTTGGCTGTGTGGGATTAGCCTCGGAACTACACCAGGGGGCGCAGTTTCCCACATCCGGGTCGGTCACTTCCGGGTAACACCGCAGGTTGGGCCCGGACCAAGCGGAACCTTTCTGAAGCGCCTCCAGTAAACAAGCGCAGCGGGGACACTTTAGGACAGCGCACACCGTTCTCCGCGTGCTGCCTGCTTGGAGCAGCGGGGCGGATGTGAATTTTCTGTCGGCTTCTTCCTTTACCGCGCGGGGAATGGACGTGCTAGCGGAGGAGTTCGGGAGCCTGACACCGGAGCAGCTGGCTGCGCCGATCCCCACCGTAGAGGTGAGCGCCCTGAGCGCAGGCAGCGGAAGAGGCAGGGGGCGTTGCCGGGAGAGCACTGGTGCCGGCGGGGGCGGGCCCCAGGCTTCTGCGCATGCCCAGGGCTGCGCGCGTGCGAGTCTCCTGGCCTGGGTCACGCGTGTTGGGGGCTGTCACCGACAAGGGGCCCCTTGCAGTCTCCGATGCAGCCTGAGCTGGCGTGCACTGGCAAGAACTGGCCCTCGCCTCCTTCAAGGGGAACCAGTGTCATCGTGGCTTCGTGGCAAAAGTAACTGAATGCCACGCTGGCCATCGTGTTCCCCATAGCCCAGAGTTTCTTTGGGCTGCAGACGTGTTTGAAGGACCCTGAATATTTTACCCCAACTTTTGATCGTGTATTTCCTGAGGGGCCCTTATAGCTCATTCATCAGATTCTCCAAAAGTTAAAGGATAATTGCTACACAGCAGTTACTGACATGATTAAATCCATCCCGAGAAGGCACACACAGTCTGAGCCTCGGAATCTTTGGCAGGGAGCGGGAGAGTGAGCACTGAAGATGGTCAGGGGAGAAATTCAGGCGAAGGGACAGGCTATGCCTGACCTTCAGCAATACCTAATCAGAAGTTTCAGAGGAACTGAAATAAATCCATAATAACGGGGGGGGGGGAGCAACAGAAAAAATGAAAGGTAAAGGTGTTGGACTTTTTCCTTGGGAATAATTACATTTGAAGGGTTTATACAGAGAGATGATGTAATTGTACAGAATGATAAAAGCGTCCTTAGGGCTCAGAGAGTTGGCATAAGGATTGAGTGTACCACTGGCTGCTCTTCCAGAGGACCCGATTTTGATTCCTATTATTAGCTTTAAACAGGGAGCTGCATATAAATAGGGCTTGGGGGGGTGCAGCATTTGGGGTGTGGAGGTAGGTGGCTCAGTGGCTCAGAGGGAGTTCCAAAATTCTCTTAAGGAAAATACACAGTATTTGTCTTTGTGTTCTGCATGCTTCACTACTCGTAATCAACAGGATCTGCTCACAGGCTTGTCCAACCTGTAGTCCCTGCAGCTAAGGGTAGTTGATAACATGGCCCAATGCAAAATTATAAACTTAGTTAAAACTTAATGAGAGTATTTGGGGGGGGGGTATGGTCCTGAAGTGTGAATTTTGTAGATCACAGTGTTGTATTACAGTGTTAATAATGTAAGGGACCTCCTTAACATTCCTCATCCTTAACTGCAACATCAGCTGGGACTCTCAACATGTTCCACGCAGACCACACAATGCTTTCTGCTGTTTGTGGTCCCTACCTGCACCTTAGCATTTGAACCATAATACACAAGCTAACTGGAACCTGCTGTCCTATCTTACCCACTGTCTTAAGTCTCTTATGAGTATTCACCCTCCTGACCTTGCCTAACCCACAGCAAGGAATACACATCCTCTGTGTCCTCAACCCTGTCAACTCCTGAAAAGTGTCTATGCCCTGATAAGCCTCTCCACCAGTCCAGCAATCCAAATCAGACCAAATCAAACTTAATTAGAAAGAGCCCAGGTTTAATGAGTAAATGGTAAATGCTCCCAGATGAGTTTCCAGCCCCCCACCCACCCCCAGGAGGAGATGGGGAAGAGAAACTGAAAAAAAGGAAAGTGTTTGTTTCCTGGGGGGGGCAGTTTAATACTCAGTGTGAGTGGTCTTGAGCATCTCTGTGGGAGGAGTCATCATTTGTCCGGCTATCTGAGATGCAGCAGGGTTTGGAGAGAGATGGAGGAGGAGACTTGTGGTGGAACTTCCACCAGAACATCTTCAACCCATGTGGGCCTGCTCACAGGGGCTCCTTCTATTTGGAGTGCCTTCCTCATGCACACATCATGCCCAGGCATCCCAGTCCAGCTACCAGGTGTAATAACTGGGCCCTGTGCAAACTTTTATCACCTGCTAAGTACCATTGCATTTGCTTACATGTCTCCCTGTTATACTAAGACTTCTGAAGTCAGGAAGTATGTGCATTTGTTCACAGGTTTGTTTTAAGTTGGTAAGAGACCACTACCAAATAAGTACTCAAGAAGATCTACAAATATTTGTTCACTTTTATCAATCAATAATAACTGGCCCCCCAAAACTTGAATAACTTCTGCTTGAATAATATGAAGGAAAAAAATACACTAGCATTGATTAATTCAAATAAAATGGAGCTCCTGTCTAGAAAGTTGTACAGGAAATATAGTTGGAAAGTTCAATAGTGAATAGCTCAGCCAAAAGGAAATGACATTTTAATTTAATTCATCTTATTAAATATTGCTCTAATAAGTACTATTCAGATTGATATTCATTAGTTCAGCAATAAAATTGTAGTTTATTTCACAAAACTAAAACAAAAATCAGCATTAATAAGTGCAATGTCAGTTTCCAAGTCTGGTGTCTTTCTAGGCCTGTTGCGGGTGGGGTGGGAGCATGGAATGATAATAATGTTTAGAATTCTATTACCAAGTCTTATGTTTTTCTCTCTGTTACCTTCCTTGAAATCTTCACCAAGTTAACATTGTTAAAGCATTCTCTCACTTTTTTTTTTTTTTTTTTTTTTTTTTTTTGTGGAGACAGAGTTTCTTGTAGCCTAGCCTAGACTTATATAGCCAAGACTGATACTGGACTCCTGAATCAGCTTCCATTGTCTAATTGCTAGGGCTGTGGACCTGAGCCACCACACCTGGCTCAAAGGTTTGAATAGTTTTAAAAGAAAAAGCTAATACAAAAGGTGATTGGGGACACATCCAGGATCTGGGGGGGGGGGGATTTAAAGGAGGAAGGGTTTTCCATTTTCCTGGAGGAGATTAGAAAGTATGTGTTTGTGGCAGACAGTGGGCTCTCCACTATGATCTGTGTACCCCTGCCTTTGCCATGGGAGGAATTTCACTGGGCACCCAGGGAAATATTTGAAACGTGGGAGCAGAAAATTGAAAAGCTAGATTAGTATGTAGGGTTGCTGAAACAAAGGACCACAAGTTGAGAGTATTAAAAACATTTCTGACTCCTGGAAGTCCAAGACCAGTCTCACAGCAGAGCCTCCTCCCTAGTGTCTGCTGGTTTACTGACAGCCTTTTTGTACAGAAGTTTCATCCCCCTGACGTCTGTCTTCATCTTTACGTGTCAGTATCCCTGAATGTGTCTGTCCAAATTCCCCTGTTATATGGCCACCAGCCACACTGAATTAGAGCTCACCACGTCCACAGTCTTGTAGGCCAGGCCACATAGAAGTCAGCATAGGGATGCGACTCAACATGTACTGGTGTTCTTTCCCTGTTTAATCAGATCCAACGTAACATAGCATTACGCAGATATCGAGTGTTGGTTGGTTGCTTTGGTTTTGAGCCTTGCAGGTGGCTAACCCCTTTCTGGTGTGCGTCTTCCTTTGTACTGTGGTAAACTTGGTTTTTGTGGTTGCTGGCACAGAGTTCTCATGTTCTTATTGTTTCATCCGCAGGAAAAATGGAGGCTGCTTCCAGCCTTTTTAAAGGTAATCGTTTGTTTGATATTTAATAATAATTGGTTATTTATCACCATGTTATGTTTATCACATGGTCCTTTTAATTTTTTCTGACTAAATGCATTTATTAATCTTTCCCTTACTTGCATTGAGGAAAACTGGTGGTTACTCATAGGCACCCTCTACTTTATTGACATGGATACCCTTTACCCTCCATTCCCTCTCTGTTTAGGTGAAGGGCCTTGTGAAACAGCACATCGACTCCTTTAACTATTTCATTAATGTGGAGGTAAGCATCCAGGATTCAAACAAGACATGAATTGAGGAACAGTTGGGAGTCAGAGTTCTGCCCCTAACCCTGCACTTTCTCCTGCAGATAAAGAAAATAATGAAAGCCAATGAGAAGGTTACAAGTGACGCTGACCCCATGTGGTACTTAAAGTAAGGAACCAACTACTCTTAATACTATCCTGATTGCTTTCTAAATACTAAAGTGAATGTACTCACTGTCAAATCTCTTGTAAAACCACTGTTGTGTCTATTTAGTAAACTAATTATAAAGTGCTCATGTTTGGCTTTTAATTGTAAATCATCATAAGTAGAGTTTTAATTGAAAATTTGTTAAAACCGTTTTTAATTCTTCTAAGCAAGCCTTTCTTTTGACGCGTTTCAGATGTAGAAAAATTGTAGGAAAACAAACAAAACAACTGCTCAGTGTTCTTTGCATAGCATGTGCGACTCCATTATACATAATCAGACCACAGTCACCAGAACTGGAAAGTTACATTGATAGAGTACGGCCAGCTGAACTATAGACCGTATTTGGTGTTTTTCCCATTTACGTCCGCTCTGTGGCTGACAGCCCTCTATAAGTCCAGTTCCCCGGGGGCCAGTGCCCTCTTCTCGTTTCTGCAGGTACCATGCATGCACACAGTGTAACACTTGAATTAAAAATAAGTTTTTAAAAATACATAAGGTGGAAAGCAGTAGAAGAAGCAGCCCAGCATTGTGTTTGGTCTCTCGTACACCTGTGTTGTTGGATGTTTTTCCTACTCTTTGACTCTTTGGGCTCTTTTGGGAATCTGCCACCCAGCTCCCAAGTAAATCACCATGGAATCTTTTTATTTCTCGGCCTTAGCTTGGCTTGTTTCTAGTCAGCTTTTCCGAACTTAAATTATCCCATCTGCCCTTTGCCTCTGGGCTTTTTCCTTTTCTTCTTTATATCTTACTTTCACTCTTGTTCCGTGTCTGGCTGGTTGGCTGGGTGGCTGGGTGGCTGACCCCTGATGTCCTTCTCTCCTTGTTCTTTCTTGCTTCTCCCAGATTTCTCCTATTTCTTCTCTTCCTGCCATCCCTGCCTAGCCTTACTTCTGCCTCACTATTGGCTGTTCAGATCTTTATTAGATCATCAGGTGTTTTAGACAGGTAAACAATCACATCTTCCCAGAATTGAACAAATGCAACATAAGCAAAATCAACACATTTTACATCATTAAACAAATGATCCAAAGCTTAAATAAATGTAACACATCTTACAATAATATTCTGCAACACACCTGTGAACACACAGGTACATAGTCATACCCCTCCCCCCCCACACACACATACACACACACACCTGTGTACATATATGTACATATTCATCTCTCACACACACTTACCTATGCACACCCGCATACATATTCATACATCTCTCACACTTACCTATGCACACACATATACATATTCATACATCACACACATGTACCTGTGTACAGCCACATCCATACACTTCTCACACACATACCTGTGCATACAAATGTACATATTCATATTCATACATCACATTCACACACAGGCATACATGCGCGTGCACGCGCGCACACACACACGATGGCATTCTCCCTCATTTGTAAAGTTATATGAACTATCACTTCAAGATGTCAATTACCACTTTTGTTTGTCACCTTCAGGAAGGGAGGCACTTTTCAAAGACTGAGGGATCACTTGTGCATAGTCTTTAAAAACACATAATTGATTAAATAAATTGGCTTTTCAGATATCTTAATATCTATGTCGGACTTCCTGATGTTGAAGAAAGCTTCAATGTAACGAGACCAGTGTCCCCTCATGAGGTAATTGTATATCTTACCTTCCTTGGACTTGTTTGTTTTCACCTAGAGTCTGCTTTTAATGTATACTCTTAAGATTTTTGTGATTGAAACTGGGTCCTCTGGAAAAGTAGCCAGTGATCTCAACCCCTGAGCCATCCCTTCAGTCCTATATAAACAATTTTTATCAGTCAGCAATAGAACATTTAAAATTTTGTTATAGCATACTGTACATACATTTCTACTCTTGTTGAAGGTATTGTACCTATACAGCTCTTTTAACAATGTAATGCAAATTATTGTCCTTGAAAGTTTTTATTACCAACAATATAGGATAATAAGGGAATGCAGGTTAATAATTCGTCAAACTTATAGTCACATTAGATATGTTTTCAAGGTCAAACAAAATTCTAGATAGACAGGTCGTCTTCAAACACTTCAAAGAGCTACAGAATATGGCATTTGAGATGTTTTAGTCACATAGATTCTTTTTTTTTTTTTTTTTTTTTTTGTCTGCTTCTGGCAGCACCAACCTACTTCAGATATGATGGGCATCAAAGAAGTTCCACATGGACTTTACTTTCTATGTGGCGAAAGTAGCCATTGGGCAAGAACGTGCCCTTGCCTGGACTGCTGACAGTATGATTTCCAAACTGGACAAGTAGAACACAAAAGAGACTGGCTGCCACACCTTGACAAGACAAGGCGGGACAGTCTTTCAAAAGTCCTGCTCACAGAAAAGTTTGTCAGATATGCTCACCCTATAGGGCAAAGGTAGATGCCCCAACATTGCAGAGGAACCTTGGGCAGTCAGCTGCTTTTGTCATTTCTCACTTTTTTTTTTTTTTTGGAAGTCTCTTGCTTATTCTTTCTGCTTACTCGGTTAATATTATTTCCTTCCCGGGTCTCTGAAGGAGTTGAAGACCAGATAGTATAGTTATAGTTTTCTTACTTTTATAATTGTTAACAATTTTGAACAGTATAACCAGCCACATTAAATTCCTTTCTATGATGGATTTGCCAGGGACAATCTGACTGATTATTGTGGTGATGTGAAAACAAACTGGTCATTTGTACCCAGTTGATGAGAAGAAGATCATTCCTAGGACTATTGTTCCATCTTTGGAATGACAGAACTAGGGGCCTTAGATCAGTATGTACGGCAATACATGATGCCGTCCTCTTCCTGAGGAAAGCAGGCTTGGAGTAAAGTTTAGTTTGGTGTGGACCATACTCCTAGCCGGGGGCGCTGAAGGGAGGAGGGACAGTAACTGTGTGATTTTTGTTCCAGTGCCGTTTGAGGGACATGACGTACTCTGCCCCGATCACAGTGGACATTGAGTATACCCGAGGCAGCCAGAGGATAATCCGCAACGCCTTACCCATTGGCAGGTGAGAAGTGAAGTTGCTATTGGAGCCGCACTGGAGTTTGGCTCCATAATGTGATCCTAAGCAAATTAATAAGTCTTCTTTGTTTCTTTCCCTCGTCTGAAGTGTGCGGGAAGCAGTACTTATCTCATGGAATTACCTTTGGATCCTTAGAGTTAGGGCCACGTATAGCTGTGGTTCTTAGTGATCGTATATCATTTTGTAAAGCTGAGGAAAATGCTTCCCTGCTCTTCTCCTGACACTAGCAGTGAGCGCTCAGTAGGTCAGCTAGGTGATGCCAGCAGTGAGCGCTCAGTAGGTCAGTTCGGATTTCATTGAATTCTCCTGCACTGGGCTTCTTGCTGTGCAACCTGTGCATAGTTTCCCTAGATGTTTATGTGTTGCAGTAGTTGTGGAAGAAGTTAGTATCTCTCAGAAGTTTGAAAATAATGGATGTCATCAGCTAGTATTTTTGGAATGTGCTTTTCCTAATTAGGGACATTTATTGAGTCTTCTGAAGATATAGTTGTGAATTTAAAGTGATTTTGGTTTTCTTGAGGTAAACCATGTGTACCTCCAAACCATGGTTGGAGGATGTAGCTCGTTTGCGTCTATTGCATAAACACTCTTTACATGTATACATGTATGTAGTCAGTGTATTCTGTACTTGAAATCTTTTCAACTTTATGTTTTTATTTTCTCCGAAATGCATAAATACCATTTCTGACTGTGTTACTTTAGAATTAAAACTGCATAACTTATCAAAGATTGAGTATAATAACTTTATTATCCTTTTAAGAAGAATAACATCTTAGAAAGCTTTGACTTGGATCAAGTCCTTGACTTTTGTTATTCCAGGTTCTTCTTACCTTTCGTTTTAACCCATAAATTCAAAATCATTGTTGTTTTATAAAGTTAACATTTAGTATTATTTCTGTGCATTTGTTTTTGTTATTTTTCTAAGATTTACTTTATTTTTTGTATATGGATGTTTTGTCTACATGTATGTATGTATGTATGTATACTACATGTGTGCTTGGTTCTGAAGGAGGGCTGAAGACAGCATCAGGTCCCCTAGATCTAGAGTTAGAGATGGCTGTGAGCACCCATGTGGTTGCTGGGAACTGAAGCTGAGTTCTCTGGAAAAGCAGCCAGTGCTCTTGACCCCAGATCATCATTCCAGACCCTTGTTTGGTTTTCTTATGCACTATATGTTTTTTTTTTTCACGTCAGACTTTGGTTTGTGTTATATTTTCCATCTTCTGAAGATGGCGACTTTCTTATAGAAATTTCATTAGTGAGGGTCTTTTTACTTTTTAGTTTGCATCTGGAAACATCTCTACATGACCTCCACGTACTAACAGATGTAGGTTGTTCTCTGGGTCCTTTAATGCTCTCAGTCTACTCAGTTTTTCCTTTTGGTAATCTGCTTTGCTCTGGTTTTACACCCTCTTTCCCGATTTGCTGTGTTGTATGCTTAGGTGTGGTCCTCTGTTCTGTGTAAATATTAGGGTGACGGCTTTCACACAGCTTTTTCTCCTCTGAATAAGTTTGTCTGGAGGACTGAGTGGGTGTGCTGTAGACTGTCTTGCTCTTTGCGTGGTGTTTGCAGTCTCCATCATAGAGTACACCTCTTAGTCTTCCTAAAATACTGTTCTTGATAACTGCTCCCACTCAGTAATTCTCTTCTCTGTCAGCTGTGCCATTGCCATCCGGCTCAGCTGTAGATTTTTGTTATCCGTGCCAGAAAGTATGTCTGGGAAATCTTTGGTTTCCCTTGGCTCTTGTGGGAACATCTGACATCTTTGACATTCTTCAAACATGCTACACAGAGATGCAGGCCTTTCTGCCATGTGTTCACTGCATTTTTTTTTTTTTTTTTTTTTATGCCTCAACCTATGCATAATAACTTCCTTTTGTTTTACTTTAAACAGGATGCCCATCATGCTACGAAGTTCAAACTGTGTCCTGACAGGGAAGACTCCAGCAGAGTTTGCCAAATTGAATGAATGTCCGTTAGACCCAGGTATGTGTGATGACTTGCGTGTACCCTCTCCCCCGCTTCCTTGCTCTATGTTTTCCCCTATTTTCTACTATAGCCTTTCTGTCCTTTCATGAACTTGTTGCAAAACTGTGTTCATAAATGTCTGAAGATTTGGCACCTGTTTTATTCTAGATTTTTAAAAATACTCGATTCTTTTGTTAGCTTCAAAAGGTTGGTAGCTTAACTTCTGACTTATTGCCAGGACTTGTTCTTTTCTTTCTGCCTTTGTTCAGTGGTTTCTTTCGATGTACTTATAATTTGAGGATCTCACTAAGTTACTGTCTAAGCTGTTCTGAGAAGACCCCAGTAGCTCACTGCAGTCTGTGTTAAATATAGAAAAGGGAGAAAAGTGAAAATATTTTTGCTGGGTTTTAATCTCTTAGAATTTATATTATGCTGATTTTTAGACTATTTTTTTTTTGATAAAATTTCAAACAACAGAATGCAGAGTTTCTCCCAATGCCTTTATTTATGATTTAAATTGGCCTAGAGCTGCTTTACTTGAACTCCTTGCATCAAGGGATTTTGTTATTTGCTTGCTAGACTCAAGGGATTTTGTTGTTTGCTTGCTAGACCTTACTTGGCTAGACTCTAACCAAGTTTTTCGGAAGTTAAAATATTACCTTAGTTTTGCTTACATTTTGCAGATAGAACGAAAACCCATTCTGTCCTATTCCTGAGTTATGTGAAAAAAATATGTAACATTGGCCTGTGAATTTTATTTTGAAAACCTGATCATGGCCTACTATTGTTCCTGATTTGTTAGAAAAGTTGGAGCAAGTATCAGTTTCCATTGGAGATCCCAGGTTATTCCTGTGCTTAAGAACTAACTCTGCGGAGCCATCTGTTCAGTGCATTGCTCTTTTCATTTGGCTGGCTTGGTGAAATACGCGGGTGTTATAGATTGTCTTTCTGTTACCACAATACACGCCGTGACCAAAAGAAGGTTGGAGGGGGAGGGGTTTATTTGGCTTACACTTCCAGGTCACAGTCTGTCATTGAGGGTGTTCTGGGCAAGAGCTCGAGCAGGATTTGAAGCAGAAGCCACGGAAGAATACTGCTTTCTGGCTTGCTTCCAGGCTCGTGTTTCTCTACCTTCCTTATGTAGCTCAGGCCCACCTGCCTAAGGAGCGCACCGCACACATGGACTGGGCTATCCCACACCAATTAGCAATCAAGAAAGTGCCCGGCAGACGAGCCTGCGGGATAATCCAACGAAAGCAGTTTTTCAGTTGAGGTTCCCTCCTCCCCGTGTAGCAACAGCAAAACTGACCAGCACCTTCTCCCCCTCGTCAGCGTCACACACAAACGCGTCACTTTAAACCGCAATTGTTCCTTTCTGGCTCGTTCCAATTATCTCATGTTAGTGCCATAATACAAAATATAGTACAACCTTAAAAGTCCCACAATCTTAAAAAATTGCAGTGCTTCAAAGGGTCAAATTCTCTTTTAAAAACTCAGAGTCTTAATGAATGGACCTCTATAAATCCCAAAACAAATCATCTGCTTCCTTATTCCAAGAAGGAGGACAGGGCACAGTTGTAATCAGATCAGAGCCCAGACAATCCACAGTGTGAAAAATTCAGTGTCTGACATGTGCGATGCGCTCATGAGCTCCTGGCTGCGGAAGGCTTGGATGCTCCATTCTCCGGCTCTGCCACTGGAACGCACATGGCTTGTCCCATAGGCGCATGCAGCTTCACCGCACACCTGCCGCTGGCCCATGGTCCAGGCATCTCCAGGATCTTGGAGTCTCCGCTACAGCTGAGGCTTCGCCTTCACCAGTGGCTTCTCCTCTCTCTCTCTGGGGACGTTAGCACTTCCACGTGGCACCAAGCCTCAGCCTCTCTTTCCCACTCCCCCAGTCCTGCGGCTTCGATGCTGCCAAACCACTACCACATAGGAGACTTAAAATTATTAAGTTCTGCCTTGGTCCGTTCTGGACCACAGCTTCCGTGTGCTTACCCTGAGGACATAACTTCCCGGATGACTCACCAGGGATGTTGGTCTCTCATTAATTACCACTGTTTCTCAGTCCCAGATAACCTGCCTCCATTGTCTCCGTAAAGCAGAAGGTTCACTTCCACAGATCCTTAATGGAAAAATACCACACAAACAGCTCTAACAGAGTCTCTGCTTCCCTCTGAATCTTTACAAGCCAGGCCGCCATTGTCTGCCTTTTCAGTGTCCTTACCTTCCAAGCTGTCACAGAACGACCTATTACTCTCTGAGCACTCGATGGCTTTTCTAGCCCAAAGTTCCAAATGCTTCTTCCATAGTCCTCCTCAAACCAGCATGGTCAGGTCCACCACAGAAACACCCCACTTGTAGGTTAATTTCTGTCTCAGTTTGCAACTTGAAGAGAGATTTATTTAGCTTACTCTTCCAGCTCATAACCCATCATTGAGAGGAGTTAATTCAGGAGCTCGAGCAGGAACTGAAGCAGAAACCATGAGGGAATGCTGGTGTCTGTCTTGTTCCTGGGCTTACGTTCATCTCTCTTTCTCATGGCTCAGGACTATCTATCTACGGAGGGAGCAGTAGGCTAGGCCCTCACACATCAGTTAGCAATCCAGAGACATGCCCACCAGGCCCACCAGGCCAACCAGATGGATGCAATTCGTCAGTTGAGGTTCTCTCTTGCCAGTGGTCAACTTGGCAACAAAACTAACCGGGGCAACAGACCAATGAGATGCACTGTCTTCAAGAGATGTGTCAGCTTTGGTCGCTGTGGAAAACCATGCGCTGATACTATCATTGGTCCACAGAACGGTGCCACCAGTGCGGTCCCTTCGAGTTAATGGTTGCTGGTGCCTGAAGCAAATGATCACAGGCACCCACCTGTAATCTGAGTACTTGGGAGGTGGGGACAGGAGGGTCAGGGCCAGTCTATACTGGTACTTGGCGACTACCTCACCTGTTCACCCTGGTGTAGAAGAGGTGGTGAACCTTTCTTGTTTCCTCTGGGCAGGTGGCTACTTCATTGTTAAAGGGGTTGAAAAGGTCATTCTTATCCAAGAGCAGCTGTCCAAGAACAGAATCATTGTGGAGGCGGATAGGAAGGGGGCCGTTGGAGCTTCGGTTACCAGGTATGGTGTTTTTCAGAACACTAATCATTTCAACAACAGCGGGTGGGTACCTTCTCATATGGAGGTGGCGGTATTGAAAACTCATCTGTAGTGTAAGTTTATAAGTACGGCATTGGTTTCAGGGTTGGGGATGCAAGGCAGTGTTTGGAAGACACTAGTTAATTTGTGTTCTTTATTAATTTATATTAATTTATATAAAGAAACTTTTTAAGAAAAAGCACAAAATCACTCTTCAGGGTTTCCATACTCCTTTTCAGGTTTCTTTTTGTAAGCAAAGACTGTTCCATGCATAATACTGCATGAGCTATACCATGGCCTTAGCATGTCCTTGTTAGCTGTGCAGTCTAGCTCTTTTCACATTCCTCATTTCCTACAGCAGCACCCTGTAGGACTTCTGCAACATCTATTCTCGTGTGATTTGAAACTTGAAGGTTATGAGGGCAGGAAGACTGTAGCATATGTAAGACGTCAGTGTGCAGTAGATTCTCTTCTGGTGGCCTGTAATGAGCCTATTAACATAGGGTTCTGCAGGCTTCTTTCTCATGGAGAGGCAGCTAACAATAACGGCCACTTACAACTACCAAAGACTTAATAGGAACCAGTCAGTTTCTTTGGTAGATTGTGAATTTTAATTGTCGCCACGGTCCTTCAGGATAAATGATACTGTTTCTGTTTCATAACTAAGCTCAGGATCACCTTGCTTGTAAGAGGTCCTCAGCGTCCATCTCTTCCAACTGCACACAGTTTTGGAGCCAAAGCACTCTGGATTTGAATAGAAAAAGATGATGTTTCTGTCACTTAGCTTCTCTGTCTCAGTTTCCTCATGTGATTTAGAGGGAGCGCTCACTAAGTGTTGTTGTGTGGAGACTAGAACTCCTAAGCCACATGGCAACAGGGTAGTGGGCAATTCATATGTGCTACTATGGTTGAATAGAGCTTTGGTGATGTTGTGAAGGAGCTAAATTAGGATAACTCTTTGTTTTTCTGTGTGCCGGCCAATACTGTGGGTAACTTTTGGATTACTAATTATAAACTTAATTCTTCTTAGAATATGGGCTGATCCATTTTGAGATTTTTCTTAAAAAAAAAAAAAATCAGCCATGAATATATGCTTTACAGTGGATCAAAGTAATTCAGGTTGAATAAAAATCAAATAAGTTAAAAGCCAGGCACTGTGGTGCATATCTATAATCTTTGTATGTAAGAGTTAGAAGGAGGGGCAGGAGTTTAAGATCATCCTTATGTAGCAAGTTCAAGGCCAGCCTGGACACAAGATCTTTCCTCAAAAAACCAGCCAGCAAACACACAAGGGGAAAGGGAAGGGAAGTTAGGTCAAAGGGCAGAAGTCACTGGTCCATCCACAATATTTCTACCATAATCTTGAAGATGAAGAAGCAGGTGTAGTGTTTCTAAGTGTTCACAGAATTGGCAGGAAGTTGTGTATCATTGAATGCCTGTTAACTAGGGGCAGTTTTATTTATGGAACAGCTGACCCTGACTGGGTAGGGATGCAGTTTAACTGGCTTGTGTTCATTCATAGCTCCACCCATGAGAAAAAAAGCAGAACCAACATGGCCGTGAAACAAGGACGATTTTATCTGAGGCATAACACCTTGTCTGAAGACATACCCATTGTCATCATATTTAAGGTAAGACTTCAGCCCTTTTCCTGAAAAACCAGAGTTTCTCTGGTTTCTTCTCCTTACTAATTACAGTCTTTATCACATTTTAATTTATTTTTCTGTACGTGTGTGAGTGTGCATGCTATAGTGTGTCTGTGTGGTGGAGGCCAGAGGACGAAACGGACAAGCCGCGTCTCTCCTCCCACCACGTGAGTCCCAGATGAACCCAGCTCATCGGGCTCCGCATTAGCACTTCACCCACTCAGCCGCCCTACTGTTCTTGTTTTTCACATAGAATTAGGTAAGGCAAACTTAGGCAGGTAAGGGATTCTACGGGTAGAAAGGTTTGTGTCATACATATGTCGTATGATAATCTGTTTTTTGTTTGTTTGTTAGTTTTAGGTGATGCCAGACTGTACAAGGGTGTAATAGTGAATTAGCCTTTCCCACCGTCTTCCTCTTCACAAAGTGCTACCTAGAGATCCCACTTCTACCAGTTCCTCATGAGTCTTTCACGTGGCGGTTTGCATACTCATGGGTAGAAACGCGCAGTGCATATTATTTCACACTCAGCTCTTTTTGATTTTATAACTTACATCTTGGATATGGTGTAATAGTTGTATGTGCAGACTTGGTGTCTTTGTTGCTGTGGTAAATGACAACAGCAGTACATGGGGAAAGGGGTTTATTTTGCTCCACAGCCCATCGTGGCAGGAAAGTCAACATGGCAGAAGCCTGAAGCATCTGGTCACATTGCATCTGCGGTCAGGAAGCAGAGAAGGCAGAGCTCTTGCTCAGCTCACTTTCTCCTGTCCAGGACCACAGCCTGGGCATGGTGCCACTCAGTATTTGTCTTCCCATCTTGAAAATCCAATCAAGACAGGCCCCACAGCATGCCCAGAGCCTGTCTCTGAGGTGACTCTAAGTCTCACCAGGTTGACGTGGGGATTAGCTACAGACAGATCCGTTGACAGATTGTTGTTGCACTTACAGGTGTCTCTGTAACAAGTCTTGTCCTGTCCAGCAATCCAGCTCCCAAATAACAACACAGAGATTGCTTGTTAATTATAAAAGTTTGCCCTTAGCTTAGGCTTGTCCCGTTAGCTCTTATACCTTAAATTAACGTGTTATCTTAATCTACATTTTGCCTCGTGGCTTTTTAATCTTTCTTGCAGCTTGCACCCCCTCCTGTTTCTTGTCTATCTGTCAGGTGACTCTGCATTCTTCTTTCCAGAGTATTCTCTGTCCCCTGAAGTCTCATTTAACCTTTCCTGTCTATTCATTGGCCATTCATCTCTTTATTACACTAATTACAACAAATACATTTTCATACAATGTACTAATATCTCGAGTTTCCCCCTTTTATCTAAATAAAAAGCAAAGGCTTTAACTTTTAACATAGTAAAATTGTATACAATAAGAATGATTATCAGGTAACAATTACATTCACAATGTCCAGTCCATTTGTATTTAGCAAATTTGGAGAAAGTACTGTAGTGTCTGTCCTATTTTAGTGAGTCCAAATTTGGTACCTAATTTACTTTCAATCCTAACTTGTATTACCAACCAAAAACTATCTTTTTAGACCTCAAAACATTTTCTAGATAAATAATTTAAGCTTTTATATCTCTCAACCTTATACACTTTATATATCTCTTATGTTATTTTCTTTTCTGTGTTTGGCAACAATGAAAACTGTAACTATAACTTTCTCGTCTTCAGCTGCATCAGAGATCCAAGAAAGATATACTATTACCTGATTTAATAGGAAGTGCAGAACAACTTCCAAAAGTATACAAATGACAGAGACAGCTGGCTGCCTGGACAATCACCCAAGGTTCCTCAGCAATACTGGGGCATCCATCTTTGGCCTACGGGCCTAGAATATCTGACATACTTTTTTGTGAAGTAGGAAATTTTGAAGGACTGCCTTACCTTGTCTTGGCAAAGTTTGGCAGTTGTGTTCTTTTGTGTCCTGCTTGTCCAATTTGGACAGCATGCTGTATGTCAGCAGTTGAGGCAAAGGCAGTTTCTTTGCCCAGTGGCTTATGTTTGTCTCATTAGGTCTTATAACTTAAATTAACCCACTTGTATTATATTGTTATATTAGTCTATGTTTTGCCTCATGGCTCTTTACCTTCCTTTTATCTTGCGCCTCTTGTTTCTTCTCCATCTAGCTGTTGACTCTGCTTTTCTTCTTTCCAGAGTTCTCTGACCCCTGAAGTCCCTCCTGGCTTCTTCCTGTTTAGCTTTTGACCATTCAGCCTTTTATTACATCAAACACAGCAAATCCATTTCTACACAGTGTACACATATCCCACAACATGATCTGGGTCCCAGTTCATGGACACAAAGCTCTTGATATAAAACACGCTGTGATAGGCTCTATCTTGGGAAATTCCAGATCTGTTCTTTTTTATAGACTTCTAGATTCTCTTGTTTCTAGATAAACATGTGTCCTTACTATACAACTGGATTTTTAAGTAGTGGCTTAGAACCTGAAAAGCTATTTCCTGTGGAAATGATTAGTTGGCAGTCTTCTTGGAAACTGCTATGGTCTGTTTAACATGTTGTGAGGTGTGAATATAGGTAACATGAATCTGGATGCCTAACTTAACTAGTACAGAGGGAGGCCCCACACAGCTTGTTGGGTAATCTCAGAGACAAACACTGCTCAGTAGCACCCTTCAGTTTCACTCCAGGACTCAGCTTTCCTGTCCCACAGCCGCTCTATAGGAGAATGGAGTCACCAGGCAGAGATCCTATACCGAGGCAGCAACTAATCTGCTTAACAAGGAAAAGCATTTGTAGTCACAAAGAAGAGACTGGGCCTCTACTCTTAACGATGTCCCGGATTGCATGGGCGCCGGGCTTCTTCAAGTGTGGCTTGTGGTTATGGGTGGGATATGCCCCTGGACATTCGCAGGTACTGACTCATGCTGACAAATCAGGTTCTTTAACTTGAGAAATAGCCATATGTGAGATGCAGTCGTATGAAAGGGGTTCTACAGACTATTTTCTATGTTTAATATAGCTTAATATTCTTTTGAGTTCTGTATGGAACCCATATTGGAGCCCAACAATTGGCTGAAAGTTCTATATGGAGTCATTGATTTTCTTTACAAGATAATGACAGCAGTCATAGCAATAGGACCATTATATCAGGAGTCCAAAGAGAGTCTCATGCATTCTGCTGTCTAACTTCCCTTCTTTGAAGTTTGTATTTTCAAGTACAGAAGGAATTTTGGTTTTCCTAGGAAAACCCTACAGCACCTGGCAATGTCTCATGTATACACAGTGACAGAGACATTTTATCTACCAGCCTAGAATTACATCTTCAGCAGAGGGCAGTATGTCTCCATGTATCCATGGCACGTTTTTTTTCTCCAAAGTCTTGAACATGAGAATGAATAACATTGCTGTTTTTAGACTAGGAGTGTTAATTGATCAGAAGCATAAGATCCTTTTATCACTCATGTAGATGCATGCGTGGATTAAAAACCTGAAAAGCTTTTTTTGACTAGATGACCACAGTTTAATAGAACAGTTTCTTCTGTAATATTTAATATCTGTGTTGTAAACATAAGCAGATAGAGCTGACTTAAGTTCTATCTAGAAAAAGGCAATGAATTAACAATATGTTTTTTATGTAACCAGTTAAAAATGAAGAAAGGCTCTGAAAAGTTTAGCATATTTTTATATATTTTATAGGTCTTTTTGTGACTTATGATATACATAACAACTTACTGTGTTTTACATGACGATAGGTTACAGCATCTTTCTGCATGGTCGTTAGTGGTAATTATGTGTGTAACTTGTTTCTTGGTATCTAGAGCGTGATTTTAGGTGTCTGTTTTCCTTTCCACTTGGGTGTTTTCAGTCTTAGACACGCACTCTGAACTGGGTATCCTTAGCATGCTTGTTCATGCACACTGCTGATAGATTGTGGGATTTTAATCCTGGAAGTGGGAGTGTATCTCTTCAACACTTGGTAAGTGTTGCATAAATGACATTTAAAATAGCGTTTAAAACTGTTTAGTTCAGATAAGTGAACTGATTGTATACAGTCATGTGTTAGTCTTCTCCTGCAGGAGTGTTTTAGTCAGCTGTTGAGGACTCTTTGTTTACCACCCCTTATTTCTACCTGGGTGACTGTGCAGCTTACTGGAGATCTTAGAGGCCAACAGATTTAGCCTAAATTTCTGTTCTTTCCACTTAGTAGCTGTGTGACATTGTGAAGAATTACCACCTTCTCTGAGTCCCGAATAACTCATCTTTCAACAGAAAATTCACCTCCGGGGCAATGTATGAGACACAGATGAAATCATGTGTTCCTTTCTCTTTGCTTGGCCCTCCTTACCCCTTGTCAGAAGCTGGGGAAAAAGAACCTGGATGCTGCAAGAAGCACTTGGTTTCTCTTTGTGTGTTGTGTGGCCTGAAAGACCTTGACAGTCATTAGGACCTGATGGTTGTTGATTGTAACCAACAATTGGCTCAAAGTGGCTGGAGCAGCAGGGTCTCCAGACACCATGCTGGGTGTGAACGTGCTGGGTAGAGCTTGGAAGGCCTGGGCCAGCCTTACTTAAAGGCTTGAATCGCCAGGTCTCCTGCCCATGAATCTGCCCTCTTCCCATTTTGTGTCCCATGCTTTCAGCAGTTATAAGTTGCATCTTTTAGCCCAGGAGGATCTCAGGGGCTGGGCTTTGTTTCTTAGAGCCAGCTTCTGTGGACGTTTTTGTTTGTTTGTTTGTTTTTTTAATCTTTAAAGGGAATCAACTACAGATTTAAAGAACTCATCACAGTTCCCCTGCTATCGGCAAGAACAGCTGCTAGCAGTAAAACTTTCAGCTCCCTACAGAAAACCAGAGGCTCTGGATCTTGGTTCTGTGAGGGAGTCACCATCATCAGGGCCCTTACACGTCTCCCTCCCCATCAGTGCAAGTCACTAGTGTCTTCTCTCTACCTTTAAAACTTGCACTTTGTAGGTCTCTCAGGACAGCTTCATGCTACTTTTTAAAGAGTGCCTCTCCTGGATTTTGTTCAGTGTCACTGACTGCCAGACGGTGCATGACCTTCAGACAAACTTTATCTCTGCCATTTTTTTCCCTAAGGTTATTATTGTACAGCATTTCTCTCTTGACTTTTTGGTTAGTGGGAGTGATGAGGGTTCAGGAGTACAAAGAGTTCCACATAATATTAGTTTTCAGGTGTCTAAATTATATCTGTAAAGCGAAATGGATGGGCATCTTGTTTGTTTCCATGGCGATATGTCATTTATTTGTAGCCATGACTGCTGAAGGCTAAACAGTGCTAAAGTTGATTCAGTCTTTGGAGCTGAGGCTCTTTTGACAATACTTGTCTGAGTCATGGTCTCTGTGTCTCAGTGACCCAGTAGGGAGGATTTAGTCTTGCCGGAACGCTTGGGCAGCCCCCCATGCCTTTATTCCTGAACCACCTAAGTCTCCTCAGTTCCCCGAGTTTTATGAGCCTCCCTCTTCCCTTCAGGAGGGGTATGTCAATTCAGAAATAACTACAAAGACGCATCTTTGTTCTGTTGGTCAGAAATCTGGGGGTTATTTGGCTGGGGGCTCCTGGCTCAGGGTCTGTGTGTTATCAGAAAGTCTGTCTGTCGTCACCTGACGCTGAATTAGAGCTGGGCGACCACGGACATGGTAAGAGGCTGTAAGGGTTTTGTTTTTTAACCCCTCGACTCCTCACATTCTTTTCACAGGGCAGCATTCTGGCCAAGCGTCTGAGTAAGAGTGAGCACAGGGCCATGTGTGCTACAGAGGCAGCAGCTTGCAACGCATAAGAAGGTTCCTAGTCAGGGCCACACTCACTTTCAGCAATGATCGTTTCTGACTTGCTACCATGGGGATGGCCTTGCTTTTGGTTTGCTGTTGTTACTGTGACTCCACTGAATCTAGAGATGACCCCAACTAACAGTCTGAACAGCAGTGGAGAGGCTACCTTAAATGCCATTCCCCAATAATGAGATTGATGACTAAATTATACGCCATCCTAGAGCCCTCATCTAGTAGCTGATGGAAACAGAAGCAGACACCCACAGCTAAACTGAGCTGAACTCCTGGAATCCTGTTGCAGAGAGGGAGCCGTGATGAGCAAAGGGGTCAAGACCAGGCTGGAGAAACCCACTAGACTTCCCAGCCTCAGTTCTTCGTGGTGAAACTCTTACAATATTCCAAAAAATTGGGATGGTTGTGCACATGCACATGCTTGAGGATGTTTGTTTTCCTCTTCCTAATGACAATTTCTATTTCAGGTTCTCGTGCAGATTGGGCTATGGCTGCCAGTGCCAGATGGCCCCATCTCTGAGAGAAGAGCTGGCTCTTGCTTAGGAGTAATACCCACAAACAATGCCAGATTAGCATAAGCAAATGTCAGTGAGTGAACACAAAGCCAACGCTCTGCTCTTTCCTTCCCTTCCTAGGCCATGGGTGTTGAGAGTGACCAGGAAATCGTGCAGATGATTGGAACAGAGGAGCACGTGATGGCTGCATTTGGGCCCAGCTTGGAGGAGTGCCAGAAAGCTCAGATTTTCACACAGATGCAGGTGTGCTTTTCATGATGGCTGTGGCTGTGGATTGAGACATCAGTGCTGCTCATCTCAATGAGCCACCATTGCAGTGGCTTTGGGCTGTAGGTTTGGGAAGGGAGTTGAGAATAGTGAGTTCTTTTGACTCACTTCTGTAAACTGGAGGAAGGTGTCTGCCTGAGGCAGGCAGACGGGCTGGACTTTTCAGAAGAGGACTTTGTGGGGAGGAAGCTTCTTGTGTACCTCGATAACAAGCGCCGTCTCCCCTCTCCATTCAAGGAATGGTCCATTTTTAAAAGTATTGGCACTGGCGTGCTTTTGTTCTTCTTTGATGTCCTTTGATGGTGCTGCTGGTGGTGGTGGTGTTATGATAAAACACCATGACCAAAGCAACTAAGGGAAGAGTTGGTTTTGGCGTTCGGTTCCAGAGAGATAGAGTCCATAATGGTGCTGAAAGCATGGTAGTAGGAAGCTGGCCAGTCACGTTTTCACTGATACAAAGGAAGTAGGAAGAGAGCAGGAATTAGGGAAAGGTCATCCTCACACCCCACCCCCAGTGACATACTTCTCCAACATAGCTCCTCCTGGTGAAGGTTCCATAACCACCAATGGGGGGGGGGCAGTGTTCAGATACATGAGCTATGGCAGACATTTCTCATTTAGCACAGCATGGACCAAAACCAGGGCTTGCGTTGTCTGCATTGCAGGCATCCTACCAACGACCTTGGTACTAATACCCGTTTCATCCCCAACTTCCAATTTATCTATTCGGTCTCTATCCCATTTTCTAAATTCCTAATTACTTCAGTGTCAAGAAAGGTCCAGGAATAGTTCCTTTTATCCTCTCAGGATCATCACTGACCTCAGATACACCTGATGAGAACCTTGTAATCTGAGGAGAAGATGGCGTTAGGGAACTCCATGTGTGTAAACATACTTAATTCTACTTCCTTTTTCACGTGAGAGAGTCCTCATAGTAGTTGAGCTTTTCAGTCTGATATTCACAAGGTGTTTTGCTGACTCTGAGTCTATGGCATCCCTCATGCCCTCTGAGAGCTAGGGATGCCCTCCTGTAGAACTAGATTAGGTGGTTTGAATCTGTCCATATGTACATTGTCTACTGTGAAGTACTTACAGGAAAATACAAATCCTGGGTTTCTTTCTTCTGGTCATCTGTTTGTATGTTCTGAAATCAAATCCGTCTTGATGGTTTTTAGATGAAGTCATGCACTTAGGAAGGTTGATGACATTGCAAGTATGTGTAATTCCCAAGCACATCATTAGAGATTGCTCCTCACAGCTTTCTCTTTCTCTATGGTTAGTGGAAAAACGACTCAAATGATTGTGCAGACAGCATCAGGAAACATTATTTTTATTAGGAAGTATTATAAAAAAAGGCCTGTCTTGGAAGTGAAATACTTGATAGGCGTGAATCTTCATTTAAAAAAAAAAAATCAAGGAGTCTTGTCTAGGGCGCTAAGGACATGGAGAGGAAACATTAAGAAATAACCAGGAAGTAGGAAATGAACACTTTTCTTTTGAACAGGAACTGTGGGCTCAGCTTTGGGAGACTTGCTGTTCTGTCTGTGAACAGAAGTGTCCTAATGGTAACAGAGGGCTCTGATGATCTCCCAGCACATGTTAGCCATGGCTGTCAGGTAGCCTTCAGCATTGTAGAGCTGTGCAAGCAAAGGCTGCAATGGGTTGGAAACCACAACTGATGGAAATGTTTCTTCTATAACTCAATTAGATGGAAGAAAGATAATTTACTAACTTCAGAAAGAGAAATGTTTTTGTTTCCATGAACAGAAAGTATGAATTTGCAAGTGCTTATAGTCATGCGTGCTAGGCTAATAATAATCCAAAATGATTAGTTTATTGAGCATATAGTATTGGTTACGAAAGCATGAGCATCCTCTGAATGAGGGTGGAGGAAGTGTACTTCACAGTGGAATAGTGTTGTGTGACAAAACGTTTCCTGGGGAGATACAACACGTAAGTCCACTCACCCCTGATTAGGATCTCAGGAGAGGCCAAAGTCTGGATACCACCAGAGTCAAACTTGGTGGACCAGTGAGTGCTATTGGAAGGGTATGGGTGAGGAGCAGAGTTGACTCAGACAGCTGCATCACCAAAGGTCACCTCAGCATGGCTGACAGCTCACAGCCTCTGAAACCTGGAGCACACTGGAGCCTGCGGGCAGCTCAGCAGGTTGATCGAACATGCCTTTCCCAGTTGAGCCTGGTCTCGGCTCTCTGCTTCTTCCAGCCTGCTGGTCTCAGGTCCTCTTCACAGCTTTCTCTCTGTCTCCTTTGCAGTTCCCCTTGTCCTGGAGGAGCTCCCAGCTTCACTTGCTTACTCTGCCAGGGAGGGGGCCTAGTGAGTCTGCTCAGTCTCAGGAACTTCCTGAAGCTAAGTCTTGGGTTGTTTACCTGCCTGCTCAAGGAGCTTCTATGGGACGGGGTGTTTAAATTCTTCAGGAAGCTGTTACACTACAAGTAGCCCTTTGAAGATGTGGTGCTTCAGTTGATTGCTGAAAATCTAGGATTATTCTGTTTTGAGGCCTGTTGTTAGCCTCCACCATTTCCTCTGTTCTGAAGCCTTAGCTCTATATTTATGTTTTCATCCTTGTCAAGGGCTCTGGTGTACAGAAAAGGTGTTTGTTGCCTCTTGGGGGATGTTGGTAGGATTGACATTTTGTCCTACCTTGGTAGGCTGTTTCTGCAGCCTCACACTGTGAGAAGGTGGCATTGTTAGGTACCCAGGGAGGAGATGGCAGTGTGACTTCAGAAGGGACTCCCCTCTCCTGTCCCTCTAGAGTTTAACTCAATGTGAGGAATCTTGCAGCTTTTCCAAAGGAGAGGACTTTAATGGCAGCTCAGTTTAGAGGACATCAAGCTGCCTCTGTGTTTCCTGCCAGGTGGGGTTGGTCTTGTCAGTCTCTTCCTCCTTGCTTATTCAGCAGTCACTATGTGAGTACTTCAGTGTCTGCTTTATCTAGAGTACGGAACTTTAACCTCAGTCCTGTGTCTAACTTTTGCTAAGCATACAGTCCAAAATTTTCCCAAGGGTTTTGGTTGTTGTTTGTTGTTTCCTTTTATGTTGTTTGTCCCTTTACTACGTCATAATATTCCATTGTATGATTCGATTTTTCCCTTCTTGTGTTGATGGCCATTTGGGTCTTTTTTTCTTTTGCCTTCATGAACAGTGCTACCATTAACAAATGTTTATATGGACAAATCTTCATTTCTTTTGGGTAAATAAATAGGAGTTGAATCACTGAGCCAGAGAACGTGGTATATTTAACTTTTATAAAGTTGAAAATACCAAACTTTCCCAGTCCCCAAATGATCATGCCATTTTGTATTACTGGCTGCAGTCTTCGAGTCTGACTCCTTTTTGTTCTCACAGTATTTGGTGTTCTGTCTTTTTAATTTTAGATGTTCTTTTATTGTGGCCTTAATATTAATTTCTAGTGGCAAATTATGTTGAGCAACTTTTCATGTGTGAACCAATCACTGATTTTCTTTGTGAGGGGTTTGAACTATGTGTTTACTATCTTATTTATCTGTTTATTAATGAATTTCAGAGTCTTTTTAAAAATAAAAACTGAGCCAGGCATGGTGGCATATCTTTAATCCCAGTACTTGGGACACAGAGGCAGGTGGATGTCTTTGAGTTCCAGGATAGCCTCGTGTACAGAATGAGTTCCAGGATAGCCAGGGCTACACAGAGAAACCCTGCATTGCTTCTCTGGTCTTTTTCTTTCACGGTGTTGTTTACCTTTGGGGAAAAAAAACAATTACCCAAAAAGTTTGTGTTTTGTCCTTTGCAATCATTACTCTATCCTATTTAAGGAGGTCTTTGCCTACTCCAAATTAGGATATTTTCTGTATCTTTTTCTAGAAGTCATATAGTCTTAGTTTCCATGTTAGATATAAAGTCTTGTTTTGTTTTTCAAGACTAGGTAGCCCAGGCCATCCTAGAACTCACTTTGTAGACCAGGCTGGCCTCAAACTCAGAGATCCTCCTGCCTCTTCCTCCCTAGTGCTGGCATTAAAGCCGAGTGCACCATCGCCTGTCAGGTCTAAATTCTTATCTGAGATTAGTTTTTCCTTTTGGTGTGATATGGAGGCCCAGGCTCTTTGTTCATGTTTGGGTACTGAGTTGTGTTTTACCAATTCAAAGGGCAGTTTCTTTCTCGATGGCTGGTTTTGATGCTTGTCAAGGGTTTGTTGACCACTCAGTATGTTTGGGTTTTGTGATTTGTTTCCATCTTTCTCCATGCCAGTGTTATATAATTTTCATTACAGAGGTTTTGTTTGATTTTCAAGACATGGTCCCTGTATGCAGTCCTGGCTGATCCTGAACTCACTCTATAGGCCAGGGTGACCTCGAATTCACAGAGATCCACCTGCCTCTGCCTTCCAAGGATTGAGATTAAAGGCCTGTGATATCAGTGCCTGGCTACTGTAGTTTTATAGTTAAAACCATGATTGCTTCAGGTATCCAAGTCCTTTGCATATCCATGTAAATTGTGGAACCTAAAACTTTAGAATCGACTAATTTTGGGTTTTTTAAACCCTTTTGGGAATAAAATGATCTACTATGAATTTATTGGTTAATTTAGAAAGAATTTAAACTGTAAATCATGTTATCAAGTCTTTTAGCTGATGACATTCATTCTGCATTTATCATTTATTTGGGTTTTGTTTTCTCTGTAGCTTCTAGTATAGAGATTTTTTGTTTTGTTTTTGTTTTTTGAGACAGGGTTTCTCTGTATTGCTTTAGAGCCTGTCCTGGAACTCGCTGTGTAGACCAGGCTGGCCTCAAACTCACAGAGATCCTCCTGCCTCTGCCTCTTGAGTGCTGGGATTAAAGATGTGTGCCATCAATGCCCAGCTAATATAGAGATCTTAACATGATTTCCTTTTTTTTTTTTTTTTGCATGGGGGGTGGGAGTGGAGTTGGGGTGAGGGGAAGTACCCTATTCCACAGTGATATTCTGAATGAAGAATTGATGGCTACCTTATAGACGCACACAAATACAATTTCTCTCTATGATTTCTCAGTTCCCTATAAATAATTATGTGTCAACTTTATAGGAATAAGACAATTTAAAATTCAAAAGGGAACCAGTGTGTTAGTAGGCAGTGTGCCGTAGTGTTTTGCTATTGGTTCATGGTGTTGAGTCTTCGTTCCCAATGCAACAATCTTGTAACCAGGGTCCTTGCCACTTTGCCTGTAACAGCACGTCAGCAGTGATGCTCTGCAGTGATACAATTCAAACACTACTGTTTTTTTTTTTTTTTAATAGGCGTTAAAATATATAGGGAATAAAGTAAGAAGACAGAGAATGTGGGGAGGTGGACCAAAGAAAACAAAAATAGAAGAAGCAAGAGAACTCTTGGCCTCAACCATCCTGACCCATGTACCCGTGAGTAATTGCCAGCTATGAATGTTGTTGGTGAGATTCATGAATTCTTCCCAAGGACTCTGCAATACGGTTTATATGTTCTTTGAAGTGTATCCCCAAGAGCTAATTCTAGAGGACTATATTGTCCCGTTGGGACTTAGTTTCCGTTATCAGCGATGTTGGTAGCCAGTGTTGGCTGTATCTTTTTTTTTTTTTTCTTAATGTTCATTGGCTGAGGTCATCCCCCACCACCTTGAATTCAAGAGTTTTCAGCTTCCCTCTCTTATAGGGAAGACTCTTTCACCCATTGCTGGGTGGTTTGCTTTGTCACCTGACTAGTGAGTGTACAGAGAGAAGCTAGAGCCTGCCTGCTGGCCTTGAAGTGGGTCGTGTTTATTTTCTGTTGACTTACTGTTATAGGTCAGCTGCAGTCGTTTTTGGGGTATTTCCAGGAGCTGTCCTCTCCCTCAGTGAATGTGTGTGCCCCTTTTGCTAAATCAGAGCTCGCAAGCATTCCATCCTGGATAATATAATTCCAGGGTTGCAAACTATACCTTCAGGGAGTCTGTGGATGTAGACTGGCCTTGAGGCTCAGTTTTCTTACCTTAAAACACCTTGAGCAAATAATACATATGTGTACACTGCTCTGTGGCTTCTGATCTAATTCATACTATTGAAGCTGCGCTTGCACTGAGTTTTAGGCTCTTTTGGGTCATGGAAGCAGAAAGAGCTTTGGAGCTAGAGATACGATTGTTCAGACCCTGATTTTGAACTTTTGGTTTCCCTTGCACTAATTTGAAATTTTCTGAACTTAAGTTACAATGTAACACTACTTCCCCCCAATTCTCTTGTGATGATTTAAAGATTATGTAAGTTAGAACTTTGAGGGCAAAATAGGAACATGAGGTATTACCAAGATAAAGCAATACTGTTTGTTGTTCTTCAAGACCCAGGCTCAAGAATATTCTCTGTGCTAACACCCAGGAGTTTGCTAGGAAAAGTGAAACTCTCCCTAGACCTACTGAGTCAGAAACTCCAGAGTGAGCCACAGCCTGGCCACATGTATTTTAGCAAGTCTTCTGGGTGCCTGTGGCGCATACACAGATTGGGAAACCTTAACTGTTAAGAGGGGTACTACTCAAAAGTTTCCAGGTTCTGCTGACAGTTCTGTCCCAGTATTCTATTCTCACTTTAGAGCTTACCCATTTCATGTCAGCAGCCCCCAAGGGATGTCTGAACTGCTACTGGAAGTCTGCAAGTCAGGCATTTGTGTAGTCTATGAGTCATGTATGTAGTCTACAAGTCATGTACAGTCCTTAGAGTAGAGGATTCCCACTTTCCACATGATTGTGGACATTGTCCTGGGGAAATGTTCTCAGGATGAAATCATTTCCGTTAGGTCTAGGGTTGGGTTACAAGCATAGAGTGGTTAAAAAGGGAGGTGGGTAAAATGAGCTAAAGAACCATGAATGTAGCAGGGGTGGCTTCTATGAATATTCATGTTCACGTCTACCTCTAAGTCCACTAGTGTTTATGTTTGTGAAAGCGGAATGTGAACTGGGGTTTTTGTTGACAAATTAAAACGTGATTAATAAAATCTTATTCTCATGGGTAAGCAAAGCAAGTATTATTGATTATTAAATAGCCAGAAGAGTCAGATGATCGACACAACCTACCCAAGGCCAGGGAGGACATAGGGAGCAAAGCAGTTACCATAGACATCTTTGAAGAAAAGCTTCCTAAGGAAGTACAGGCAGAGATGGAGAATCTGAATACCTCTAGGGAGGTTTACAGACTAGCTGAATTCCTTAAAACGGGGAGATTTATAACAATTCATGGCTTGCTTATTTGAATGTAATAACATTGATTCTTTGCTCGAGGCACCTTGATTTAGAGTTCACCATCACAGAATGTTCCTCCGATTTCTGAATTACAGGTAAAGGAATTCAATTTCCGAGCTAAGTGCATCTACACTGCAGTGATGGTGCGAAGGGTAATTCTGGCCCAAGGAGATAATAAAGTTGATGACAGAGACTATTATGGTAACAAGCGACTGGAATTGGCGGGGCAGGTACTTTAATTATCTTCTTGAAGAGTTTAATTTTCTTTGATAAGATTAGTTTTTTTAGTCTCCTTAGATATGAATTCTTACATATCTAATAGAAACTGTGTGTAGTTTTGAAGTATAACTTTTGCATATGACTTAGATTTATTTTTTTTTAACCGTGGCAAGACCATGTTCTTTAAATAGCCCTGTAGTATGCCACCTGTGTTTTGTTGAGATGTAATATTGGAAGGGAAATGTGACTCTGAGTGATATTAACAGTTGTCTTAATTAACAATTTAATTTCAGTTAACAGTTTCAATAAACAAATGTTTCTTAGATACCTCCATGTTCCAGGCTTGCCCCTGGGTACTGGTGCTAGGTGTACAGGAGGAAGATTGTGTGTGTGTGTGTGTGTGTGTGTGTGTGTGTGTGTAAGTGTCCCTGAGAGCAGGTGCCCAAGGAGACTCAAGGCATCAGATCTCCTGGATCTGGAGCCACAGGTGGTTGTGAGCTGCCTTGCATGGGGGCTGGCACTGGAACCCTGTCCTCTGCAGGAGCAGGACTCTCTTAACCTCTGAGTCATCTCTCCAGCCCCAAACAAGTTCTGAAACCATGTGTGACTGAGTAAGTAGGCAGAGATGGGATTTCTAGAGTTCATGGCTCATGGGTTTGGATTTCATTTTGCATGGAGTGAAAAACCACTGTGCAGTTTTAGTCGGGGGTGACCTGAGCTGGGTTATAGATGGGAGAGGACACTTGGAGAGGAACAGGACAAGAATGGGCTGGCTGGAAGGCAATAGCAATGATCCAGATAGGGGGCATCCCACAACTAAAATTAATTGTTGTTATGTTCAGGGTCAGGGATGTGAGTTGGTGTGTGCATGGGTGCATAATGGAGGTCAGAGAACAACTCCAGGATGGCTGTCTCCTTCTTCTGTGTGGGTTCTGGGAATTGGTCCTTGGCAGCAAGTGCCTTTAGCCATCAAACCATCTCTCTAGCCTGACAACTAAAATTGAAAATTAGGATTTAGAAGTCAGAACAATTTTTAGGCTTGTGAAGAGTCAGGATCTGGAATGGGGGGAAGCTGTTTAGTTTAAGGTCGATGCCTGTTCAGCAGGGGTTTGACCACTCCCTCTGCAAGGATTTATAGTATTCCTACTACTGTCCTACTACTAATCTTCATTTTCACCGTTTTTCAATTAGAAAAAAAAATCCAGCTCTTAAGTGAGTCCTTAAATGGGGGGGGGGGGTTGGGGGGAGGTTGTTTAGAGGAATACGAAAGGGAATAAGAAGGAGGCCAAAGAGGATATCCTGTTGCTTAAGAAATTGGAATTAAAAAGAGGACTCCCACATGCAAGGAAACATAGCTTAATGAACAATGTGAGCACATAAAAGGCATTGTGTTGGCAAGAGTGTCTAAAAACAATGGCTGCTCGTTCCCACCCGTGGGATGAAGCAGTGCAAACGCGCTTTAGCTTTAGATAACAGAGTTGTCTTCACTGGCCCAGTGAGCTTTCCCTCAGTCTGACTGTCACCAGAGGGTTGCCAGGCCAGCCGCCAGTAGGTGTTAGCAAAACCTACTGATTTCAGGCTTAATCTTTGCACTTACCTTTTCTTTTCCGGTAATGTGTTCATTATTTGCTGCACGTTACTCTGTCCTTTGTCTGCAAATTTTTTGTTTCTAATACAGCTTGCTTTGTATGGGTGAGATATGGAATGTCACCAAAATCCAGTACCCTGGAAAGCCAGGGATTTCCATCCCGGGACAAAAGAATGCCGTCTTGACTTCAGAGATTGCCTAATCCCAGCTGTTCTGATAATGTAATTAAGGCTGCCTAATGTCTTTAATTTTGCAACCAGTTTGTGTGAAAAGGAGAATTTGGCACTCTGAAGGCTTAAACACTAAATAGCAATCTCAAGGCGCCTAATTAGAATTCTCTGACATTAAGCTAATTGGTGAAACTGTATTTCAACGGCTTAACTTCTTTATTAATTTTTTTTAGCATTTTCATTGAAAATCAACTGATGGGCTGTCAGCACTTTTGCCTTAAATTATGATTTGCTCAATGGTGCTTCTGTCTTCAGCAGGAGGAAAGGCCTCAAACAAGCAGTAAGAAGTGCTGGATGTTCGCACAGCGTCCTACCGTTACAATTCTTTTACTTCCAGCCTAGATATTGTGGTTCATTGTATGGCTTAGCTCACAGCCTCTCATTGCTCTGGTAACTGGACAGCATTATTTCTCTAAAGTTGAAATTTTAAGAGAGAAGAAATTTATTCCTGTAGCAGTAGCAGTTTGTTGACTATACGTTCCTATTCATTCCTGTTTAGTGCCAGGGACGTTTTCTTCTGTTTGAATCAGGAGGCCACAAAAGATTCAGCTGGAGTTCCAAAAAACTTTTTCATAATTTGAGACAAAAGCAGCTAAGTGTAAGGAGTAATTAAAAGGGCCCTGGGCTCTGTGGTCTGGCTAAGGGTCCTTGATTCTGTTCAGGATGCTTGTGCAGGGTCTGTGCACTGCCCACAGGAAGTGGCTGGACCGTCTCCTGTAGCCCCTCACCCCTCTGCACCTGCCCCCACTCCCACAGTCTTTCTTTCCATGCGTGAAACTGCTGGGTCTGACTGTAAGGAAGGATTAAACGCTCTGGGAGGAAGTTTTCTTTTTAGAACGCTTTTATAAATTCAAGTCCAAGATCCTGGCTTCCTGATCTGCAGACTTGGATTTAGTAGAAAAGTAGGTAGATGTGTCCAACTTAAGGGGGAAGGCATTTAAAATGATCCAGCTTAGAAAAACTCTTGATGTTAAGGGAAACTTAGTTGTTTTGAATAATTCTTCGTTCCAAGTCATAAGTCTGCTTGCCCATTGTAAACTCTGGAATATAGTCAGTGTGGGAGTAGGTGAATCTTCAACTGAAGTGTTTTCTGTTAATCTCAGAATTCCTCTTTAAGTGAATAATTGAAATGTCTTTGCTTGTTGACTTAAATCACAAACTGATTATTTTTTTTGTTCTATTAATAAAAGGAAAGCTTACATGGGAAATGTGGATATAATTATAAATAGATTGGTGTTTGTAATAGCTACTATATTTATTACTGAAGGAGCATGCCAGGTCTCCCTTGTTGTATATAACAGCTACTCAGTTTTCCCTCTCTGTGAACTTCATGGCTGGTTATCTGTTGCTGTGGCACATGCTTGCCCTAAGCAGTGGCTTCGTTTTCTTAGACCTCACCTCACAATTTTGTGGGTCAGGCTGTTTGCCTGGTGGAAGTCAGCCATTGCTCATCTAGTGGGTGACTGGAAGGGGGGCTAAGGGCAAGGCCCAGTAAGGATGTGAGTTCTCAGGGTGGCCGCTTCAGATGGCTTCGTACTCTAAGAGTGCGTGTTCTTATGGACTAGACAGAAACCCTGTCCTGAGGCCTTGATGCTCAAGCCACACTATCATTAATGCTTCCCTGGGGGTGAAAATGGTTGCAAACCCTGTGCATGGTTTAGGGCCTCGGGGCACATGTCCCATACCTCATATTGTCTTTATAGTTCATGCGATAGCCAGAGGTTGGGGCAAAGTTTGTTCAAATAACTTGGGGTTTCTCCCTGTGGGTCTTTCCCTTCTGAGAATTCTTCGCAGCTACTTGTGCTTATTAGCTGGGATTGCGTGTTTCCTGGTTCTTCATCCAATAAAACCTAGAAGGGGGTGAGGGGCCCTGGTTGGTCAGTTGTTGGGAAGTGAGTCTCTGCATTTCGGCTTCCTATTTAGACCCATCTCACAGTGCAGTCTCAAGAACAAGAAAAGTAGCCATTGCTGAATGTCTTCCGGGTCTTGCTGCCAGCGCCTTAAGAGGTGTAGTGCTGTGTACTCAATACTCAGTCGTCGATGGCAAATCCTTAGGTGACCAGCCAGCCATTCCTCTCAATCCTCACACAGCCATCTCACGGTCTACATGACCAAACTAGCATTTATTTTAATGTGATTCTTAGCATAAATTAAAAAGATATCACACAGATACATGTTATGAAGGGTCCAAATAAAATGGAACACTCAAAGCTACTTCTCAACTTACACGTCATCAGTGCCCTTCCCTTTACCTGTTGTTCATCTCTCTCTCTCTGCTGTGAGAGATATTTGCATTTATTATTGTCTTGACTAATTACAGTGTTTCAAGTTTTTTGTTTCTCTGTGTAATAGTAGCCCTGGCTGTCCTGGTACTCACTCTGTAGAACAGACTGGCTTGAACTCACAGATTCCCGTGCAGCATGGACAATAAAAACCCAGAGACAGATATTGGGGTTAGAGCTGAAGATCAGAGGCACAAGGCAGTCACTAGAGTTCTCACCTCCACCAACGCTCAGACCTAAGGGGCGATCCACCCAACCTCAGACCCCGCTGCACTGCCTCTCAGACTCACTGGGACAGCAGCAAGCTCCTGTCTCCCTCCGCCTTACGTTCCTCTCTCTGCCCAGCCATATCATTCCTGTCTCCACCTCCCTAGGCCTGGCTTTAAAGGCGTGAGCTGTTTCGCTTTTAAACTAATTCAATCTCATGTAGCCCAGGGTGGCCTTGAACTCACAGAGATCCATCTGCCTGTATCCTCCGAGTGCTGGGATTAAAGATGTGGCCACCGCTGCCTGGCCTCTATGGCTAACTAGTGGCTTAGGTGTGTGGCTTAGCTCTGCACTCTGATCTTCAGGCAAGCTTTATTTGTTAGATCTTTAACAAAGTATCACCACAGATGCACCCGTCTCTGCCTCCCAAGTGCTAGGATTAAAGGTGTGAGTCGCCACAGCCCAGCGAGTTTTTTGTTTTTATTATTTTTAATTATGTGTATATGTGTGAGTATGTGCACATGAGCATAAATACCCCTGGAGGCCAGAGGTGGTAGATCTCCCTGAAGCTGCTGGTGTTCCAGGACATTGTGAGCTGCTGCCTGTGGGTGCTGGGACTCTGCTCCCCTGGAAGATTGGCACATAGCCATGCCTCTGGCTCTGATGGCAAAATTGTAACCCTTTTACTACAGTGTAAGTCTTGTTTTTGAGCTTCAAAATTAATTTATGTCATACAATTCACCTATATAACTTTTCTGGTCAGTATTATTTGTTTTACATTCTTTTAGATTTTTTTTATTAATTTTTTACATTCCAATTCCAGTTCCCCCTCCCTCCCCTTCTGCTCCTTCCACCTCCCCCCCCCCATCTACTCCTTGGAGAGAGTAAGGCCTCCCCTAGGAATTGTAGTAAGTCTGTTCCATCATCTCTTTGAGGTAGGACCAAGGCACCTCACACCCCCGCACCCCCGTGTCTAGGCTGTCTACTCAGTATTATTTTTAAGATTCAGGGCTGGAGAGATGGCTCAGTTATTAAAGGCTAGGCTCACAACCAATAATAGAAGATTCAACAATGTTATGTATTACCATAGTGCGTTTTTATTTCTGTATTATAATCTGTTATATGAGCATACCATAAATGTAAGTGTAATTGTAAATATAAACATGAATGCTGCTCTGGCCAGTTTACCAGTCAAGAACTCCATATACTTTTCCTTTTCTGTCTCCTAACTTTAGTCTTTGCAATTCCTGGTTCCCACTTGTAAATATTTATAGCAGGAGGACTACGTTCAAGGAGTCAAGTTGCCCAAGTGTGTGTGCATTGCCTTGTAGACAAATTCCTGATGCTTTTCATCTATGACTTCTTGTCCAGCTTTTGTGTTTTTGTCTCTGGGGGTTCATGTAAGATATTCTGTATCCTTATTTGCATTTCCTACTTGACAAATGAGATTAAGCTCTTTATCTGTTGACCAGTATTATTTCCTCTACTTTGAAATATCTTGTTTGCATCCTTATTAGTTTCAAGGAGACATTTTGCATGTTTAGGTCCTGTTTTTAACCAATTATATAGGCTATAGCTATCCTTTTCTAGCTATTTCTGAAGCTAGAGAGATGACTCAGCAATTAAGGGCACTTGGCTGCCCTTCCAGCACCTACGACCACCATCTCACGACCACCTGGAACTCCAGCTCTAGAGGATCCAGTGCCTCTGCTACCCCCTCACACACCTGCAGACACACACAAGTAAAAAGATATTTTTTATTTTTATTTTTTGGAGCTGAGGACCGAACCCAGGGCCTGGAGTCCACCATTGCAAATCCTGGAGCCAGAGCAGGAGGGCCAGCCCTGTATGCATGTAGGAGCTGGGAAATGTGCCTTGCCTCTGCCTTTCTGGTCCATTTGAGCCTGCCTGGTAGACATTGCCTGCCCACATCCCATGAGGATGGTGCGGACCTTCTTTATTCAGTTCACTGGTTCAAATGCCAGTCTCTTCCAGAAACATCTAAATAGATATACTCAGAAGACATGCCCTGGCAGCACTGACACCTAAAACTAGCCCTTACACATGCCTACTACATTTTTTGTGGTAGTGGACATGGACTGAAGCACTAAACCACTGAGCTGCCTGCCTACGTAGGCCTTGGAGGTTTGAGATGGATTGGGGGGGAGACAGGATCTCGCTATAGCTCACTGTATGTCCTAGGTTAGTCCCAAACGTTGTGCCCTCCTGCGTCCTCCCTCCCGAGTGTTGGGTTTGCGGAAGTGTTGCCACACACCTGTCCTCCTTGTGATGTGATGTGTTTTCATGTGTGTTGTCCATGTTAATGTGTCTCATTGGGAACGGAGCTTGCCGAAACTAGATGCTCTTGTTCGTTCCGTGTTCTCTGGTAGACTGTGTGATGGGTGGGGGAGCTGTGTCCCGCAGTTGTCTGTCTTTGTGACTGGGAACTAGAACCCCGCTTCACTGTTCTGCTGGCGGCTTTTTAGTGGTTGAAGAGGATTGTTTCCGTTGTTTTTTTGTTTTTTTTTTTTTTTTTTTTTCATCATTTCTTTATAGTATAGAAAGTCATGGTATCTAATGTTTTCATTCTAACACTTTTATTTTCTGGAATTTGGAAAATAATACTTTCCATCATCGTCTCTTTGGGTCCCTTGAGACATAAAATTGATGTGTGAAAGGCAAGAAAAATGCTAGCAAAATGCTTACAAATAAAATGACGGGTTCTCTTGCCCTTTGTTTATTGGACTTGTGTCTTGCAAAATTCACCTCTTCATGACGCAGTTTCTTTTAGGGTCCCTGTGACCTCCTTGAGATATGTTATCATCAAGTAAAGACAGCTTTATGGCTTCCTTCTCGTTACCGGTATCCGTCTTTGCCCCGTGGAACGGAATGCCACCACCACTATGCTGAATAGGAATAAGAAGATGTGCGTTCTTCCTCGTCCCCAGTTCCCTAGTGGAAAGCTGTCTGTTTCCTGTCCCTTTCCTGTGGGCTGAGCCCCTGCTGCAGAGCAAGGCAGTGATGCTTGTTCTGAGCAGGTTTCCTGCTCCTCCCCCATGGAAGCTGGGCTTGGAATCCACCTCATCCTCTGGTGGTGTACCTTTTCTTGACATTAGTGACGGCATCTGTCAGTCCTCCTCTGGTTGTAGTCTGCTGTTTTTTTTTTTTTTTCTAGGTGCAAAGCTTGTGGGTGGCAAGGAAGATTTCTCCTGCACTCCTGCATTGAGCGGGCAGCTTGCCTCTGCCCTTTGAGCTCAGGTCCTCTCCCCTCCTAGATGTGCTAAGCAGGGGTTTCCTGACCCTTCCCCAGCTACTTCTAGATTTACTTTCTACTTCCAGGAAAGTTCAAAGAGTTCAGTTGCCTCTGTTCCAACAAAGCTGTCTTTCTCCCTTACTATTAGATGAGCAAATCATCGGGAGAAGAAAACAAAACTTGGAAGTGTTGCCTTTTCCTGTGTGGAAGACTGAAGAATTCTAAACTCCCAAGATAAACCACAGTTGGCCTTAAGGACATCTAGGTTTTGGGCCTGTTTCTCTCACAGTGCTCCTGGGCTTATTTTCCCGCCTGCCCAGGCCTTCTGAGACAATGCAGTTTAGTTGTGCTGGAGTTTGAACCTCATCTAATAGGAAATACAGATGTGACTTTGTATGATTTCTTCCATTGGGTGTTGTGTTTTTTTCAGGCTTTGCCATATGACTTTCGCCTAGCTTTTGTTCATTTTCATTGGCTGCTAATGTCCTCATATAAGTGTAGCTCAGATTGTCTAAGTTTTGTTAATACAGGTTGCAGTTTATGTCTGATACCGGTGTCCTCATAGAGCTAAGTGCAGACTTCAATAGGAAACTTTTCTCAAAGTGCTTGCCAGCCACCAGCACTTCTCACATCCGGTGATGCCTTTACTCCCAGCACTCTGGAGGCAGAGGCAGGAGGATCTCTGTGAGTTTGAGGCCAGCCTTGTTCACAGAGCGAGTTCCAGGACAGTCAGAGCTACACAGAGAAACCCTGTCTTGAAAAAACAAAAACAGAGAAAAAGAAAAGAAAGAAAGAGAAGAAATGCTGATTACTGTATTTTCCCTTAGATCTACTGAGTCAGGAACTTCAACTTATCAGAGTTCAGTGCCTCTCTTTGTAAATTAAAATCCGTCAGTGAAACCTAAAACTCTGAGAGTATTCTAAACTGTATATCTCTGACTTCCAGATTCATATCACCTTTGCTGTCATTCAACATTCCTACATAGAGTTTGGCATATATATATATATTCACCAAAGTCCTGTACATATCCATGAGTTGAATTTTTACAACAATATATCATTTTCAGTTTTAAAATTAGTCCTTTTCCCCCCAAAAAACCAGATTCTTAATTGAGTCCTAAGCTTAGTCATTGTGTCCTTTTCTTCTAGCTCTTATCTCTTCTTTTTGAAGATTTGTTCAAAAAATTTAATTCGGAAATGAAGAAGATTGCAGACCAAGTGATTCCTAAACAAAGAGCAGCCCAGTTTGATGTTGTAAAACACATGCGCCAAGACCAGATCACCAATGGCATGGTGAATGCCATTTCTACCGTGAGTATCCAGCCTTCTCTGCACTTGTGAATTCAGGTAGACTCGATAGAAGAGACAGAGGCAGCGATCATAGACGATAGACACACTTACATCAAAGAAATGGGAGGAGATAACTGATTCTCCTTGAAAGTTAGTGTAAAGTTTACGTGTCCTCAATGGGAATTTTGTTAATATAGCCCCCCCCCCAAGCCATCTTGTCTCATTCAAGTATGGAGTAATTTATCTGTGGTGAATTACTGATGTCTGAAAAGTAATTCATAATTTAAATAACTTATTTTTCCTGCCTTTTATTAGTTATTAATTACTTTCCTTAATTCACAAATTAAACTTTATCGTGGGTGTATAGAAAAACAGCAGGCGATTATTGTACTTCCTGCATTTCAGGTGTCTACTGGGACCTTGGAACCGGTCCCCCATAGATTAGGAAGGGCTACTGTGTAGCATCACTGCTATGTTGTAGTTCCTGATGTATTGCACTATGCAGAACGCACTTACAGGGGGGGAGAAGTCCCTTGGTTTAACAGTTAGTAGTCCTTCTTCTCATGGGTATTTTCCTCCATTGTTTTCCCTGTAATGAAGTTCACATATATCAGGCAGATTGCTTAGTTGGCAGCTTTTGTCTAAAGCCATAAAAAGGTGTTTATTTCACAGTAGGGTTTATATTCTTCAGAGAGCTGTCAGCTATTCCTTTCTGGGCTCTAGACTGGTCCCTGCAGCTGCTGTGTATTCAGGGCTGGGCTATTCACAAAGGTTATCAGATAGGTATCTGCTCCTTTTTAAAAGCATGGCAACCATAGGTCTGTCTGATAAGTCTGCCTCACATATGATATTCCAGACACACAATTAGTTTTATGGATGGATTTTGCCCCAACAAAGAACAATGTAGCCCAACACGTTGACCCCCCCCCCCCCCGTTACCATGGAACAGTAGTGCAGACTTGCTTTGCTGCTCAGCTTCAGAGAGTTTAGTGGGTCTGTGTGGACAGCGTTAGAGCATCCGCTAGAGCTAACACAGAGGTGCAGCCGGCTCTTGGGCCTTGGGCGCGGGTATGTTAATCTCCTTGCTCTAGGTTCTGAAGGCAGAAGACCCACAATGTCGGCACTGTGAGTAAGCGCTTCCCTTCTCCTGATCATGTTCTTTTAGCACAACACCATTTATCTTCCCCACCACCTGCTAATTAGAAAGCTCCAGGCCTTATGGCAGGTGTGTCCACATCTGAGGTGACTGCAGAGGGGTCCCACCAAAACTCCTTCACCAAGTTAGCTTCCCTGTGGAGAGTTTTAGGCTGTTTCTCCTCTTCCCTGTTCCTGTGCTCTCCTTTGTTTGCTCCTACAGAATGCTAGGACAAACTCTCCCAGCGCCTTTCCCCACCTACTTCCTATTCACTAGCAGGCTGCCTCATGTTAGCTCTCTGCTGAATGTTTACCTTATTTACTCTTTACCCTCTGGACATAGGTCTTGTCCCAAGATAAAAGCCAACTGAGTAGGCAGCAATCTGTGGGATCCCTGTTTGCTTGCTCTTGGTTGGCTAAACGGTAGAGGTTTATACCTGGAATTTAGCATTTATCCAAACTGTCAAAAAATTAAAGCTTCATAAGACATAGATTTTCAGTTTAACCGATTAAAACTTGAACTCATGAGGGAGATCTTCTGAAGTCATATTTTAATGTAAACTGTGATCTGATCTCCAAAAATAGTGGTTCTCAACCTGTGGGTCATGACCCTGTTGACAAGCACCTATCTCAGAAAATATTTATTTGACGATTCATAACAGTATGAAAGTTAAATGAGCCATGGAAATAGTTTTACAGCATGAGGAACTGTGTTGAAGGGTCACAGCTCTAGGAAAGTTGGGAACACTGTCCTAAAAGCCCCTAATTTTCCTGTTCTGAGGATTCTAAAGCTGGGATCCACAAATGCCCTTCTGACATTGAGTTCAAAAGTTTATGCTCGTTGTCCTCTACGTTTTTCTCAAGAAAATCCTCGTGAGTTTAATCTGGTTCTTCAAGAAAGAAGGGAAGCAGCCCAGCACACACTCATATCCTCTGTGCGGCCATGAAGACAATTGAGTCAGATGGTTTTTGAAAGTTTTTACTTTGATTTTTTTGATGCACACTATTTTCTATAATTTGTGTTACTACGTATTCATGTTTTTGGAGAATAATATTTAATAAATCTGATGTGTTTGGTTATAGGAGATAAAATAGGAGTATTCACAATTTATTCATAGTCCATTTTATTATATTAATATTTCAGGTTAGCATACAGAATAATAGAGTTCATCATTATAGCATCTTTAATTACACAAATCTATTTTAATATTGATGTGATCTCAGGGTATTTCTTGATGGGACAATATGGATCATGCATTAAAAAAAAAAACAAACAAACAAAAAGGCCAAGGTAGATCAAACTGTGCAATTTCATATTCTTTGTGCCTACATTAAGAAGGTATAGATGATTATCTCATTAAACTACTGTTAGTCATTTTTGTCTGTGCTCAGATTTGTTTTAACACTCTTTTTGGGGGGGCATTAAATAACATTAAATCCAGCATGAGATTCCCTTTGGTTTTATATTAGTTTTGCCTGAAGAGTATGGAAACCTCACTAGTACTTCATGAGTTCATTTCCTGCTTCCTGTGGAAGCCTCTGCTTAAACTGCCTTGGGCAGTGGACCCTAAATCCCAAAGAAGGTGACTCGTGTGGTGAATATTTGGAGCTGGTTACTAGCCACAGTGAAGCCTCATTCTATGCCTAGAAAACCCCAGCAGATCACCTGGCTGAGTTTTAACTTCAGTTGTTATCATTTTGGTTTGTGTAGTTAAATCATGGCTCTGTGTGGACTGGCAGGCAGTAACTGTGATAAACTTGGCAGTGTATGAAGAGGTTAGGAGACGGCTCATGTATTTCATCTCTCCACAGGGAAACTGGTCTCTAAAGAGATTTAAAATGGACCGCCAGGGTGTGACCCAGGTGCTGTCTCGTCTGTCCTATATCTCTGCACTTGGCATGATGACAAGGATCTCTTCCCAGTTTGAAAAAACAAGGAAAGTGAGCGGCCCTCGTTCTCTCCAGCCGTCTCAGTGGGGAATGCTCTGTCCCTCAGACACACCTGAAGGAGAGGTAAGGTACCATGGGAATCTCTGTGGCCATACTTGTTGGGATGGAGTCTGGAGTTCTGTTTCTGGACCCAGGCACTAGGTTATTTCTTCTGTTGTGAATAACTGATTATTTGGCATGAAATATCATAGTTTGTCAAAGCCAGAAGCCTTTGATTCGGTGTCTTACCTGAAGAGACTCCTAGTCGCCGTTTCTTTCTCATTTTACCGTAAGAATCAAACCATGCAATGAAGAGGTGGTTAGGAGGTTGACAGCTGAGAGCCCTCACCTTTGATGCTCGGAAGGATCTTTGAGTAGCGTCTTGATTTCTTTAGTTGCGCCTAGAGGACTCCATAGACAGTTGTAGACACCTTGGAGCATACCGTCAAAGGCGTGCAGCAACTCTGACTTACATGGAAGCACAAGCCATTACCTCAGTACCAAATCACTGGCTTTGCCAAGATTTAATTACTTAACCTCACCACACCCTCTGTTCCTTGGCTGTGTTTTGAGTGTATGTGTGTGCACCACTTGCACGCAGGTACCACAAAGGGCAGAAGAGGGTACTGTTTAGCCCCTGGAACTAGAGTTGCAAGCTGTTGTTAGGTGCTGGGAACCAAGCCTAGGTCCTCTGCATCTCTCCAGCCCCAGGCTTTCTCATGATACTGTTGTTAGCGGCACCTGATTCTGTTCCTTGTGAGTCATAAACTAATGGAGAAAGATGGGTCACTATTACATCTCCAGGTAAGGAAGGAAGGAAGGGAGGGCCACCACTGTGTCATCTTCAGGGCGTGGAGGAAGGGTTCCTACAGTAGAGGCCTGGTAAATGTACAGTGATTTTTAAACACTAAGTTTTTAACAAATGAAAGATGTAGGCTTCAGAGTGTAGGATTTTGTTAGGACTCAAAAGAGGTGAAAATTAGATGTCCGAGCAGGCTGTGGTTATTAGAAAAAAAGCCACGGAGGCTGACTTGCTCAGCCTCTTCCTTACACCCCCATGACTCCTAGTCTAGGGATGGTATTTCCCACAATGGACTGGGTTCTCCCACATCCATCACCAATGAACAAAACGTGCTACAGACTCGCCTGCAGGCCAGGCGTATGGACACATTTTCTCAATTGTGGTTCCCTCTTCTCAGATAACTCTAGCTTGTGTCAAGTTGACAATAAACTGGCTGGGACGGTGTCTTGTTGTCTGAGGGTAAACTCATCAGGTAAAGAGTATACACATTTTAAAGGTGAGATTGTTTAAGGTGTGTGTGTGTGTGTGTGTGTGTGTGTGTGTGTGTGTGTGTGTTTGAATTTCCAAGTGTCCCTTTCAAGTTTGTAATGCCACCAACAAAGTGCTGAGCATTTTCACATACAAGCTGTATTTTGTATGACTAATGTACATTCTTAGAAATTATTGTCTCTTTTTTGTTAGGCCTGTGGCTTGGTTAAGAACTTGGCCCTTATGACACATATTACAACTGACATGGAAGATGGACCCATTATTAAGTTAGCTGGTAACTTGGGAGTAGAAGATGTGAATTTATTATGTGGAGAAGAACTCTCCTACCCAAATGTGTTTCTCGTCTTCCTGAACGGTAAGTACGCTATACAGACATGTTCTTCCTAAGTGGTTCTCATCATGTGAGTGGCGATCGACCCATTTAGGGGTCAAATGACCCTTTCAGAGAGGTTCATCAGATATCCTGTATATCAAATATTTACATTATAATTCATAACTGCAAAATTAATTATGAAATAGTAGTGAAAATAATCTTATTGTTGGGTGTCACCCAACAATAGGAAGGTTGAGAACCAGTATCCTAAGCAATCATCTTTTGGGAGTAGAAAGGGAATCCATTGTTTTTGTATTTAAAGCATAAACATACTTTATTTTCTGGCCGTAGAGAGACCTTTATTTTTTATTTGTATTGAAAATAAACATTTTCCTTACAATAGATTCTGATTATGGTTCCCTTCCTTCAGTTCTTCCCACATCCTCCCCGCCTCCTTGCTCTTCCAATTCTACAACTCTTTCTGTCTCTTTAGAAAACAAATAGGAAGACAAACTAGAATAAAACAAAACCAAGCAAAAAAACAAAGCTGAAGAAATGAGACACACACACACAAAACCCATAAAACCCCCCAAAAAGTACTGTTGAGGTTTTTGTTTGTTTGTTTTGTCTTGGCCATCTACTTGCTGGGTATGGGGCCTGCCTTTAAGTGTGAGACTCCACTGGGCAAACTGATTCTTCTGTGTGAGAGGTTGGTTGTCAATTGGAGATGGCTTGCACAGGTCCAAGCCAGCTGGGACCCCAGTGCTGAGAGGGGAGCAGGTACAAGCTCCCATCCCTGACTGAAAAGCTGTCTCCAGTGGCGCTAAATCAAAGGAAGAAAAGTGAGAACAGAAACACTGATCGTTTGGCTGTGGTGCCCAAGGTTCTGAGAACACGAACAGCGCCGAGGCCCATCTCCTGCCTCCCATCTGTCTGAGCTGCTAGAATGTCCACAGTAGAGTAAGCTCTGTGTGGTGTCTTAATAGCTTGTTAAATATACACACGCTACTGCAGAAATGATCAGACGACACCACTTCGTAGAAGTGTTCAGCCGTTCAGTCTCTTAGAACTGAGCGGCTGGAGCGAAATATTCTGCTTCTTTGGTTCATAGCCATCTCTTCCTTCAGAGCCCCCCAGAGGCTGGCAGCAAGGTGCCCACCCTTTTTCCTTTGACTTGGTAGCAGCATGTTGTCTGGTGGGCTCATCTCTGGCTCTTAGCTCTTCTCTGCTTTCCCCCTTCCCTCCCATTCATAGCATCGATAGATACAGGCTCTGGGGAAGGGATCAGGACCTCAGCAAGGCAGTCAGCTTGCTCTCCCCAGGTGTTGATGGAGCTGGAGCTTAGTCTACACGGCCTCCAGTGCCTCTGAATGCTCATGCTAAGCCTGGGAGGTGAAACCTGGCATCTTGGTTTCACAGAAGGTTCTGGAGTGTCAGAGCTAGCAACAAGGCAATTCTCAGCACTTTTCCTACACACAATACCTGTGGATTGAACAGGCCAGTCTTCACACCCACCTGTGTATTGAATAAGCCAGCCTTCACACCTGCCGGTTATGGTGTGAACCCCCATGGCCATGCTGACAGCCAAGGACTGTGAAGTGAACTCTTGGGAATTCCTCAGTCAGTGCCCAGTGTGATGGGCACATGCTTCAAGGCCCTTACTTGGACTGTCTTTGAGCACACCCTTGTGCTGCTTTCTAGAGCCTGCGTGCTAGTTCTGATGTTAATTACTGTTTTCAAGTGACTGTTCATTGCTTCTCAGTATTATTATTTGATGGTTAATTTAAGTCAGATTATTTTTCGTTCCTGACTTACCTGTGTCTTCTCTGTTTAGGGAACATCTTAGGTGTCATTCGAGACCATAAAAAGCTTGTCAGTACATTTCGGCTGATGCGAAGAGCAGGATATATCAATGAGTTTGTTTCTATCTCCACGAATCTTACAGACCGATGTGTGTATATTTCCTCCGATGGAGGGCGCTTGTGTAGGTATGTTGCTATGAAGAATTTAAGTCTTTTTATGTGAAGTTTTAAAAGAAATGGCCTTGCTTCTAGTTTTGGAGATGAATTTAATTCGGTTATCAAACACTTTAGAGATGAATGGGAGGTTTGATAACTAATGGTAGATATTTTTTTTGTCCTCAGAGAGTTTCATCTGCTAGGAGAAACAGAAAAATTACTAGTAGCAGCCAGCTGTGCTGGGATTTAGTTGTTGTCTTACTGAGTGGTGCTATGTGTGTAAGACTCTTACTGTATGAGGGACTTGGGGTGTGTGAAGCTGAGCCACATACCCAGAGCTAGAATTGGGCTTTTCTCGGTTGTCTTTAGAAGTCACATGACTCCAACAATCATCATGGCTTTTACCTCTGTATTCTACCCGGCTTTAAAGAATTGGTAGAATTATGTCACTTACTTAACCACAGCGTAAAAGGAGAAAGAAAGGCTGAGGAAATGGGAGTGTGAAGACACAGATGAAGAAAGTAACTGGAAAGGAGGGCTCCTGGAGAGTGCCTAGGTGCTCATCACACACAGGCAGATAGAAACCCACCTAGTATCTGCCCCAGCCCGCCAGGCAGACACCAGCTCGCTGGGCACTCCTGCATCGTCATAACTCCCCCAGTCCCTGATCTCTCTCAGTGTGTCTCCCCTTCCCTCGACTCTCTCGTTCCTTCTGGTGAGTTCGTAATGCTTGTAGCAAAGTAATTTCTGCTTACCCTGTTCAAAACTGGTTTCTCTTATGGTGTTGCTGAAAACAATATACTCAGCTAGAGTCCTGACTGGCCACTTAGTGACTGTGATTCTGGTGTTTCTAGCCTTCTGAGGCTTGGTTTCCTTGGCTGTGAAGTGGCCTAAGCCAGGTGTGGTGGCTCAGTGGCCTTAATCCTAGCATTTAGGAGGTAGAGGCTGGTGGTGGATTTCTGTGAGGTCCAGCCTGGTGTCTGTCTTAAAAAGAGGAAGAAAGTGGGTGTCAGACAGCATGGCCTTCTGAGGGGCAGGAGAAGCAAAGGCATGTTCTAAGCTATTCCTGTTTGGAATTTCTTTATTTCAGCGTATCCATATGGTAAAACATGTTCTAAAAGAAAGTTGTTTTTCAGAAGAAATTTTGTAATAGCAGACCACACCTCTGGCTGGAATAGGAGAATTTGTTGAGGAAAGGGGCATCTCCCCCTCTAGTCTAATTTCTGCTGAATCCTGAGCCTTGACCTGAGCTACATGGAGTGGGGCGGGAGTGGGCGTGGCAACTAGAGAGGGGCGGGAGTGGGCGGGGCTGCTAGAGAGGGGCGGGAGTGGGCGGGGCTACTAGAGGGGCGGGAGTGGGCGGGGCTTCTAGAGTGGGGCAGAAGTAAGTGGGGTGGGGCGGGAGTGGCTCTCTGCTCACCGAAAAGCCAGGATTTGAGGCACTGACTTCCTTGAAGAGCTTGCCCAGCTCTTGTTTAGAAGCTCAAGCCCCTTTTGTGTGTGATCAGCTCCTCTCCTTGTCCTCAGTGCTCGTTAGTCGTCACGTAGTCGTTTGGGCTTCCGAGAGTGTCTGCTGGCTTCTTGCTCCCCTCCGTAAGAGCTGCGTGTCCAACGCACGCTGTTCTTCTTGTGGGTATCTCCTTGTGGCAGCAAAGCCCTCAGAGGCAAGACACCACTGAAAGTTAATCTGCCAGAGTGCCCTGTCCATCTCACCCGCATCGGTCATTATAAGTCACCTGTTAGTCTGTGTCAGTGATGTTTGTCGTGCATCAAACCACCTCAGATGTCTGGGTCTCCCCTGAACTCTCAAACTAGGTGCCATTATTGATAGTTCTTTACCTGCTGACAGCACAGGCATTACAGAAGTTCTCCTTGTGGGGTGTGTGTCCCAGGACTCCCCAGCGGATGCCTAAAACCATCCATAGTAGCCAGTCTCAAATGCACCGTTCTGACGAGACTGTTGCCAGATTGCTGTATGGCATGGAGGCAGTAGAGGAAGGGCCGCCCCCTTCCCGGCTAGAATGGAGCAGGGTGCTACAGGGTGTGGCCACACTGCCCAGAAGCATCTACATGATTTAAAACTTTGTAAACCACGGTTGACTGAGTCACTAAATCACCAAAAAGCATGAAACCCCTGAAGCACAGATAAAGGGAGATTGCCATGCAGCAAGTATCCCCAGCGGGAAATGAGGCGCCTCTGTAGTGGTTTAAAATGTGGCACGAAGATCTCGTACCCTGTCTAGACTTCATTGGCTGTGATTTTTGTTTAAATCCAAATGTCTCTTAGGATAATTGGAGAGAAGCTGAGTAGTGAATACATACATAAATTTAAGGTTGTGTGTGTGTGTGTGTGTATCAGAGAGGGAAGGTGGAGAGAGAAAGACCCTACTATACGTCCTCAAGCAATCCCTGAACAAGCTGCATCTGCCCTCTCTCATTCCGCAGTGGTCAATAGAAATGGCAGACCTCATCCTTCCAGTAAATTATTCTTCTCCCTTCCTAGGCCTTACATAATTGTTAAGAAACAAAAGCCAGCAGTCACAAATAAGCACATGGAAGAGTTGGCTCAAGGTTACAGGTAAGTGACCAAAAGTAGAAATTATTAATCTCTTTAAATATGGGCTTAGATACTTTCACCGGCAGTAACATTCGTTGATATATGCTGTAAGGAAAGTATATTTTCATCTCTACTCTTTTAATCCAGCCCCACCAAGTGTACCAGCAACCAGTTCAAACCATTCCGCATGCAGTAGCCTGCATATGGTGAAGTGCCTGACAAACAGTTCATGGGGGTTTGAGAGCCTTGGTGTAAATTACTCTCCATCGGCCTCTTCCACAAAGAAAAGCCCTCGTAGCCTTGTTGCTGATGGAGTCACTGCATCCCTCACACCGCAGTCTCTAAAGTCAGTATTTTAGGAGTGGGGACCAGATTGGCAACAATTATGTTTAGTGCTTTTATTTTAGTGACTTGTGACCCATAAACAATGGCAGGAAAGAAAGGACTCATGGGATAGGTGAAAACCGGGGTCTTTTGTTACACAGTACCGCAGCAAAGTGCCTTAGTGTCTCTTTTAACAACATTTTCCCCCAGGAACTTTGAAGACTTCTTACATGAGAGTCTAGTTGAATACTTAGATGTGAATGAAGAAAATGATTGCAACATTGCACTCTACGAACATACCATTAATAAGTAAGTAATACTGGTAACATCCACAGTTAAAGTCCATTTGTTATAAAAAGTACTATGTGTTTTCACACAGTGTTTGTGCCCTATTAGGTCCTCTGGGAGATGTTTTGTAATAAAGCAACTGTGGTTTGTCCCAGAGCAGTGCTGCCGTCAGTCACAAGTGATCTTAGATTTCATTGTCCTTCCTACCACGTGACACTCGGTGTATGCTTTTAAAAGGAATCGCCTCTGGTTTCAATATCCAACTTGTGTAAACACTGGGGTCTCTCCTAGGTAGGGTTTTGTCTGTGGATATCTGGAATCTTCTTGGTGGAATAGGAATTCCACACATAGTATGTTGTAAAAATATTGCTGAGCATATGTGCAGTGTAAATTTGAGATGCCAATGTGTTCATAATATTTCTCCTACCCACTGGTATTTTAGAAGCATCTGTGTTCTGTTTGGAAGACATTAGAGGACATCTGTACAACTTGCCTTGTGATTCATGCCATTAATTGGACCACTTGCCTGAAACTGAGATTTTCGAAGTTAGTTATGTTTTTAAAAGGGAGTTTAGTACTCATATTTGATAACCGTTTGTATCTTCTATCACAAACATGTAATTTCCAGTACCAGGGGTTGACCTCATATGTGCTAGTCAAGCTCTCTGCCATTAATCACATCCCCTAATGAAGGAAATTCTGTTTTATTCTAGTGTAGTAAATTCAACTTTATGGTATGCTTCTTAAAACAGAAAACCCCTAGACGCTTCCCACCCTGCTGACAAAGGTTCTGATCACGGTTAAGGTTCTGCCAGATCCTAAGGAAATGCTGCTCTTCCAGCTTAGAGATACATGGAAAGCACTTCTCGGTGAGGAAGTAGGAGGTCTTTCACCGGGTACCTTACAGCTAACTTTCCACAGTGGGTGAGGACCTGGTTTCTTAGAAATCTCCTCTCCCTTCAGGTGCTGTGAACCTTTGAAATGGCTATAGTTCCATTGCCAGGACCCTTGGGACTGTGTAGCATGTGTCCTGAATATGATATGTGTTACTTTGAATAAAAACCCTTAAATAACCTGGCTGCTCTTTCCCATGAAAACATCTTAGCTACTTTATTACTCAGCCCCAACCTGAATTTTCTGCAGAAATGTATTATGAAATAATTCAGATGCTCATATGTACTAGACAGAAGAATATAGTGCAAGTCACCAATACATATGAATTTCTAGTAGCCATATGAAAAGGAAAATAATGAGAGCTTAATTATTACTTTGGGAGGAGATACTGAGGATTGAATGTAGGGCTTCACAGGTCTTAAACTGTCTTTACACCTAGCTATATCCCCAGCCCTTATATTTAATGCTTTTATTATCCCACTGTGCCCAAAATATTGTGTCATTGTGTTTTGAATATTTTAGTGAGATATGCTATATTTTTCCCACTATAAGTCTTTAAAATTTTATATATAATTACAGCTGAATTTTATTAGAAATACTAAATCTGATAGAATTTTTGCAGTTGAATATGTAGTTTCACAAATGTAAATTGTTTGAAATATAATGACAGTTTAAGATAAGCTGAGTTTTAAGTTTTAAATCCATTAAAATTGGGTAAAATCTAAACTAGTTCTTCAGTAGCCCGGTGTGTCATCTGTTCAGTAGCTACCGTCAGCTGAAGACTAGCACTGGTCTGCATAGTGTGTAGTGACTTATTTTCAAAGAGCTCTATTCCTTTCCCCCACACAGTGATGCGGGCTCCTTATTGATAGGCGCTGGCCACATGCAAGCTGCTGCACCATACTGAGTTTGGTATAGAAATTTTCTTCCTGCGGCGCGCCATTGCTTCACTTTTACATAAACAGTGTTCCACTGTGTCCCTTCCCTTCTACTTCCGTCACTGATCAGACACTTTTTTTTTTTTTTAATCACAAAACGGTTTAAATTCTCAGGTTGCATCCTGCTTTACCTTAGCATGTTTTTATTTTGCCAGTTTCACTAGCATCTAAGTTTATTGTCTTGTAAGTCCCTTGGGGACCCAGGAAATGGTAAATTTTATATCCTTTAGCAGACAATCATTTTAGTGCTTGATGCCTAAACTGCCTGAATGTTCATTAATTTGCTAGAGATACCACCCACTTGGAGATTGAACCCTTCACTCTTCTTGGTGTTTGTGCTGGCCTCATCCCATACCCTCATCACAACCAGTCTCCACGGAACACCTACCAGTGTGCTATGGGCAAGCAAGCCATGGGTAAGAGTGCCGTACCAAACTGCTCCTACATGACGCGGGGAAACACGTCGCCTTTGTTCCTACTCTTGCGTGTTTGGGCAAATCAGATGGTAGTGATACCTGGGGTTGCCAGGCTCAAAGGGCCTGTGGAACTCTCGGGTGCCTGCAGGAGATTTCAGCTGGTTCCCCTTGGTTGTAAGAATGAATGTAAACATCAAAGCTCTGAAAAGTGTAAGTTAACCAGGACAGATGTGTGAAAGAGCAGAATACCAGAAAGTCACGGGCGGGGAGACAGTTGAAAGGCGGAGGGGGTTCCCTGAGTAACTCATGTACCTGGGTTGTCTGCATGACAGGCGTGAACCTGCCCTGGTCTGGTAGTTGCTGTTGTGTCACCTAGAACTTGTACACCAGTTCCCAAGTCCGTTTCTTTCCCCCCTCTGATTTTCCTTCTCTTTCTCCTATCTTTTATGAATTTATCTACCCATCCATAACCTTTACTGAGCAAGACTGGAAGTCAGATGTGGGGAGAAGGAGCCTGAGAGCAGACATCAGCCAGCTCTCTGCTTGAGGAGGTTCAGTGTAGTTGGAGGGGCCAGCAGGTTAGACCAGGGTCTGGGGACTGAGAGGGAGAGGAGTCCATGTAAAGCTGGGATTGCACTGTGTCTCAGAAGGGAAGCCTCTGTCCGGGAGATGGTGTGAGCAAGCGTTTCTCAGGAGCCTTGCTGCTTGGTGTGTCTTTATGGCAAGAAGACAGAGAGATGTGGCAGAGAATATATGCCACTCGGGGATCAGTGTGACCCAGGAGCTCTGAGGAGCCCACCCCAGAGACAGTTTTACTTACAGGCTTGTTGAGAAAGGTTTTCAAATCACAGTCCTCTTAATGGATTTCCATTCCCCTTACAACATGTCAACTCTTATCTCAAGGGCTGCGGGGGCTTCATTTTCAAACCCTGACCAGTTGAGGGGAAGGGAGGTTCTGCATTGCCACCCTCAGGCTCTGCCCCTCTTCCTGCCACAGCTGGCTGGCCATTAAGAAATCTGGCTCCCTCACTACAGACAGGAAGTAAGTAAAGATACACCTTCCTGAGCTTCATGAGCCCTTTGCCTGCTGTGAAGAGATGAAAGGCATGCTGTCCCACCACCGTCTACCTGAGTGGTGTAACACCCGGGCAGTTGGGAATAATCCCCAGTGGGAAAATCAGTTTTGCCTCCCATCACTTCCAGCCGTGTAGTCCGATGCCCCTGCCTGTGCTCCTGCTTTGCTAACAAGTTGGTGCGTCCAGTGTGCTGTGAAAGGACTATCACTTCTTTTGGGTTTACCAAACCATTTTGTTTCATGATGTGGATCCTTTTTGAAACAATACCAGCTTTTGTGGGGACCTTGAGCAGAATTAACACAAGACTAATCACTGCATCGCTAATGCCACTCGTTTTGTTTGACGAAGCTAACGGAAGCACTGGCCAGCTCCAGTTTAGTGAAACCGGTTTAAAAAATAAAGAATAGACTTAAAGGAGGGAAAAATTATTTTTATCACAACCCTCCCCACCAAAAACAAAACAAACAAACAAAAAAAAAAAAAAAAACCAGCCTTTATTTTGTGGTTGCACATGTCTAAAGCTTTGGGTTAGTTACCACACACAGTTAAGCAGGATCAGTGTGCACAGAAAGCCAATTCAGTGTCTGTAGAGTTCTTTTGTAGTCTTCTGTGTGAAGGTTTTTTTCTCGTTTTGTTGTGAGTGTCATTTGCAATTCATTGTCTGTGTTTTCTGAGGTTGGTGTATTCAGCTGCTCTGACCCTGGGCCCTGCACATTTAGCTCCTTGGATACAATCCTCTGACGTGACTGCTGACGCTTTCGAGACAAAAGCCACTGAATATCTTAAGTCATAAAAAAAAAAAAAAAAAAAAAGCCTTTGTTACTGTTTGTCATTATAAAACACACCTGACCGGGAAGGAAGGCATAGACAAGTGTGTTTAATTTAAAGTTGGCACACGGTTTGGCCATGACTCCCATGATTCCCTTTGGACGCTTACATAGGTGCAGGGGTCAGTCAGAGAAGGCACCTCAGAGGCCGGGGCTCCTCCGGAGCCTGCAGCCGGGCACTGAAGCCACTGTAAAGAGGACACATCACTGAAGACTGCTTTAATCTCATTGTCTGTGGGTTTCCAAATACTACCTGACTCGCTTGTCAGTCATGTAGAAAGTGAAAGGCATTCACCAGTCCAGAACTGGCCCACTGAATATTCTAGCCAACCTGGAAGGCTTGTGTCCCAGCCATTGCCCTTCCCACCCCACCCTCCAGAAAGAAGCGGTGGCCCCTTTTCTCCTCCACAAGAAGTACGCTAGGACCCGTGCGACTGCGGGGGTGGGGGGTGGGGGGTGGGGGGGTGGGATCAGTCCCACAAGGCAGCTGCAAAGGGGCTTCTTAAATCATAGATTCTTAGGTCAGGAAGGCTCCAGTCCCCACGTGGCATGAGTCTGTCACTTCTGTGGGTGTGGCTGGAGGTGACATGGCTCTGGACAGAAAGTCCAGGCGGGCTCCAGGTCTGTGGGTGGGCGTTGGCTCTGCTGGTGCGGGAGCTGCCGTGTGCACTCGGGAGGCTGAGTTCCGCTTCACTCTCAGACCCTGCCTGTTACCAGTTGGCAATCCTCTAGTGGAGCACTTTGTCCTCCTTAAAGGGTCAGGAAGTCTCTATCAGCAAGTTAATGAATGTGCATCACAGCTCTCCTCCAGCCCTTCCTGTTCAGCTCCAAACTGCTGAGACTAAAGAGAAAAAAAAAAAAAAAAAAAAAAAAAAGCAAAAGCCAGGAGCTGGGACAATTTCTGGTTTTGGCTTCCCTAGAATCTGTATCTAAGAAGAACATTTCCTCCTGTGTTTACACTGGAGTGGGATGCCCTGAAGTTGAGATATTTGAAGCACATAGTATTCAAGAATCCTCATCAAATGTTGCTGCGTGCATTCCTCTGTCCCAATGTTTGTTTCAAATATCTATTTATTTGTTAAGGAGTTTTAAAAAAAAAAAATGGGATTGGGGGGGGGGCTTAGCCAGTTATTCATGAGAATTTTTTTATTCTATTGATTTTTTTTTTAATCATTGCAGCTGTTCTAGCTGTAGGTCTGTGCTGTAGTTCCTGATACAAATGCTCCCGTGTTATCTAAGTTCCCCGGGAGCTGCAAACACCCCTGTGCCTGGTTCCATGCTAGACTCACTCAGGTGGTGAGGTTCCTGTGGCTCAGCTTCTGTGGTTTCCCTCATAGGGAGTTACCAATTGAATCCAAGTTCAGTCTGTGGGTGAGACCTGTACGGGAACAACTGGCTGCTAATCATGATGACTGATGCCCCTTACTGAGTACCCACAGGGCGGCTGGTATTGCTGGGCAATGGACCCAGGCCTCCATTCATGCCAAACACATGCTCTATTGCTGACCTGTCCCCAGACCTCCAAATTCTTACATGCATGATAGCAATCTGTGAGTCATGTACCTTTTTTTCTGACAAGAAAGCTGAATTTCAGTGGTTGAATAGTTTATACTATGGTACATACACTGTGTCTCTTAACGAAATCTCTTTTATAAGACTTAGTGAAGTTCTCTGCAAAAACTCACGTCCTCCTGTCCTCCTATATTTCTTGAACTTTTGTGGCCTGTAATGACGCTGGCTTCTCTACTACATTAGAGATTACAAACTCATTGAAGACAGGAACTGACTTTCTTATACTGTTCTTGTGCCTAGCCAGCTTAGTGGGTGTTGTGCTAAATGTTTCTGAGAATAAATAAGTGGATGAACGAATGACTGATACAGAGCTGGATTACATGGCATGGGTCTTTAAATTCAGTACTTGGAAGGCAGAGTCAGACAGATCTCTGTGATTTGCAGGCCAGCCAGGATTATATTAGTAAGATTTTGTCTCAAAAACAAACACATAAACAAAGTGGAGAATGATTGAGGAAAAAAAAAAAACAATTTCCAACTCTGCCTCCATACACACACCAGCATGTATAACTACACACATGCATACACGTACAAAGGGAGGGAGTTTTGAGCTAAAGTTTAAAACTATAGAAATCATATAACCTGATTCTGATTGATTATAAAGCTACAACAGTAAAGACTGTGTAGTATTGATTCAAGGGTAGATGTATGACTAAATGGAACAGAGTTAACAGTTGAGAAAGAGGTGCAAGCGTTATAAGCAATTGATTTTCCTTCTCTCATTTGAGACAGGGTCTCTTGTAGTCCCTGGTTATGTAAACAAGGCTGGCCTCAAACCCATGGAGATCCGCCCGCCTCTGCCTCCCAAGTGCCAGGATTAAAGGTGTGTGCCAGCACACCCAGCTCTGGTCTGAATTTCTTTACAATCACTATCCCCATCTTAAGACAGTACGTTATTTTCATACCTACTGTTGGGTGTACACTGTGTGACAAGGAGAGCACAGGTGCTGGCAGATGTCAGTTTCCCCGGAACTGGAGTTATCAATGGTTGTGTACTTCCTGCTCTCGGTACTCCAAACTGAACTCCGTCCTCTGAAAGAGCAACAGGTTCTCTTAATTGCTGACTCATCTCTCCAGCCCTGGCCAGTGATTTTCAATGAAAGTGTCATAACAGTTCATTCGGGAAAGGGGAAATTCTCAAATAAATATATTTGCTTTAGTATATCTGTATGTAAAAACATGAGTATCAATTTCTACCTGTTATCATAGAAAAATTCATATGAAATGATTCATACCCCTAAATGTAAGAGCTAAAAATTGAAGAAGGAAAGAAATATCTTTGAGAACATATGATTTGAAGTAAGCTTTCTCATACAGGATAGTGCAAAGAGTATAAACTATTAGAAGAAAAGGTTTATGGATTGAATTTATCAAGATTAGATTTTTGCTCTCGAAAAACAGTGGGAGGCATGAAAACGCAGGCCTCAGAGTGGGAGGAAGCAACCCCACACATGATGCCTAGTTCGTATAAAGACCTCTGGTAATAAGAACCCAGTTAAAAGACCAAGAAAACCCAAAGTGAGCCACTCAGGGAGTGTACAGAAGAATGACCAGTGGAGGCTGTTCAACAAGACAGTTGTCTGCCTTGTAGATACAAAGTTACCCTGAGTCTGCCTTGTAGATACAAAGTTACCCTGAGTCTGCCTTGTAGATACAAAGTTACCGAGTCTGCCTTGTAGATACAAAGTTACCCTGAGTCTGCCTTGTAGATACAAAGTTACCCTGAGGCTGACTTGTTAGATACAAAGTTACCCTGAGTCTGCCTTGTAGATACAAAGTTACCCTGAGGTTGCCTTGTAGATACAAAGTTACCCTGAGTCTGCCTTGTAGATACAAAGTTACCCTGAGGTTGCCTTGTAGATACAAAGTTACCCTGAGTCTGCCTTGTAGATACAAAGTTACCCTAAGGCTCCCCACATACCCTGGAACAGGTGAGGCTGCATCCTGCAAGCTCAGGTGTTGCCACTGGAGATAGGAGACAGTCATTCCTCCTGACTCTTTGGCAGTGTCTGCAAGTTAACCATGCCATTACCCTTTATTTTAATTGGTAATGATTAAGATGGAGGGCAAAGAATGAAAGAAATTTAAATGTATACAACTTCATTTTTCCATAAACACTGTTTTGTTACATGTTTATAGTCTCGTTCTTCTCACCTTTCCCTGTTTTAACATACACTTGTATATGTTAATATGCCCGTTGATGACTTCAGAAAGTTAGAAGAAAATGTGGCTTAGTAAGAAAAATCATGTCCTTTTAGTGAGCAAAGGGAGTGGCTGGGAAGGATGATTACGGCGACATGGTCTGTGGAAGCAAACCACAGCTGTGGGCGCCCTTTGTGTGAGCTGTGTGTGTTATTCCCCCGTGCCTTTTGTGGCGTTGCCTGTGCATGCTGGGCCAGCACTGCCACTGTCCACTGTCCTGCAGCCCCAGTCCTCCAGAGCTCTTTAAGGAGCCTGAAAACAACAGTAAAGACATTTTAGTTGGAGTATGTGCATACATAGGCAAGCCTCTCCGTTCAGTTTCTTCAGATGTTTTCTCAAAAAAAAAAAAAAAAAAAAAAAAAACCTACTGACAAATAGTCTTTCATAACTTTAGGGAAGAACTATAGGGATTTAATGGAATTGTAACATTCTGTGATACAAAAATCTTAGTTTATGCATAAGGTTTTAACATATACATCATTATGCATCCAAAAACACTGTGTATAAGTACAATACATAAGTTTTAAAGAAAAGTTTCCAATGAGTGAGTCACAGCTCCAGACGTGCTAAATGTTGTTCCATTCAGTGGTCAGCAGTGATGCTTGAGAATTACGCTCTGGGCCTGTGAGCACCGTTTATAGCAGGGTCAGGCTCAGTGGCCATTGTTGAGAGGCACAACCATTTATGCCTCCCCTGCTGCAGGATAATGCTACTCTTAGTTTAAGAAGACATGCTTTGGCAACCTGGTGGGACATTGCCTGAATCCTCAGCTCAAGCTGAGTAAACTACACAGTTGAAACATAAATTTTAAACGGTTTCATAGAAAGACGTAAACTTATTGTCCATGAACTGAGTCTTGATCCCGGCAGTGGTAGGCTTTTGCCAAAGCAGTGAGTGATCACTGCCGGTTATCTTGTCCAGTTTATTAGTTGTCACTAAAATAGCACAAATTGCAAGTCCTAGTGCAAACTCAACAAAAGGGCCATGAGATTCAACTTGACAATTGTTTTCCAGCCAATTTTTTGACAAGTTTTGTAAAGATTTAAGCACAAATGCACACACTGCTAAAGAGAGTGTTCTTTGCTTTAATTCACTTGGCATTTCATGAGCGGCCACGTGAGCTCCTCATGTGTGGTGCCCCTGTGTGGCACTCTTTGATGATTCTCAAAGAGTGACAAATCTTTGTTGTTGTTGTTGATGATGATGATGATCAAGTAGTTGGTTACAGTCCTGATTTAAGATTGCTGTTGCTTTATTTATTTTGGTGGGTAGTGATGGGGGTGGAGCACAAATGATCTATTAACACAAAGATGCAGAAGTTGGAGGAAATCAAATACGGAGTTGAGCTCTGAGTTTGGCTTCTCCATACGGTAGCACTTAGGGCTGATGTGTATGTACTGTGTCTACCATGAAGGCACATGCGTGAAACAAGCAATGCGTCTCCGAATGCTAACATCCCAATTACTCACAAGTGAAGAAATGCTCAGAAGTTGAGGGGAGTCAGCCGCCTCCCAAATGATCTTACAGCGGGGCAGGTCTCCGTTTCTAGTTTAAAGGTTTTAAAATCAGCTGTGTGCCCATGAGCCCCAGACCCCAAAAGACTCTACTCCAGGAAGGCCATAGATCCCATTGTGGGGTTAAAGTTCAGATTTCACTTGGAGCTGACAGTGACACATACTTCTAATGACAATGACCGTCAAATGAGAAGGTGGCCCTACCTGCTACCATAAGGAGATAAGCAAACTCAGAGCCAAGTTCTGTATCTGATTTCCTATAACTTCTGCATCTTTGTTTATTATATCACCTGTCTTCACTCACCCCTCATCCTAACTGCACTGTGCCCTCCACTCCTTAGGAGAAGGGACCAGACCTTTCCCCAAGGGTCCCTAGTGTAGGAGAGGGACCAGACCTTTCTCCAAGGGTTCCAGTGTAGAAGAGGGGACCAGACCTTTCCCCAAGGGTTCCAGTGTTTGGTGCAGGTTCATGTCTTTTTGCTGTTTCATAAATAACAAATTGATAAGTCCTTGCTTCTCTGCTGTCGGTTGAATCCTTTCTTCATTCCAGTCCTTCTCTCCTTTCCTTTAAACTTCTGCTGTCATTCGTTATGTATTTCTGTTGTGCTGTGTAAGCTCCTGCATGGGAAAACCCATGTTGCTCTCACATCATCTTAACATAACTAAGTATAGGTTTATGGGCTGAACTTGTGAAATTAACCATTAACAACTAAAATTGTGCAAATAGTGTCGATTGTATTTATTAAGTCCAAGAAGTTGAAATTCTTTCTATTGTTATTACTCTGATTGTACTTTTCAGGGATTTTAAATATTAGGGAGAGAAGTTGCTTTAGAAACCAATGGCCACAGTATGGGTATTACTTTTGAAATGTTTACCCTGAGATTTTCGTCATTTATTAAGCAAATTTAATGTATTTAAATTCAGTGCTACCTGATTATTCTACAAGATATAAATAATGATTGGTTTTGTTTTCTCCAATACTCATAAAGGTACCATTGGATACAACCAGCGAAACAGAATTGATACACTAATGTATCTACTAGCATATCCACAAAAACCCATGGTTAAAACAAAAACCATTGAGTTGATAGATTTTGAGAAATTGCCAGCGGGACAGAATGCAACAGTTGCTGTGATGAGTTACAGTGGCTATGACATTGAAGATGCCCTTGTTTTGAACAAGGCCTCCCTAGACAGGGGTAAGTGGATTCTCAGAGCTTTAACTCCACAAGTACTTGTTTTCAGAGTTAGCATGGTAAGTACGGATTATTGGTGTTAGAATGCAGTGCAGGTTTCAAATGATTTGAACTTTGTACATAAACTAGAGCTGTTGTACACTTTTTACTTGAATTGAGAATTTCATGAGTACAGTGTATCATTCCCATCCCTCCTTCTCCCTCCTTCATTACCCCCACCCAAATTTAATAACTTCTTTATTGTTTTCCACACACACACACACACACAGGCATGTAAAATGTGTAAGTCCATTTAGTGTTGCTGTGTTCATGTGTTTAGAGCTGACCACTTGGTCTGACTAGCGGGCTCTCAGGGAGCTCATCCCTAGAGAAGACCGACTTTCCCTCTCTCAGCAGCCATTGGCTGCCTTTAGCTCTTAAGCTCGGGGTAGAAACGTGTAAATTTTCCCCTGCCCACCTGGGCACATCAGCTAATGTTGTCATTTTGATGAGGTCTCATGGGTACAGGTCACTGCCATGTCTAGAAATTATAAGACCTGTTACACTTTGGTCTTGATTTTGCTTGTTTGCTTTGTTTGTAATGACTGCCATTGGGGGGAAAAATGCATTAATGTTTAACCTCAGGATCTCTGTTACTTTGTTTCATTATTAGCCTGGAAGTTTCTCAAAGAGAAGAATAAATGAGACTTTTTCCCTACCAGGAATTAAATAGTACATGAACTAAGGTTCATTTTGTTTGTTTCAAATATGTCTATCTGCTGGTGCATGCAACAATAAGCGTGTGTTGAGAGGGCAGATAGAAAAGGCTGTCACTGACCAGCTTAACCCCAAGTGTGTGATGCGTTTGTTAGCCAGATGTCACAAGCTAGGAATGTATCCTACCCTGTCGTGTAGTTTGTGTGCTTCTCTCTTCTTGTGACAGTTCACTTTCACAGGTCACTACTTCATGCCCTAATGAGCATCACCTGGTCTGCAGGCTGGCTTCTCCATTCAGCCTCTGGTCCATCCCTCTCTGGCATACCCACAATGCCTCCCCTTCCCTCTCCCCAGTTGCTAGGCAGCCATAATAGTACTCCTAGATATGTGTCACTGGCATTAATGTTAGCCGCACTGAATTTATGCCCCCCCTTTTTTTTTTTTTCTCCAATGACAACAGCCATGCTTTAGAACTAGATATTTTCCTTCCTGATTAACTGGTAACGTTGATGTGGAAATCTGAAGGCTGTGATGTCTGTCAGAAACTCCGAACCACGATTTAATGATCGGAGTTTACCCTTTGCTAGCTTTTAAGCTTTCGCCTGTAAATAAAATGTCCATTTACGCTTAGAAGAAACCACGCGATGATTCTGTACAGTTTGGATTCACATGCCCTGTAGCATGTTGCTGTTAATGGCTGTTGCATCATGGCTTCAGATCATGCAATATTTGCAGAGCAGCTGGTTCTAAGCTGGTTTTGCTGTGGCTGCACAGGTCACTGGGAGCCATGATGATGAGAAGCCCCCCACCCCCCAGAGACTTACAAATGACTCGACACACGTTACATGTTTTTAATCCCCCAGTCACTTTCACATTTAAAACAGAGGAAACAGGGAGCCGGTGTATTTCCTTTTTTGCAAAAATAAATATTATTTTGCTTGCTTGCTTAGATCTAACCATAAATGCCAGAATCCAAGAAAGGAAAACCTTTCAGGGAGGCTTAGAAGAAATTATGCACAGATAGCTTGTGCCCTGCATCCTGGCTTGAGAGCTGGTGGACTTGGTCAGTTTTCAGGCATGTTACCAACTTCCTGTTTAAAAGGATGGCAAAGCCCTATGAAATTCTGGTGTTTTGTGGTGTTGTGTTGCCTTCCTCCAACATGATCCAGTAAGTTGCGTGCTGGAAAGTGGAAGTTGAAATCAGTTTATACAGATAGTCGGCAGAGGAGGATGAACCAGCCTTTGTCTTGTTACTTGGGTTTTGCCAGTTTCAGAGTTACCAACAGTAAAGTAGTTTGAGGCTTGGTTTTTCCTTTTGTTTTTGGAAATGTGAGGGCAAATGGCTTATTGAATACTGTAAGTCCATGTTTTGTTGTAGTTTCGCATTATTGGGGTTTCTGACACATTTGGGTTTCTTTTCAGGTTTTGGGCGTTGTCTTGTATATAAAAATGCTAAGTGCACATTGAAACGATACACCAATCAGACCTTTGATAAGGTGATGGGTCCCATGTTGGATGCTGCTACCAGAAAACCCATCTGGCGACATGAAATTTTAGATGCGGATGGCATTTGTTCTCCAGGTAAAAACCTTTAAAGAATAATGAATTTCAGTGCATACTTTTTGAAATTTGAGAGTTACGTAACAGTATTTCTAAATTGTTAGTAACTGGGGCAAGAAGAACTGATGTGTAATGTTCCTACCTAGATTCAGTTAATGTGGTTCTTGTCACTGAGTTTCCTTCCTGTCTGTTTTTCTGTGTATTATGTATGTTTACCCATAGCAAAAATGTATTCTAGGCATAATCTTAAATTGCAGAAAAGCCAGACTTGAAACAGTGGTTTGAATAAGGTTTGACTCTGTATCTGTGCTGGTATCTCTTAATTTATACATTTTGCTCATGCTCTGACTTTGAACTATTCTTTCCCTAAAAGAAATGATTTCATTATAATTGAAATGTATAATGAATTTGTTTGTACGACACACAGCCCTTGCCTTAGGTTCCACAGGCTAATGTAGAAAGCTGACATTGACCATCAGATCACACACAAGCATGTCCTAGTGTAAGGAATCATAGAGATAGCTGTGAGACCATTGGTATGGCAAGAGGATTTGCCCCAGTGTGGAAGCTCTGCAGAGTGTGTAAGGAAATGAGCCCAAGTCTGCGGACGGGTGAGAAACGTCTGCTGAAGAGAGATGGAAAAGTAAGATTGAAACCTGTGGTGTGTGCGTGAGTGTGACAGCTGAGGTTATCTGAAAGGGAGAGAGCATAGCAGGGCTGTGCAGGACACAGGGTCAGTCGCCTGGGTCCCACACGGCCTAGTCATGGTGGAGCCCTGGGTGCACAGTTCTATAGGGAGCTATGATCCCCCCAGCCACGCAGATGTTAGCCCCTTCAGTCTCTCTACCTTTGTTTCCTGGAAGTTTCCATGCAGCGCTGGTCACTGTGGCTTTGAGGATGGTTACTTAAGTCGCTGGTCCTTAGAATGGAAATAGCAAAACCACAGATGTGGTAACTGGGTTCTGATTGAAGTATCTACAGATGGCAAGTGCTCCTAATCTATTCTGATACCAAGAGATATGTAAATTTGCCGTTGACTGGGGTGGTGTCCCCTTGTTGTGCAGTCTCTTAAGTCAGTTTCTTGTTGATGGAGGTGTGGTTTCACTGATATGTAGTCCTGAGTCAGGGTCTCATTAATCACATTGTGATTTCCAACTGAATTTTTTCTCTTATGAGTTTATCTCTAGACCCTGTTGAACTTTACTAACTGGCCCGTGTCTTTCTTTCATGTCTGGATTTCATAAACCAAGTCTGATCTTAGTTTTGTGCCCAGCAGTCTTGCATTCTCATAAATGATAATGGTCTGTTTAAGACTCTTTTCTTTTTCTATGAGCATAGTTGAACAGATGCCCTTGCTGTATGAATGTGCATCTTTTGGGTATATGCCAAAGAGTGGAATTGCTGGGTCTTGAGGTAGACTTATTCCCATTTTCTTGAAGAACCACAATACTGATTTCCAAAGTGTCTGTATGAGTTTGCACTCCCAACAGCAGTGGAGGAGTGTTCCCCTTTCTGCACATCCTCTCCAGCATGAGTTGTCACTTGTGTTTTTGATTTTAGCCATTCTGACAGGAGTAAGATGGTATCTCAGAGTTGTTTTGATTTGCATTTCTTTTTCTTAGGTGAGAAAGTAGAAAACAAACAAGTGCTTGTAAACAAGTCCATGCCCACAGTGACTCAGATTCCTTTGGAAGGAAGTAATGTGCCACAGCAACCACAGTACAAAGATGTCCCCATCACGTGCGTATTGCTCATGCCCTGATAAAATGTAGAGATGTTAGTAAAAAGAATGGATGGGGGAAAGTAAATGTCATATGTGATTATGTATCATGTATAAGTTATTCAATCCTTGTAAAAAGGAAGAACTAGAAATAACAATTTTGGATACCTTTTCTCATAGGAAAACAGTATATCATGGAAGATAACTTAAGAGTGGAATCATACAGTTCTTATAGCCTAGTAAGAGAAATGGGCCAGATAGAAAGGCGTTCCTGGCAGAAGAAACAACAAGTACACTAGGTATAAAAGGCCCAGGTTTGGAGAATCAGTGTAGCTTGCTATTGCTAACATATGGGAGAGTTTGCAATTCATTCTGCAGAGAATAATACAACCAGATTTGTGCTCTAGAAAAAGATGAAATGTTGGCCACATCATAACATCACCAATGTACTAGATAAAACACTGGCCACACCGTAACAGCACTAGTGCACTAGAATCGAGCTGTGTCTAAGATTTGTGTGTTACCTCACCTGGGGAAAGCATTTAAATCCCTTTCGTTTTCTCTGTATAATGAAAAGGTTAAATCCGTTCATCTCTAAATTTCTTCTTGGCTCTAAAAATATGAACCGTGAAACTTACTGAGGTGAGCCAGTAGCAGTCAGCACACTGTGATACAGAAACCCCCAAAGGAGATGGGACTCCTGCCTTAGACAAGCTGATCAGGGGTGGGAAGATTGGCAAAGACTGGCACAGAAGAGCTAGCCGCCTACTGTACTGCTCAGTCTTTTGGGCATTCTACGTGTGAGAGCTTAGTTAGTCCTTCCACCCTGCGGCGACATATTCTCCCAGAGGTCACCAGGATCTGATGGTGTGGGGATGGAAGCAGGGTCACCTGGGTACACTTGGCAGAGGTGGGACTTGAATACACAGTCTGGCATCGGAACCGCTCTTGGGACCCGTGCTAAATGCAGCAGTGTGAGAGAGCCATGAACTTGTTTGTGGGACGGGAGAGCATACAGCTCGCTTGGGAATGGGTCCCTGGTACCAAATCCCTCCAAGGGATGGATCTGTACTGTCTCACCTAGAGGAGACAGATGTTCAAGACTTGTCTCTCCTGCTTACCTTACCTTCATTTTGTTCATTCTTGAAGAGGCCTTACTCTGCTGTTGTATCTTGTCTTTTCATATTACTCTCCTGTCTTTAAAATCAGGTTCTTTCCCACTTAGAAAATGTGCTCAGATATTTTTATCACCTTAGAAGAAAGATGGCCTTGTCTGGACTTGGGGTTCACGGCTCGCTAGTTTTCCTTCCATTTCTTTCCTTTCTGGGTCGCCCCTGTTGCTGCTTCTCTACCTCACTCCCAAATTCCTGTCTGCACTCCACTGAAACGGCTCTGGAGCAGGTAGCCAAAGACAGCCTGCCTTCTTTTCAGTCAAGGCGTGTTTTTTGAGCACTGTTAATACTGCTCCAGGAGGTATTCTCGTTACCAAGACAGCAGTGAGCCAGCTGTGCCTGTGGAACTCACAGCCTAGTGCAGGAAGAGAGACAGACAACTAAGGAAAGCCAGAGTTGGGCAGGTTTGCCAGTCAACCGCATCTTCTGTCTTGTGTCCGATCCTTTGTTTCTGATTCACCCAGCACACCTGGTGTGTGGCTTGCATCGATCATTCTAAAACATTTGTACCACTGTAAGATCTTTCCTCCTGATTTTATATTTAGCACTATCTTCACCTTACCCTCCTACTGGTTGTTTCTCCCTCACAGCTCCTCCTCCTGTGTGGCCTGGTAACAACCTTGTCCCTTTTATGGATCTGTTTCCCTAACCCTCACTCCCTGGCTCTTTACTGATGTCTCGCAAAAGGACATCTGCCTGTTGCTGGCTCCATGTTAGCACCTGAGCCAAACCTAGACCAAACCATCTTCCTCCTTAGCCCAAAACCGGCTTCTCCTAATCTCTTTTGGTGGTTGGTAGACGCCACAGTCCAGCCAGTCGCTGGCAGCCCAAACCCTGTGCTTTTCTTTCTCCTGCTACAGGAGCCATTTCAATAACTCCTGTTGTATGTTCTATCACACGTACTCACTCATTCATAGACACAGTCAGAGACACACACCCGCTTTTGCATACACATATATTCACACATACACTCACAACACATTCACACATGCACACACTCACATGTACACATAGTACATTCACACATGCACACACTCACGTACACGCAATACTACAATCACACACATGCACAGTACACATACACTCAATACACATACACGCTCACACACACAATACACTCACACATATGCAACACTCACGCACACAATACACGCACACATATGCACACACACACACACACGTGTACACTCAGTACTCTCACATATGTGCACACACAACTACAGTGCACTGAAGGATTGTTGGAAAAGTGGCCAGGCGCTCAAAGTTGAGTCTGGTACTCCTCTGGAAGTTGAGGCTCTGCTGCGTGAGGCAAGTGTAACATCGTGGAGCATCTGTTAGTGTTGTCCGTCATCATGCTTCAAAGGAAAACTAAGTTTTAATGTTAAAAATAAGAGCGATTTTTCAGAACATGAGAGAATATCAAAATATGCCGTGGTGGGATTGAGGAGAGTATGTGGGCGACAGATTGACAAAGGGCATTAGAAGCTACTTTGGTGACTATTGTTGCATCAGGTACAAAGGTGCCACAGACTCCTACATTGAGAAAGTGATGATCTCTTCCAATGCTGAGGACGCCTTCCTCATTAAGATGCTGCTGAGACAGACGCGACGCCCTGAGATCGGGGACAAATTCAGCAGTCGTCATGGGCAAAAAGGTGAGTGGCACCCGTCTTCAGTCTGGGCTCTCAGGGTCGCCGGTAAGGATGGGCCATTTAGAGGCAGGTATGGTGGAGTATTTGTCTGATCACTCATTTCTTTTTCATTTCATTCATGCCCAGAGTTATAAACTGAACCCATGCCCATTGAAGTGCATAGGAAGAAATTGTGGTTGTTCTTATGAAAGGCATGTGTTCACCCCATTCTGTATTCAGTTGTCGTAGAATTTCAGTTCCAGAAGGTCCCTCGGAACTTAATATCCCTTTACTAACAGTTTTAATACTTTCATCTTATGTACTATGTGGACAGAACAGAATTGACATGCTAGAAAGTATCAGTATTCCTTACAAGAATTCACACCATAAGAGAACATTCCTTTCTGCATCAACCTACGCATGTCACACTACTGCCCTGGACTGTTTGATGTTAGCTTGACCCAAGCTAAGGTCATCTGAGAGTAGGGAGCCTCAACTCAGAAAAGGGCTCTGTAAGATCTGGCTATGAGACGTTTTTTAAATTAGTGATTGATAGGGAGAGCCCGTTGTGGGTGGTTCTATCCCTAGGCAGGTGTTCCTGGGTTCTAATAAGAAAGCAGGCTGAGCAAGCCATGATGAGCAAACAAGCCAGTAAGCAGCTCCCTCCATGGACTCTGCCTCAACTCCTGCCTCCAGGTTCCTTCCCTGCTTGAGTTCAAGTCCTGACTTCCTTCAGTGGTGAACAGCAATGCTACAGTGTAAACCAAAGAAACCCTTCCCTCCCCAACTTGCTTTTGATCATGATGTTTCATCACAGCAACAGAAACCCAAACTAAGACGCGTACCCAAGTCGATTTTATATTGGGCAAAGAATTAGAGACTAGTAAACATGTCAGTGCTCATCACCTAGGCACTGGTCCCACTAAACTCACTAAGGGTGGCAGGAAGGTGCTCTTCCAGTCATAAAACCCAATGAAGCCGTTTTCCGAGCAGGTACTGAGTAAGTACTTGATAAGAGTATCTGAGTAAACAAGTGAGTGTTGAAGCTACCTTCAGTTCTTGATGGGTGGGTTGTCCTTGGGTTTACTTAAAACACCCTGTGTCTGCGCCCAACCGTGGACAGACACTCCTTTCCCAGAAACACCCTGAGTCTGCGCACAAGCATGAACAGAGAGCACTGGTCTCCCCGAAACACCCTGAGTCTGTGCATAGGCATGGACAGGGCACTGCTGTAGGGCTGAACCCCACTCAGTAAGCTCCGTTAAACATGGCCTGTAGGTGAAATGTCAGGAAAGCGTGCTACCGTGTTTTCCCGAATGCAGTATGACAGCAGTGCTTCTGCCTCAATTGTCTGCACCGTGGCTTTGGAGCTGTTTGCTCTTAGGGCCTCTGACACACATGTTCTCTGTGAAACTGAAGGACGTCCTCCCCAGGTGGCTGACCTTTTGCTCAGTGAGGACTTTGTCTTCCCACTTTTCTTTTTCCAGATGGCTTTTAATCCAAGGTAAAAACCTCCTGATTAGCCCTCATTCCCTTGATAACCCTGTCTTAACGGTTTATCAAAGTTATTGAAAAGCCAGGAGGCAGAAAAGGAAAGAACCAAACAGAAAAATAGGTAGCATGCACTTTAATCAAATATTGAAAGACCAGGACTCTTGGGCAAATAGAAATTTACTTATAACCATGACTTTTATAAAGTACTAAGTATGCAGTGGTGTGTGTGTGTGTGTGTGTGTGTGTGTGTGTGTGTGTGTGTGTGTGTGAATAGTGCACATGAGGGGGTTGGGGACAGCTTTCAGAAGTCCTCTCCTTCTATTATGTGACCTCTGGAGCTCAGACTCAGGTCATCAAAGTGGGCAGTAGCACCTTTACCACCATGATTTTAATGGTTTATTGTGTATTCTTAAGGGAGGCTTGGGCTAGTGATACAACTCTGTGGTAGGCGGTTTCCCTCTTAAGGCCTTGCTCTTCCTGCACCGCAGATAGAAAAGGAGGCCATGTATGAAAGGAAACACTAGTCCTTGCTTTTCCTCCATTGTATCTCCCAGAAGCAACTCCATCCCATGTAGACCTTCATGCTCCTAAGTATTCTTAGATACATTCATTCGTTGTAGGTGTTACTTATTGATTATTAGGTGACTAGGTAGATCCACTAACTTAGCGCCTCTTGATCTAAACATCCTGCCCTAGCTCCCTGACTGTCAGAAGTTTGAGTCGTGTAGTGTAAATTTCTTTCCGAAGTCATCATCTTCTGTCATTTACTTACAGTTCTGGGTATCATCTGTTTGTCTGTATATTGTTGTTCCACGTGGAAACACTTAGATTAATAGAAACGGGTTAATAATTAAGACAGAGCTAGTAACTGGCCAACAGAATTATATCTACTACGGTGTCTCTTTATGTTATTGAGGGCTGGCGCAGTGCTGGGACCAGGCCAGCTGCCGGAAAAAAACTTACATGATTCCTGGTGTGGAGTTCTGGGTGTGTGTGTCATGCCATGATTCCTGGTGTAGAGTTCTGGATGTGTGTGTCACACCATGATCCTGGTATGGAGTTCTGGGAGTGTGCTTCACACCATGATTCCTGGTGTGGGGTTCTGGGTGTGTGTGTCACGCCATGGTCTTGGTGTGGCTAGTTATTTTGGTTCAGACACAACCTGGGGTAAGAACAGTGGTTAGAGGAGTTTTACGTTCACTCTTAAAATGTGACTTGCTTAGAAATAACAGAGCATTGCCTGCAAGCTGACCCATAGGTCTTTTCCAGGAGAAAATCTTGAGGTTGTTTTGATTTGACATGTTTATGCTCTGCCTTTTAAGCATGGAGTTACGCTCTTAGTGTTCAAGAAGTAGCATGATCTTAGAGATGACGTAGTTTGTTTGTTGTCTCGTTTGGTTTGGGTTTTTTAGTTTGGGGTGGTTTTTTGATTTTTGGGTTTTAAGTGTTATTGGGGGTTCTGTTAGTGCATGTATAATACAGAGATTAGGTTACAGTTCTGCACCCAATCCCTCTGAAAATACCCTCTCCAGCAGTTATCAGCAACTGGAAGATTCTGGATTCACAGAACATGAGTATTGGTCTCCCGCTCAAGCATAGTCACTTCAAAGGTAACAGGATAATTAGTAGGTAAAGGGAGCAACTGGGGCTCTGTGCTGTGCATGATGAAGAAGTTGAAATGAGTGGGTAAGCTGGAACAAGAGAACCCACACCACAGCAGTGTGACAAGCAGACTGATAGGAAAGATCAGAGCTACTGTAGGAAGCAGAATGGTCGTCAGTGCATGCAGAAGCCCTCTGGACCCTCAGAAACATTCAACTCCACACCTTTAATTCCCGTACTTGTAGAGCAGGAACTGCTGGATCTCTGTGATTTCAAGGCCAGTCTGGTCTACAGAGCAAGTTCCAGGACAGCCAGATATATAGTAAGACCCTGTCTCACAAAACAAACAAGCAAAAAACAGGACTAAACTGACAGCCAGTGTTGACGGAAAAGAAGGAGGTCTTGGATGACTTCTTGAAGCCAACACACTCTGAGTACCTTTTGTTGCTAATGAAATTTCAGTCTGTCCACTATGATAGTCAGAGACTTTTCCTGAACTACATACAGACTTCCTTGAGTCATCGATAGATCTGTTATAATGTCATCAGTGAGACTGTGGCAAGACCTGGCTCAAAGAGCTTCTGATGAAGAACATCTGGGATGTTCTGGGTTACTCGGTGAGGGCCTCCTCTACAGCAAAGGGTGAATGTGCCTTGCATGTTTACAAAAGAAGCAAAGTCCCGCTTTGGTTTTGAGTTCTATGGGGGAGTCTTGATCTTTTCGGTGTTTTAATTTTTTCATTTGGGAGTGAAACTGTGACTTCCATGGTTCATATGTAACGACCAGGGGAACAGAGGTATGGGTCTGAAGTGCTCAGTTCTTACATAAAATTCATTATCAGCTTTGTAGATAAAGATACATGATGCTTTACTGGAACCATGTCTAGAGCTAGACTTGCATTTAGAAATACAAACAAGTGTATCAGGCTCTTTGGCTTTTTATAACAAGTCTATGTATAGGGAACTCACTGAAGCCAAGTTTTTAATTGGGGCCAAATAGTATTTTCATATTGAGACTTTTCCTCTGATCATGCTTTTATTAGCTTTTATTCTTAGTCTTTTTAAAATTCTTTAGCAAAATATTAAAATAGACTAAGGAGTTAAGTTTCATCTCAGTGTCCAGGCAAAGCAAATTATTATATTTCTGGATTTCCTTTCGGTTGCTGCCATTCACAGTGAGCAGGGAAAGAGTGGACTCCTTTGATGTGGAGAGGAGAAAAGCAATATATCACTCTCCTGAAAGAACGTTTCTCAGTCTCTCATGTGAAAAAGGATTAGCACCTCCAACAAAGGTCCCGCAGATCACAGCACCGAAGCAGGGCTTCTAAGGGAAAACTGCATTTGATCAACAGTGTTTGTCCTGGCAAACAGGAGCTTTTTAATAACTGCAAGTCTGACATAATGACGGCCACTCCTTAGTGCCGCCCTTCATGCTCTGGGACCAGATAGCCAGTTAAGATGCTTTACTGTCATCCGTCATTTTAAAGTGGGGCCTGGTCTCATCAGCATACAGCTTTTCTCTTAGTGGTCCCCTGTGTTGGTTTATGTTGTATTTGTAGACACAATTTTCTAGAATAGTTAGTTATCTTTGACCGTTGCTCAAGTAAGTTCCATTGAAAGGTTGCTTGCCTCTAAAAAATTGTTCAGTAATCTGCTATTAACTTACTAATATTTTGATGGAGTGTGTCATAAAGGATAAGTTCTGTCTGTCCTTACTCTCCAGAACATTTAAAGTCCTTTTACAGTGCTGTAAAGGGGCTGTGAGGAGTAAGAAAATGTTTATTCGTGTGTGCCAGGAAATCTGAGAGCAAAGTTTGTTAAACACCTTAAAACGCCAGTTTTTCCAGACTGCCATTTAGTATAGGTTTTCTGTAGAGTTTTCCAAACTCAGCCTAGAGTAATAACGAAAGGCTGGCACCTTGTCCTCAC